TAGTTACTGTAGGCAACTTTTCATAGCATTGTGACTGCTAAGGCGATAGCATGTCCAGTTGTGGAAGTGGACTCAGAAAGAGAGTAAAAAAAATAGACATTTTTCAAATTAAGGATTTGGGCGTAGTCCATGGACTTCAAAACAACCAATCAATCAACTCTGGATCATTGCTCAGCTATCAACAAAAAGAATCTCACATATTGTACTTTGGGAAAGATATGAGAACACAAATTAGGAAAAAATAATTGCACTTGGCAAGACTGAGAGAAGCACTGTACAATGGCAATGGCTAACAGATACTGTAGATGTGATTAAAAAGGAAAAATATTAATTTCTAGTTAAAACAGGTCAGAATGGCATGTGTGTATAAAATCATCAGAGGTAAAAACACCATATGTAAAACATGTCTCAATGAAACACAGAATTGAAGAAGCTCCTTGGATAAGAAGCAAAACATCTTCAAGGTAAAACAAGGTCCAGTTGGCTTTTGAAAAAGCACCTTTGGGACAATCATGATGTGGATGAGTGAGAATTTCCATAGAGACTCAGTAGAACCTAAGAAATTAGCACTCCTAACTCATTAAGATGTTTCAGGAAGAAAGGCAAGCATAGTACTTTTCTGCCTTCTGAAGCAGCAAACTCCAGACTTTAAAAGACTATTAAAACATGGATCAGCCATGGGGCTAGTGGGAGTTGGGGCGGACTGTTTGTTGCTTACTTTGCTGGTGGTGGTGGCAAGCTCCATTCCTTTTTATTAAAGAGGTTTTCAACCAAATATAAACAGTACAAATGTTAAGTTAAAGTAAGAAGACTAAAGAAAAAAGAGTAAAAAAGAAATAAAAATAGAAAACATTTTTTCTATATGATGAAGGGAAAAAAAGGAAAAAGTTACAAAAGTGGCTTCCGATCTTCTTTATTTAAAGTTGAGTTTTCCTTTTTTCAGAAAAAAGTTGACAAGGGAATTTATTTTATTGGTTGTCAGAGTAGTTGGGTGATCTAGCAAATTAATACATTGTTAATGTATTTCTATTGCTTTTTAAAAGACAAAAAAGGAAAAAATACAAAGATAATTATGAAAAGAGTGTATACATTGTCAAAGAAAAGAAAATGCATAGAACATGCTTTTAAAAAAACTGAAAATTACAACAAAGGAAAAAAAAGTATATCATTTTAAAAGGAAATAGTTACAATTCTATATATGTGTATAATATATATATATAAATTATTCAAGTACATATATATTTTTAATATTTATATAACTATCAAAACCTATTGTATTTTGTATTAATGAATCCTATATTTTATTCTAGTTGCCCATATAAAATCTACATCTATTGGCAATTCACTCATAGAGGAGTATTTTTTTTAAAAAAATAGATGAATTATACTTTTAACCTTTTTTGCAGCTTTCTTATGTATATTTCAAAATCAACTTAAAATGTTGACTTCAATAGACCTTTCTTGTTCTCTAAGTTGGATAAGTGATTTTCGAGAAATACATCATTAACCAAGTTTCAAAATTAATATCAAATCAGCTGAGATGATATGGGCTCTAACGCTAAGAAACATCAGGCCTGGATACTATGATGAACGAAGACCACCATGGCCCACCAGGGCTCTAGATTAGATTGAGAACTTTAGAACACATCCTCAAGAAAACTCATGGCAAGCCAATTACCCAAAGAAATCCCCCAATTTGGATGTTGATTAAGCCACAAGATACGAGCTCAACTCAGGAGAAACTTGCTGCCCAATAGGTTTTTATAAAGTCTGAAAACTTTGGTTGCATATCTATCTTTTAAAAAAAACAAACAGTCCTGATTTCAAAGCAGGTGATGATAAAAGCACTCAGGAATTTTTCCTTTCTTTTTATCTCAGCATTCAGGAAAGAAAATAAACTCTCCCCTGCTGTGAGCTATGAAGAAGATAGTTAACCATTACCAAAAAAGTAATTTGGTGTAAAGCAGCTTTTGATGTACTGCAGTTACTGGTTAACACTAGTTGTGTTTTTCAATTTAGTACTAAATTAATACATATGAAAGTACAGCATTATCATTTCATCTACAAATTCCTTAGGTGTGTGCTTTTTAATTTTATATGATTTATTGGTGTTTTTTTTAAATCAGTGGGACAAATAGCAATGTTTAAAGGTTTGTGCTGCTGGACTCAATGGCTCCAAGCTAGCTCTGAGAAGTATTTAGACAAAGATACCATTTGTTCACATTATTCCATAATTAATATCCATAAAAATACTGCTAAGGAACATGGCCCAGTTTAACCCATGCTTCGTTTCCAATCAACCTATAAGCTGTGAGGTGGAAAAGTATTGCCACATAGAGAAAAAGTTATTTGGGTTTGATAGTGTTAATCACTATTGTGCTCAGTTTTAGCTTTGGAATTGTCTGTACGGTGATATATAGAATACCAGTAGTATCTAATACAGTGAAAACCAGGAATTGCTATTCCCTTATAGTTGTTTATAAATAAAGCCACTTTCCATTTATATAAATGTTATAATATTTATATACATTTCTTAAATATCTAAAGGTTATGCCAATTATAGTCCTTGTTCATGCTCTTTACCTCAAGTTTGAAAATAGCTTATAATGTAAAATTTGTAAGGCAAGAAATATTATTTAAGTATCTAAGAATAGTTAATCTATTAAAGTCATATCAATTTTAAGCCACCTAGAGTAAAATCAGTTTTGCCTGATAAACACAACCATTTCAAGATTTTGCACACACACATACACACAGACCACACATCACTGCCATGAATATATTGCATTGACAGGTATATCTACTATGCCTATGTACAGCCACGGTAAGTTTCATTTGAATATTATTGCTTCAGAATGTAGTGCCACCCAGTGACTTGTATGTTGAGAAGTAATGTTTAAACTGCTGTGCTGCAAACTTGTTCTGAATATGTTTGTTGTGGACTTTGCAAGGAGTTGCCCCAGTGCCCCCTAAGAAAGAGCTGCAATATATCTAAATGAAAGTAAACTTTAGCAAAATAATTATGCGGTTTTACTTCTAAATATATACACTTTTCTAGGGGTATATTTAAGATCAACATTACAAAAAAATAGCCCAGATCACAAAACCAATACAACCTAAGACTACGAAAAGAAAAAAATCATTCTTCTTCCAATAATACAGAATTATTGTAATCTAACACAGGTTTAAGTTCCAGCCGCTGGACAAAGAAATGAGAGGCAGGAGTGACTCCAAAATGGAGTTTCCTACTACTTTTTTATTCAACTGTGGGATAGCGGATGAAACAAGAACACCAAAAATACAGTGTACCAATGCACAATGTTGTTTATGAAAGAAATGTAGGGTTGTTGTTGAAACTAAATTGTGTATGTGTGTTAAAAAGTAATTTGGCTACTTCCTAAAAGTGATATAGAAGATGACCAGTAAAACATGTGCAACTAACCTACATCAAATCATCACAGGAAAGTGGCATTCACATCACATTATTATTTTAAATGATCTCTGAGTACAAAGAAATTAAGTGAAAGAAACTATGCTCTTTTAATAGTCTGGTATTAATCTAATTCTTTTTTTTAGATACGTTCTGGCAAGAAAAAAATGGGTCCTCAACCAGGGCCGGATTTTCCTATAGGCTAACTAGGCTTCAGCCTAGGGCCTCAAGATCAAGAGGGGCCTACATTCAAATTGTTAGCAAAATTAAAATTACATTTTCACTATAGGTGAAAGGGCCTCATAAGTGGAATAGCCTAGGGCCTCTTTTCATCTAAATCCGGCCCTGTCCTCAACAGTAATTGAGAATGTGTTTATGAATAGGCCAGAATGATTTATACACTCAGGATAATACAGAATTGCTGCTTTCTTTTCCACACAATAGTTCTTTTTATGTATTTATTAAATTTATATGCTGTCCATATCAATGTCCAGCGACTATTAGTATCCATTCTTTTGAGAACTATGTCCTGACATCTACTAACATCAAAACATTTATTTCACATACTGCCACCTGCTGCAGGCACACAAAATGACAGTTCTTTTACACAAAAATAATTTACAAGGTATTAGAGATCCAAGCAGATTGTTTTTCACCTATAACACTTGTGTTTTTATCTTATGTCTATTCAGAGAGAGATTAAGAAAGAAAAGTGGAAAAAATGAAGACTGCATTGCATTGCTTATGAATTATTACTATACCAATAACTTGACCTCATGGTCCTAGAAACATGCACCCATTCCACAGTCACAAAATTATCAAAACAATTCAAATACTTATGCTGTCAGGATCTGTACTGAGTTATCATTAATTGGCTTTCCCAAATGTAGGAACAATGTTGGCTTTTTTGAGCCTAGGGTAACACACTGCTCAAGAGAACAGGAACCTCTAAAGCTGAAACTGTTCACTGAATCAGTGTTACAAAATACTAAATATGATGGGTACAAGAGTGCTTATACGAAGTATTATCGTAGAACACTATAAATTTCTTCGTCTCTAAGTTGATATCGACTTCGTTTTCGAAATATTACAAAAAAAGTAAGATATACGTGGCATGCAAACGACAGCAGACTCATTTTTGTACAATTTAGTGTTGTGTGACTGTTTACGATTCGCAAATGAGCATCTTCGAAATTGATTTCATTATGCATTCTCGGGTATCTCTTATGTCCAGCGCAAGCAGAAATTTTGAAAGATACCCTGTTTGGGCAGTAGGTTAATAATTAGCAATCGCCAAGTCCACGTGAGGAGAAAAAAAAAACTTTTGCGCGTTCATTTTTAACGCGGGGGGACCCTCAAAATTCCGCTTAGCCTTAAGGCCTCAATATATTCAACATCCAACATCCTGCCCTGCCTCAACTTTTATTACATGCACAAAGCACCGCGTTTATCTTGCGTTTGCGGTATTCCCGGTATGCCCCGCCACCGCTCCTAATTCGCACGCCGCCCCCCCCCATTCCTAGTTTCCCCGCCGCCGCAGGCCGAAGCGGACGGGCTCCTCCTCCGGAGCGAATTTGGCTGCAACTCCACCTCTTCGACGTCCGTCGGTAGCGGAAGCTGCGCGTATTGGAGGCGCAAAGCCTTCGGACCGGTGGCAGACATGGAGTGCATCCGGCTTTTGAGGCACCGGCTGCGGCCTGGCGTGCACTTTTTCTTTGGCAGGCGGTTTTGCTGCAACTGCAGCCGCCGCTATGGTCCGCTCCTGGGAGGGAGCTCGTGGCGCTTTCCAAGCGGGGCGCCGCAGGGGTGCGGATCGGACAAATGCCGGTGGCGCAGAAGTGGCGGACAGACCTTACTTTGCGCACGTAAGTGGTGTCCGCAGGCGTCGTTGTGACCGTCTGCACTGTCTTTGTGGGAAATAAATCACACGGGTTTATTCTCTGGAGAAGAGGCACAGAGGGTTGCTGCCTAAATCCTATGAACTCCAGCAGAAATCTCTGCAAACCTCTATTAATAATGATTGAACTATTGGGCGTCCAGGACGAATATCCTCAAAGGGCTACGAAGTTCCCCAGTGAAGATAAAAAAAGGTCTACAACTTTGCATCTTGAGGCGTTGGACTTTTCCTCACAGACTTAACAAGCCTGAACTTCTTTGTACTCAGGGGGAAAAAAAGGTTTACTGAGTATTGTAATGTAGTCTTCAGCTTACAACCACAATTGAACCTAACGTTTCTGTTGTTAAGTGAGACATTTGTTAAGTGAGTTTTGCCCCATTTTACAACCTTTCTTGCCTCCATTGTTAAGTGAATCACTGAAGTTGATAAGTTAGTAACCTGGTTGTTAAGTGAATCTGGCTTCCACATTGACTTTGCTTTGTTGAAAGGTTGCAAAAGGTGACCCCATGACCTTGGGACACAGCAGTGGTCTTAAGTATGAACCAATTGCCAAGCATGTGAATTTTGGTCACGTGATCATGGGGCTGCTACAAAGATTGTAACTGTGAAAAATGGTCATAAGTCGCTTTTTTCGGTTCCGTTATAACTTTGAATGGTCACTAAATGAACTATTGTAAGTCAAGCACCACCTGTATTTTGAGCAGCTGAATGGATTTTCAGACCTTTCAGATTTGTTTGGAGTTTGGATCAGTGTGGGGTTTGAATCCAGTCCGTACAGTTCTTGAGTGATGGTGTGTGGCATAATGTGATGAATGTAACTTAAGTGATGGGATTTTCAGCCATTGTTAAGCTAAGTATGTTGAAAGTCTACAACAGTTCATTTAGTGAACTGTTTAATGGGGCAAAATTCACTTAAAACCAGAAATGTTGGGCTCAGTTGTGGTCATAAGTCAAGGACTACCTGTATTTGGTTTAATTTATAATGTAATGATAAACATTCTGCTGGTTGCAAAATGTAGGTTGATATGGTGGAGCTAATCCCAAGTACGTCTGCAACTAGCATCTGGATGATCTTCATTAATGAACAGAGCAGAAAGCACCCAAACAGCTTGTTTTACCTTGACACATGGGGTGGCCATCAAGTCTCATAGTGCAGGCTCTTCCCCCCCCTTTTTTTTTTTTTACTACCTAAGGAAATTCCATTGAGTGTGCATCATTTTCAAGATATGTCCAGTGTCTTTTTTTTCCCCAAAGTTGTTATTGGCCCTGCAGGAAGCATAGAAGATAGAGAAACGTGTGTTTTTCCATTGCAGAGTTCATAACAGCCTGGATACGGAAGACCCAACAAGATAATTTCTACCTAATGCTGCTGTTCTACTTAGAATCTAACAAGAAAATGCATGTTGTATATGTGTCCAACTTTTTCAAACTGAGAAGTTTCACATTATTTGTGTCTTGTACACATTGCTTAAAAGTACTTCTTTGGAATGCCTTTCTTATCCTGCCTAAATATTTTCCAAGGGATATATTATAATCATTTTTTACTTTTAGTAGCACTCATATTTTGAGCATTCAGAACAAATTGTGTAAACTTTAGGAATTTATGATACTCCTGTAATAAAAATACGATCCATTTGCTTTATAAAACCAAATAAATTAAGCAAGAATGGATGCTTACCAACAACATTCAAAGTAAATAGTTAAATGTTCCAATAGAAGGGAATAGATCAGAGGTGGACAACTGTGGCCCTTTTACAACCTGTGGACTTCAACTCCCAGAATTCCTGAGACAGCCAAGCTGGCTCAGGAATTCTGGGAATTGAAGTCCACAGGTCATAAAGGGGCCACCCCTGGAATAGATATTATTCAGAGTCTATTAAGATTCTCAGTCATACAGGTTGTGGTTGTCCCAAAGGTGCTTTTGCACTTCAGACCTCAGTTGCCTCCTGAAAAAGCACCTTTTGGATGTTACTCAGGCTTGAACTGTGGTCTCCGTGGTACTCTCTGAGCTTGGTAATGTACCGATGATGGTATCTAGTTGAGTAATTAATCATTTGCAAATAGCTAAACTCAGAGAACCATGTACTAATGTTAATTTAAAAGTCAGATTGAAACTTTTAGCATATAAATATTGCTGTAATAATAATACTAAATTTATATGCCACCTGCTTCCCAGCAACTCTAGATAGATTACAGTTAAAAACATTTAAGAACAGAAAGCAACACACAAAAACAACACAAAGCAAAAGAACAATGACAAAGAAAACAAATGGAGAGAGGCACAAAAAGAAAAGATGACAGAGACAATAGTCAGCCTAGCCAAAGACCTGGGCAAAGAGCCAGGTCTTTGGTGGTCTTTGAAATATCAGTAGAGAGCCATTTGGGGTGGAACTTTATTCCAGAGGGCAAGTGCTACTACAGAAATGTTTCCAGAGTCTAGACAGATGGCATTGTTTAATCAATGGAATGTGGAATGCCCCAATCCTACCAGATCAAGCTAGCTGTACAAACACAGTGGGATATTATATAACTCCCACTGTTTCTTTACTTCTTAACTTTCAAGAATTCCAATTAAGTCCAGAGGTTTACATGCAACCAAGTAGAGGCTCTAATTTGACCTTAAAACGAATATCAAGATCAGGATAAAAGGTGGCAGGCAAAATACCATTTCTCTCTTTCCCCGCTTCTGAGATGAAATTTTGAATTAAAATTGCCATCACAGGCTGAATACTGCATTATCCCACTTTTTTCAGCATGCTTTATCATCAAAATGACACATGTTGTACAGAAAATGCAAATAAAAAAGGGCTTTGCCCCAATTGTAGCTAGTCCCAGCACCAGCATGTCTTTTGGGAACGTAAGGGGCTCTGTCCACATCATCTCATGGCTAATCAAAGAACGAAACAGGCTTGAGTCATGGACTTAAAATAGTGTCCCCCACTCCAAATGCACACCTTTTTTCGGCATTATCTTAGGAAAAACTAAGATATGTAAAATCTAGAGTTTATCAGACATTACCTTGGAGGAAAGTAAGGGTTTACAGTGATTAGAACAAGACAGTAGAGTCAAGATTCAGATTGACCCCAGACCTCATGCTAGTTCATTTTAATGCTGACTTTAAGATGAGTGAGCTCTTCAGTTTTTAATGCAGAAAGGCCTATCATCCATGTTCAGTAGAAATTATGTGTACGTGTATAAATTATTATGATTTCTCAAATCATTCCTTTGGCTTAAAGCATTACCAGTTCGCTGTAATATAAGGAGCTCATTTTCTTAACTTTGTCCCAATCACTGGACAGTTTGAGGGCAATTTTGAAGACACATACCTTGAAGAGAAGGAGACCTTTGCACGCACAAATATTTCCTGTCCTCTGCTGTCTCCTTGAGGAATTCATTACAAATCACCAAACTTTTACTTTCTGAGAGCAAGCTAATCTAGTTTGTCATCAAGACCTGTGAAAGTTTTGATCAGTAATAGATTTGTAAGCTAAGGGTGCTAATATCATACAATTGCTGATCGTGCCAAAAATAGATTATCTTTATTTTGTGACATAGCCTGGCCAACCTTGCCTGAGTTTGGGAGCTAAGTAGGCTGGGCCTGGCTAGTGCTTGGATGGGAGATATTCAGGGATTACCAGGGATCTAGCCTAGATTTAGAATTTGAAAAACATCTCAGAAGACCATGCCCATCACTTCTATCTTGTTGCCAATAAAACTGCTTTGTGTCTGTAATGTAACTAGGAATTGAGCAGAAAAAAATTATCTTTTATTCTATGACATCTTTTCTCAAGGTGGGTGGTATTTATTACTGAACAACTTTCCTGCTGATTTTTTACAGAGCTACTCTTTATTAATAGCGTTTCTCTCTATTCTTCTCTCTATTCACTTTAGATGCTCTTTCACAGCACAGCAGTACAGAGGTGACTCAGGCTACTTTAGCCAGTGTGGCACCAGTGTTTTCAGTGGTAAGTATTCCTCTGCAAGGTCATGATGTAGAAAGCCCAGATGAAGGATGACTTATACTATACAGAGGGAGAGGAAATGCTGCAGGAATAGAGATGGAAAGTGACAGATGAAATGCAGGGTTCGTTTACAATGTTGGGTTGCAGGCAGGGTAGAAAAGAAACAAGAAATAAAATATTGTAAGAATCGGAAGGACTAAAAATAATTCATCTGGCATTGGGCCAAATAGGAGAAAGTATATATGTATCAATTGTCAATAAATGAATTGAGAGAGAGATCTAAACACACTTTCTTTCCTAGTCGTGACATTCTAGATAATCTCTGCTGGCTATGGATTATGGGAGCTGAAGTCCAATCCCTCCAGAGACATCTTGAGGTCTATCATTTTAGAATTAAATTGCGATAAAACTTTCACACAATTGACTTATTCTTATACTGTTAACCATTATGCTAGTTTCTGTCTGGACGTCTTAGTTTATAAAATAATGTCCACATCTACCATTCTAACCCATAGCAGAAAACTGTGTATTTTTCAAAGCACTTTTCATTACGTAAATTGTAAAATTAATTTTATTTATTCATTCTACAATTATTGCCCTATTTCTGAATATATAAAATTCAATAGAAATCTGTCTTAATTATATGTGAGACTTATGAATAGTGGAAATACTACCCATATTAAATAGGAAAAATTTTATTGAATATCAGAAAGTGTTATTGTCTTATTTAAAAAATTTCCGTTTCCTTCCTTTTAGATGAAATTTGATAAAGAAGGCAATGTTACCACCTATGGTATGTAGAATTCTTTTTTACTTGCGAATTCAAGAACAATATTTTACAGCCATGTTAGAATTTTTAAATAGATAATTGCAAAATTAGTAGTTTTTGGCAGTTCATTATCAATTGAATATCATTACTTTCCGTTAAACTTCGGATAATTATTGTATTTGTTGAAGTGATAACTTTGAGAAATAATCTGCTGGCTTCAAGTGGTCTACGTTTTCATATTTCTAATACTTTCTTTTGGGGGCAGAAAGAAATAAAACAGAATTATATCAGGAACTAAGTCTTCAAGCACGAGATCTACGGTTTCAACATCAAGTAAATATAACACCCAGGAACAACAAAATTATTATGAGAATGGAGGTAAGAAAAATATATGAAAACAGCTTTTAGTTATTTGGAAAACTACTGAAATTTTTACACATGGCAAATTGAAATAACATATTTCTTTACCTTTTCTTTACCTTTATCTACTGATAAGTAAAATATTGTTTACCACCTCCTTCTCCCCTAAGTCTTCCAAAACCTTGCATATAATCAGTAAAAGGAGTTTCTGCCATTTGGTTTGTGCAGTACAGTGTTTCAGAAAAGATTGGAATGGGAGATGAGGTGAGGTGAAGGAAACTCAGGAGCCAATTCTTAAAGTTGAATTGTACCACTTAAAATGGCAAAACATGATGGAAATGGGAGAGAAAGAGCACAGTAGAGAGGAGCCGATACAAAAGCTCTAGATTGTGTCAATAGGACCTAGGCGCATATTTTTATTTTATCAAGGAGCCTTGTAGAAAATCTTAAGACAGCCTTTTCTTCTTCTTTTTTTTTTTGCCTAATCTACTTCAGAGAGTATGTGATAGGAGAACTCGGGGGGAAAGATGGAATCAGTACAATAAAAAAGAGCAACTAAGGTTGAATGAGCAAAATTCACAAAAAGTAGAAGCAAAAAAATAAAAATAGTTTGAAGTTCAGGACTGTGGTAATAAAGAAAACACAAGTCATATAAAGCACCACCACTGAAGCAGCCCAGAATTTTACACCTATTTGCTTTGGAAGAAATCCTCTTGAAATCCGCGGTCTGAGTAATAAGAAATCCTGATTGCTTTTTTAAAACGTTTTTTCGTCTTATAACTAACAACCCAAAGGATATGTTAGACAAGTCTGTTTGGGGATGTAGTTAGACAGTATTAGTGTAACAACTAAAGAAAACATAACAAGTATTGAGTGTTGGCTAATTTTCTTCTCTGCTTCTTTTAGTTTTTGAAGGCTGTGATAACACCAGAGTATCTTCTAATCCTAGACTATCGCAATACAAATCTGGAAAAATGGCTGTTCCAAGAACTGGCATCTCAACTAGCTGGAGAAGGTCAACTAGTTACATATTCTTTGCCTTTTGAATTCCGAGCTATTGAAGCAATGCTGCAATATTGGGTGAGCATGCTTATGCTGTGCGGAGAGTGATTGTTGTGACCTTTCCCAACTGGAGCCCTCTGGACATGGTGAACTCCAAATTCCCAAGAGATCCGAGACTTTTAAGTCCAACATATATGGAGTACATTGGGTCGAGAGCGTTATAATCATTTGTTGAAGGAGGCAGATAAATATAGATAGTCCTCGACTTACAACCACAATTGAACCCAAAGTTTCCATTGCTAAGCGAGACAGTTGTTAAGTGAGTTTTGCCCCATTTTATGACCTTTCTTGCCACAAAGTGAATCACTGCAGTTGCTTAAGTTAGGAACACGGTTGTAAAGTGAATCTGGCTCCCCCATTGATTTTGCTTGTCAGAAAGTTATAAAAGGTGATCACATAATCCCGGGACACTGCAACCATCATAAATATGAGTCAATTGCCAAGCATCCAGATTTTGATTTCGTGACCACAGGGATGCTGCAATGGTCGTAAGTGTGAAAACAGTCGTAAGTCACTTTTTTTCAGCACTGTCGTAACTTCAAATGGTCACTAAATGAATAGTTATAAGTTGAGGACTACTTGTATGAGATAGCTAAAAGGCAGTCCTTTTCTATAGTTTACTTCAAATGGCCATCCGTATTAATTTATTTTGTATGAGCCATGATGGTGCAGTGGTTAGAGTGCAGTACTGCAGGCTACTTCTGCTGATTGCCGTCTGCCTGCAATTGGCAGTTCAAATCTCACCAGGCTCAAGGTTGACTCAGCCTTCCATCCTTCCTAGGTCAGTAAAATGAGGACCCATATTGTCGGGGTGCTGTTATGCTGACTCTAAACCGCTTAGAGAGGGCTGTAACAAAGCACTATGAAGCGGTATATAAGTGCTATTGCTATGGCTGTTGCTACTTAAAAATTGTGTTTCCAAGCTAGTTTCCTGACAACTTCTGTAATTAGTGTAAAGCAAAAAAAAAAAAAGGAATCGAAGGAAATTGTGTTATCCCTACAAGGAAAGTGAAAAGGGCTGACCTGACCACAAGTGAAGATATTCTGGATTTCATGTTTTTTTAAAAAAAAAATCCCTTATTTTATGCAGTGTAATAACTGGCATGTATCAGAAGCAGTTCTGAGTGCAAATATTTACTTTTGAAATATATTTATATACCGCAGTTATTGCATACATATCCAATACAATATCATAACAACATTAAATTCAGTATTTAAATCAGTAGCAATGAGAAATAATAAAAAGACCCCACCCTGCATCACCATATAATGAAAAGATTGGTAAAGGTTTATTTCCAGTGGAAGAATGTTCTGCGTATATTTCAGCCTGCATTACCAACTTTGCTATAAGTTCAAGATTATATGTCTGGTTTGCTGAACAAAAGGACTTTTTAGAAGGCATTCTAAAAGAATTATTTTAATTCTTATGAAGGATCATGTTGTTATCTAGATCAGCTACCTGAGTGGCAAACTTAGCCATCTGCAGCCTCAAATTCTTGAAACTCTGAATGCTTTAGTGGATCCTAAGCTTTTGTCCCTGGATAGGAGTAAAGTCCATATCTTACTGCAAAATGGAAAGAGGTAAGCAAGTCTACCTTCACTCTCTTCAATTACCTTGTTCATGTAAGTTGTAGTAAGTCATTTTCTTGAATTATATAAGAACTACACTACTTATTAAAACAAATTGCTTAAATCAAATTAGGCAAGGGGTAAAAGCACTGTAGATTGTCTTGAATGCTGAATTGATTTGTTCAGTTCTACTTGATGCAGATAATATCTTTTTTGATTTAAGCGTTTAACATTACATGGTTGTGGAAATAAGACAATATAAATTACAATATTACTGAAACAGATGAATTGTTTGAGCCTAATATAAAAATAAACTACCTAAATTTCTGTTTTAATTTTTATATTACCAATCTATTAGCATGATAAAGAGAAATCTTTTGGTGCCTTTGAAAACTAAAAATTAACCATAGCAGAAAATCAGATAATAGTCATTTTTAAAAGTCTTAAATAGAGCAATTTGAAAGGGCTGTATTAATGTAATATAAAAAATATTAATCTAATAGTTGTGTAGCTATTATCGCTTAACCTTGTCTGCTACATTAGAGAGGTAACCAGATTCTTACAAATCCCGGCTGACCTATAAAGGCAAAGATGGTCTTTTGAGTAGCAACTTCATTACATATTAAATGAAAGATATTTTTGTATCTGTTAAACCAGATGACATATTCTTATTTCAGTGGCTTCATATAACACGAAGCTGCTGTAAATGTTTATGGATAGTGAGCATTCCTTTAAGCATAAATGATCCACGTTATTGCTCAGCTGTGAAGAGATTTCAAGAATGACTTGCACTTTGGATTTTGACTTGATCCAGAAAGAAGTCTTAACAGCAAGCTCATGTGTACAAACGGATCTTCAGAGAAATATTGGTTAATTTGAGACACATGGTATGTTTTGCGATAGGCTTCTTATGCTTTTATTTTTCAGTTTGTCCGAATTAGAAACTGACCTTAAAGTTTTCAAAGAGACAATATTGGAAATCCTAGATGACAAAGAAGTCATGGAAGAACTGTGTCTGACTAAATGGACGGATCCAGAAGTATTGTAAGTATAAGTTGTAAAAGAGTGTTTCTGATGGTCCAAATTTCACTTCAAAGATTTTGAGATGGAGGAAGTATAAATTCCTTATTTATTTTAAACTGGACAAGTTTCCAAATGTCTTAATTTTCCACTGCACAAACAACTGCACATCAAATGCTATTTTATCAGAAACAAATTGACCGTTGCCTGACAATTACTTTGCCACTAGGCTGACAAATGCATTTCATTGGGCTCTCGTCAAAATCTGTTTATCTACTTAACAATAGAATTCTGTCACATGGTGTATTTCAGTCAAAATTAGCTTTGGTTGCATTATTTCTAAAAAATATTTAACTGATTTTCTTGAGTACAAATGGAATATAAATAAAAAGCAGAACCCTGAATACCATTCAGATAATTCACCCCAGACTATGTAATAAAAAGGGCTGAATACTATAAAACTAGCAAGTCATAAAGCAAGAAAGCAGAAGAAAAATGAAGTAAAAAATTAAAAGATGAGAAACTATATGGGCAATAAAATCAAATAATATAGTAGTGCCAAATGCTATCTATTTTTCTACAATCTCAAATTCTAATTTTAATGCAAAATGTTACAAATCAGTTTTAGACTTTGGTAAATCAAGATCACATGGAATCATTTTGTACCATCTTCCTATTCTGTTGGTAAAAAGCTAGTTCAGCTTAATGAAAGCTGATTTCACTAAGACAGCCTTTAGAGCAGGCTCATGGGCCATGGGCCACATGCAGTCCTGAAATAGTGCAGCCTCACAAGATATACTATATTTTTCAGAGTATAAGACGCACCTTAGTTTTCGGGGAGGAAAATAAGAAAAAAAAATCTGCCTCTGCCTACCAGCATCCATCAGTATTCATCTGGCTAGCGTCCTATCAGTGTGTGAGAGTTGAGGGCTGTTTGGAAACTGAAACAATATTTGCTGTGTGAGCAATAAGGAGACAGCAAGGAGCCTGGGGGTGGCTTAGCTCAACTGTTCTATACTAAAGCTGCATGCTGTGCTGAGCTCTGAAACTGAAACTCCTCTCCTCTGCTTGTGTTTTGCTTGTATTTACTACCACGTTGGAAAACCTGCTTTTGGTATTGCATATTTACTTCATGTGTTATATTATATATAAAGAGAAGTTATTGAATCCTGCTGAATCAGTTATTTGTGTGTGCTTTCTGGATGTGATTGCTGCTGCAAACTCTTGACATGTCCTTGTAGCAAATAGCGAACAGCCAGGTCAACTTCAGCACATTATTGTGGCCTGATTCAGCACGAGCGACTGATTGGAGGGGTGGATCGGCCTCCTGAAATACCCCCAATCAGCTGTTCCACGCTGTAGAGATTGCCACAGACCATCACTGCCTCCATGCCTCACGTTTTTGGCGTTGTGGACGGGGCTACATTCGGTGTATAAGACACACCCAAATTTTCACACTCTTTTGGGGGGGGGAGAAAAGTGTGTCTTATACTCTGAAAAATATGGTATATACAGATATATTATATATTTTATGTGTGGCCCAAGATAATTCTTCTTCACTTAGTGCGGCCCAGGCAAGCCAAAAGGTTGGACACACCTGGTTTAGAATCTGAAACCTGAACTTCCCAAATGGCGGTTACCTTTTTTATTCTAATTCAGGCATAATATATCCAAACCTCCTTAGAAGGACGCAAATTCTATGTTTGGAGAATATACTGAATATAACATTAACATCTTTAAACCTTAATTTCCAAAATACTGGTTCAACATTGTATTAATATTTTACTGGAGAATGTGGCTAGGTCATGGGTGTTAGGATGGCTTCCAGTTTATTTAATCTCCTATGTAGGATGACAGCCAGCCCTTTCTAAAGATCTGTTGGGAAGCCCAATAAACCCCAAAAGATTTTGTTTGTAATCAGCCTAGTTTTCAAATCAAACAAAACATTTGTTGTTTCTTAATTTCATATGTTAATTACCACAATCTCCATGGATACAGGAAAAAAAATAAACAATATACAATGAGTTAGTGTTACTCAGCCTTTGGTAACTAACACGTGGACGTCAACTTCCAGAAAACTGGGAGTTGACATCCATTTATTTTAAAGTTGCAAAACATTGCAATAAATAAAAATGAAAGGTCCAGCAACTAATGAAAATATAAAATAATATTAACCAGAATATAGCCAAATTAAGATGGAATCAAAGTCAAAATTAGCTCTGAAGTATTCTGTTCCGAGCAGCTTAACAAGTTAGGATAGGAGCCAACTGAAGATGCACCTGAAGCCATTCCAAAGAACTGATGCAGCTTCAGAAAAGCAGTTCTGTTGAGATTTGGCCCCCTCAGTTTGCTAAAGTAAGAGCACTGCTAATAATTTTTTCCAGTGAAATCAAAATGGCCAGGCCAATTCCATTGGAAAAAATGAGATCCAGCAGATAACTTGCAACCGAGAAAACTTCTAGGGCTTAAAGGTTAATTCCAGGACTTTAAACACTGCACCAGGAAGCTTATTAGAAACCAGTGCAGAGCCCACAGTACTGGTGTAATGAGCTCCTACCAATGAATATCAATGAGCACATGAATTGCTGCACTCTGGATCACCTGCAGACTTCAAACAATCTTCAAAGACAGTCCCATGCAGAACATGTTGTAGTAGTCTAAGTCGGGTTGATAAGGATATGAGTCATTGTAACAAAACATAATGCTTTCATTGCCATTGAAACCACCATTTTCATATAAAAACTATAATTTTACAGAAAAATCCTGAGTGTTTTACCATCCATTAAAAATTATCATTAACTTATCAATTTGTTTAAAACATATAAATGGAATTAACACAACAAATACTCACAAAATATGTTTAAGCCATGAAGCTATATTCATTTCATACATTCTTCTCCACAAAATCATAGGGTATTTTCACCCTTCTCTTAATATCCTCTTTCATTTGAGCTGTAGAATATGAGAGAATCATTTGTACATAACAGGATTTTCTCAAGATCAAAGCAATAAAGAAATCAGAGTTTTGTTTTTCCTAACTGTAGCTACCTTAACACCACTATACAGGATATTAGATTTATTCCAATATAGTACTGTATATCCACAACATTTACCACATTATTATACCATTTCTATGCTTCGTATTAAAGATATGTTTATCCATTTGTTTTCTGGGTAAAGATCATTTATAAACATTAAAAAGGCCCAAGGTAAGTTTGATTACAAGCTTGTATTCCACATGGATTATTAATAAGGCCATTCTAGTTTGAAAATCCCACTTTAAAAATATTTTGAAATATAAAACCCACAGAATAAGAACAGAATATGATCTGTTGGGTAAATAAGTTAATCAGGAGTTTGTTAGATTTCTCTACAATAAATACATAATGTTTCATTGCCAGGATAGAAAAATATTTTTTTCTGCCATAAAAGTGAAATCCCCAATTTGAATATGCATGACATGAGATGAATGACAGTGTTGCTGATCCAATGTACAACTAAAGATTGTTCCTAATTGCGAAATATTCTTAATACTGCATTAATAGTAGATGTCATTCAAGTGATAATGATCCTCAGATTTTAAACTAGAAAGAACTGGATAAAAACTGAATTTTCGTTTACTATTTTATTGCCATATACTATCACTTTGGCTTCTGTTTGCAATGGTTTTTATGGTTATTGTTCACAGTGAGGCAAGTCTCTCTGGAATTGACCATGTGGAGGAGATGGAACTGCTATTGGAAAATTACTACAGGCAGGCAGAAGATCTTATGAATGAAACCCGGGAACTTAAAATACTGATTGATGATTCTGAAAGTATCATCTTTATCAACTTAGACAGGTTAGCTGTGTGGAACATATTGTTAAAATTTAACATACACTGTTTAAAACTCATTTGACATTTAGATTTAAAAATAGTTTTGCTTATAAAGCTTTTTCTCAGATGAAATGAATAAATTTATTTTGTATTCCTATTAATTATTTAGTTATTTTAATAAATTATATTGCTATGCACATTCCATTATCAGTGCTAACTTGAGAAAGCCTGTTTTGGTTTTGATGAATTAATTTTTGTTGAATTAAGCTAATGGTTCTAAAGATGGACTGGTAGATTTCTGTCAATAATGAAATCAACCTAACCGTAAACTATTCTGGCTACATAAACAGTCCTTAACCTTTGTAACTGTAAAAAACTTTGTAGGCAAGTTAACCAGCATGTATGTCAGTTTGTCATTAGCATTGTGCCCATCTGCCATTTTTATACATGTTCAAAAAAATCAGCACCCAAATTTCCACAAAGTTAAGCTTGCATTAGTCAGGTCTTTACACATACTTTAAACAAGTTGCACAGCCTTTCATTAATTCAGTGACTATTTAAAGTTATGATGGCACTGAAGGAATGGTAGTTATGGCCAGTCCTCAAAGTTACACCTGTTGCAGTAGAGCAACAGCATTAAATGGATGGTATCATAGGTTGGGTAAATTGTTTAAATGGTAGTGGCTAGTGGTATATTTTTAAAAAATTGGTTGTAAACTGGTTTGCTACTCCTAGAAGCAAGTACGAAAGAGCATCTTTTCTAAAGTTGTTTACATCTCTGAAGCAAATGTTAACAGTCACATTTAATCCTTCAATTTAACAGAGTTATATTTTATCTTTTTAGCCACCGTAATGTTATGATGAGGTTAAACTTGCAGCTGACCATGGGTACTTTTTCAATCTCACTTTTTGGATTGATGGGAGTAGCATTTGGTATGAATTTGGAATCATCATTTGAAGAGGTGAGAAACAATACTGAAAACAACATTTCTAGATATTTTAGTAAAATATTCCAGTAAAGCCACAAAGGCTTCTTTTAATTGCATTGTTGCATTAACTGGCTTTTAGAACTTGACAGTAGAATATTTGTTGCTTAATAAATAGCTTAAGAGCATTGTTTCAGACTATTTATGCTCAAGCTATTTATGGTTTACATTTTTCTTTATGGGATGAATAGCAGCCATACTTGTTTTATGTCAGGTTACATCAAAAGGCTGGCAATTCAACTTGGTGAAAGCTGCACTAGTGATCATAACCATATTAAACAAACTCTGTCTTCTTTAGCCAATCCTCTTTAAAGGGCAGAAAAAGTTTCTGCAAGGTCCAATGGAGTAAATTAGGAAAAAAGAAGCAGCTTAAAACCATTGTCTTTGTTTAATGAACCCCAATGGGAAGAAAAGGATCCATTGTATATGCCAGGGATCTGTTTACTTTCCATGTCATTCCTACAGACTGATGTATTAAATGTTACTTCTGGGTAAATAAACCTGATATCATCAGTTAAAAGTCATTTTAAAAAATGCAGTAAGATTTAAAAACTAATGAAGGGTCCGAGGTGGGAATCACTCATTGTGTGCTCTTACCATATTAGAACCATGGAATGTTTTGGCTGGTGACAGGAATTATGTTCCTAGGCAGTGGCTTAATTTGGCGGCGCCTGCTTACGTTTCTTGGGCGGCATCTAGAACCATCAATGCTTCCACCAGTAAGTATGCTTTCACTATTACTACATTAAGCTACCTCATTCCTCCCCAACATTTTAGCTTAATTCTCATATGCAGGGAATAAAACCATCAACAAATCTCAGTTTGAATCATGAGTATCATATAATATTTTTCTAATATTTGATCAGATTCTTGTGTTCCTATAACTTCAGGGTGTTTGTTATTCCTTGCTCTGGGATTATAGAGGACAACTGTGATCTGATTTTTTTTGTGTTGATGTGAGAAGAGAACCATTCTTCTGTTTCTATTATATGGAAGAGATTTAGTTTGCCATGTATCTCACTGGAGTTTTTAATTTATAGTACATGGGATGCAGTATTTTGTAGTGGCTATTGGACTAGCACCAAGGAGACTCAGATTCAAATCCACCCTTAGCCATAAAAGCCCACTAGATAATTTTGGCCCGATTGCTGTCTGTCACAGCTTCACCTATCTCACAGAGTTGTTACGGGAGGAAAATGAGAGGAGGGAATACACTACCTTGAGTTCCTGAATAAAAGGTGGGATATCAATAAAACAAACAGGACAATGAATTATTGTGTATTTCTAGTTCTTTCCTCTGTATTTAGTCCAAGTGATGTTAATCTACAAGCTTTATTCAGATCCTTATTTCTATTGCTTAGCTTTTTGTTCTTGATAATGCTTGCAAGCATATTGAGGATTAAAAATGTATTTTGTATGAGTATTCTTTACAGAATGGCTTTGCTACTGTGTTTGGTTAAATTTTGTTTTCCTGCTGTGATCATAGAACCATTTACCCTCCATGACAACGCATCCTAATTTCAGACAGAATTCTTAATAACAGCCAGAATGAACTTCTGCTTTCTGGCACGCTTTTGAAGGGATGCTCCAATTTTAAAAAGTCAGATGTAGTCCTTTAAGAACTTGTTCTGCTTAACAGTGGTTATACACGGCTTAGCAGAGATGCACACAATTGATAAACCTCCATTTGATTCTGAGAGCATATTTTAGGTATACATAGTTCTTGACTAAGGAACAAGCCAGATTTTCCCTTTGCACCTTAATTGGATATGACTTCACTCTTTCCAAGGATACGATATTATATTTAGTGTTTGACATATTTAAGCAAATAAATAGTGATATGCTGCCAATGTTCATAAGCAAAAATACAGTATAGATCAGGAGTGTCCACCTTGGCAATTTTAAGATCTCTAGACTTCAACTCCCAGAATGGGGAATTCTGGGAGTTGAAGTCCATAAGTCTAAAAATTGCCAAGGTTGGACACCCCTAGTATACGTAATGAATCAGCCCATTCTATATATGAGGTTGAAAGAGGTAAGTGTGATTGTGCAAGTTAACTAGTGCAAGCAACCTTCCTTTTGCTTACTTAAGCACAACACTAATTTCCCCACCAGTTTTCACAATTCTCATTCTGTTATCTTTTCCTTCTTTAGATGCCGTCTTTATTGAAAAAAACACAGTCAGCCAATGGAAAAGTAGAGTTTAAGAATGTTTTCAAAACAGAATCCTTTGAGTCAAGCAGAAGTACAATGACCAGCCAATGACATGAATACTCCAGGATAACTTGAATTTGAGACTATCATCCTGGATTTACTTTTTCAAAAAAAAAAGTAGCAGCCTTTACCATTTGACTGTGTTATATCCCAAAAATACAAAGTTAAAAATCTTCAATTATGGAGAGAAGACTTCAGAGTTTTGAATACCACAGTAGAAAATTTAAATCATGCCCTTTTTTCCTCTAATAATGCCTTCTGTGGGAATTCTGATAAAATTTAACCTTTTGCCAATATAAGAAAAATGTGTCTACCCGAATAATAGTTTCACACATATTCCTTCATAGGTATAGTTCATAAAATGCAAAAAGTGTTGTCTAAATTATTTCTAAAGAGTGAGATATATTTATATAAAAATAGTGTTATCTCTGATAACAGATTCTTTTTTGAAAATAATATACCATAATATTAATTTCATGTTGTATTGTTTAGATTTAGTATTTTGTAAAGATACTGTTTTATTGCTCTCTCTTCAGTTAATGGATTTCAAAAGGTAAAAAGCTTATTTTACTCAATTTTATATTCCTGTCATAATTACCAAAAATAGAGTTACTAGTACTGTTTTAGGAGAAAGCTCCTTTTTAAGGAGGCTTTGTTTGCTTGTGAAGCTTCTTTAAAAAGGAGCTCATGAGAGAAGTACTATTTGCTTGCAGAAGGTTGCCATGAGGCAGGCAGCCTTTGTCAGAAAGCTGAGATTCACATTGCATCACATCAGCCAGGCTCTTCTACAAAAACAGAAAGGTAATTTGGGTGCTTGCTGAGCCCTGGAGCTGGGAGAGGAGCAGGCCGAGTCCTGCAAGTCCCTTGGGCGGCCAGATGGGAAGTAGGCCTTGGCTTACAGGCTGCAATTGCCCTATCACTTCTACAGACCATCTTCAGGCTCCTTTGGATAGCTGAATAGCCACTTGGAAGCAGGCCGATGCCTGGAGAAATTCCAAGGGGCAGACCCTGGGTTGGCTGGATGGGAAGTAGGCCTCAGCCTAGAGCAAGAGGGGGCAATTAATTTTCTCAAAGAACATGAGAAACGGACTCTTGTGGAGGGGTGTTGCTGCAACTGTCACAACCATGTCGCTGCCACTGCGCCAACACCACCGCCACACTGACACTTTTTCCCCAATGTGGGGCAAATGGGTTGTAAAATGCCCATGTCTGGCCTAGAGACTAGCTGCCTGGATGTACGAGTCACTTTTTCTGACCAGCGTTAGGCTCCCTTGCATGGCTGAATAAGCCAGCTTGGAAGCATGTAATGGCCTATGGGAATATTGAGGGGAAGGGAGCAGAGCACCAAGTGTCTGGTAGGCCTGTGGTAGGTGGCCTTGATCTATGTTAAGCCACCAAGTGCTTTCCAGATTCCCAAGGCACCCCATGCTCCTCTTAATGACCTGTACATTCATTTTATGATTGCATTAGGGAGAGCAGGAATAGGGTTCATGAAGTGAGACACTCAATGGCTGTCATGACATGCCACCATGATGGGCAGGTTCCATTATGGTCAGTTTAAAGCTACCTGTACTTTTATCTCAGTGCAGCATCAGTCTCATGACAACAATTGTAATATGAAGTCAGAGCTATGATTTTAGTCAAGAGTGGTTCCAAAATGCTACTCAGTCAGAAAAACAGTACTTGCTGCTTGCACTGCATCAAAGGCAAACTAATAATTCAGTCGTTATCTAGATCATTTAACTTAAGATAGAACATTAATTAATTATCCTAAATAGTATCAAGAAAATCAGATTCATGGTAGGCAAAATTGGGAATAAGTATAACAGGATCCAATCTGGGTTGGTCACCAGGACTAGAGGTTTAGTCTTCCAATCTTTTGGACTCGTGCGGAAGCCTATCCTCAGGGAACTTCTCTTCACCAGAATGTGTGAATAGGGTCCAGAATGAGTTCGAAAGCTGGAAAAACTAAGCCACTAGTCCTGGTGACCGACCCAGATTGGATCCTACAAAATTATCCTAGGACACATAATTTGTCTTCACTTATTGTCCATAGTGACTAACAACAACAACTCTGAATTTTGAGTACAGTTTTCTTCTATTGCCATCTGTTACTTTTCTTCTGTAGCCATCTGTTATTTGATCCTTTTAACTAGAAGTGTTAGGGATCAAACCTAGGCCTTTCCGTACATGAGCTATACAAATTACTTAACGGCGTAGTTGGAATATTGAGCCAGCTTCTTAAATTTACTGAATTTATCAAATACTGGTTCTCTAATGTTAGAAAGGTCCATGCATTGCATAGAGAATATATAAACTCCTGTTACTGGACTAGTTTGGACTAGAAATATACTAGGTAACTATTTGTTCTGAAGGAAAAATACTTTAATACCTGGCATTGTCTCCATGTCATCGTGTCAATATGCTTGGCCATGAATCATCTAATATCTAGGATCCAATCGTCAACAACTGAGCAAGATAGCAAACTTAAGTTTGATGCAATGAAAGTCAAATGAGTTATCGGTAATAAAAATATTGATTTCTTTAAATAGCTGTTACCTTGAGACAGATTCTCGTAAAGGTCACAAAGTTCTGGAACCTCAACTCATGTTCTTTATAGAAGTATTGTTATGCTACTTAATAATGTATAAAGTTATAATAATAGAGATAAAGAGAAAATCTATTTTATTGATGCTGGTTTTGTATAATTCACATTTACGATTCTTGGCTTTGTTCTCCAATATATTAAATCCAAGTCTGTTGGAATATTTTTTTTTTTAAAAAGTAAGACTATACCTGCTGTCATGCAACTGTTAAATAGCTAATGGCCAAAAGCTGCAAAAGATTTAGAAAAACTTCCCCTCATTATTCCATTTAACATGAACATCTTTAAAAAATTACTAATTTTAAGAAGCATGATTAACTTCTTAAAAGGTTTAGTATTGTTCATATACTAAGTCAGGAGCAGGTTTGTTATGCTGTTCTGCTTTCAGGAATTACTGGTGCACAAAACTTGGGATTACTTCATTGAAGAGATTCTTTGAAACACAGAATGATAATCAGAAGGTGTAAAGAAAAAGCCTTCCACTAAGTCGGGCTTTAGTTGAACTTCTTTCAGCAGCTACGATAACTTCGCTCTGTCAAGGCAGAAAACAGCTATTAATACTGCATCCTAGGGGGGAAAGTGTATCCTGAAATTTTTGTGACAGGATTATTTTGTCGACTGGAAAATGACAGCCAGAATTTTCAGCTGACATGGCCTTCATCTAGGAATTGGGGAAATTATACTTTCCACGCATGTGGAGGGCACTAAATTAGTTGCCAGTTTGGTCTAGTGATTAAGGCAATTGACTAGAGACCTAGTCCTGCTTTAGGCATAAAGCCAGATGAGTGATTTTGGGCCAGTCAATCTGTCTCAGAGTTAGGAAATGGGCAATGGCAAACCATTTCTGAAAAACCTTGCCAAGAAAACTGCAGGGATTTGTCCAGGCAGTCATCCAAGAATCAGACATCATTGAACGGAAAACAAAAAAGTCAGATTGGAAAGCTACCATTAAATGCTGAATGATCAGGAAAAAAAGATGTAGCAAGCATGGAGTTTTCCACAAATGATTTTGGTTTTCTGTGGGTTAAAAGTCAATTCAGTACATTTTCTTTATAATGATTTACAATCTGGGCTTGTTTTCCATTGAGAGGAAAAACCAGTACTACTTGTTTTAATTACCTTTTCTCCAGTTTTTATTGTGAGAAGAGCACTCCCAAATCTTGATTTTTCCTGCAATGAGAATAGATAGCCATCAATGACATACTCTGTAATTAAGGTGTTCACTACTGCTCCTGCCAAATTGCTACAACAGCAGTACTGGAATACAATATCTATTGAGCAAACGGCTTCAGGTTACCAAATGGATGAAGATACATGTTATAACACTGACGTTGGCGCATAACAATGCAAATGTTAAACTAATCTTTAAAACCACCAGAAAGTAATCTGTTCCCTGGCAATGATCTTTCTCTTGACAACCTGCTAGGTAGATTAAAAGACATGACTTATTGGGCTGTTGGCTGTGCCTAGCTTCAATTCTCCAAAAGCCACTGTCCTCGATCAAAATAAGATGAAAACGGTGAGCCGTAAGTAATTGGAAATGTGATTCTAAACATTTTTGCTTAGCCAAACGTCTGATTGAAATCAATGATTCAATAACAGGAACAACCTCTAAACTTACTAAAAACTGCAGCTGTCAAAAGTATCCAACTTTAATTACTATATCATGCTAATTATGACTGATTAAATACCATTAATTAGTCTATGTTAAATATGGCCCCAATGTTACATATCCATACTGTTCGAAAACCTTTGTCTTGTGATAATTTCATGCTTGAGTCTGGTTGAGTGAAAAAGGGAGGATTATTTTCCTGGTTCTAATGGATTATTAGTATGATGTTAGATTAGAAACAGCAAGACATTTATTATAACTTGAAGCTAAAAAAATTGGGTGTTTTAATATTTTCATCAATTGACAGTTTAATAGTTAAAGATTCCTTAGTGTTCGTGTTAAATTAAAGCAATAATCACATCAAAACGTTTTATTACCATACCTCTGGAGAAATTATAACATACTGTGCCTGGAAAAGGGAAAAAGAGAAAAGAATGAAAGGATACCATTATTTTTAATGGTACAATAATCATTTACAAGTATTTCTAAAGGGTTTCTGAGTTGATGAATATGCCTGATTTCTACTATGGAAACTCATTTCAGTGCAGAAATATAGAAAAATAGAAACTTATTCTATATAATGGTACTATCTGCTGAGCAGGAGCAATACACAATCATACAATTTTGGGTGCACATGCATATGTTTTAATTAATTTGTGCCCTTGTGTGTAAAAAAGTTAAATATTTAGGTGTTTTACTTTAGTGAAGTATTTTTTCCACCTTTTTTGAAGCCTTGTTTTTCTTAGCTTTTGTTTTGTGTTCTTTTTAGGTAACTTAATATAGCTTATTTTCTTCAGCTTCACAACTTATATGGAATTAGGTATGTTTTTGAAATGATTCAGTTTTATTATAAAGCAGTAATATGGTTACACTATTATATTGCTGCTTAGTTTTATGTAATATCCAATTTAACTTTTAAAAGGAATTTTAATTACCATATAATATTTTGACATTTAAATAAAAATATAATTTAAAACTAGTTTTCTTAAAACTATTTTAAGTGCAATCAGCAAACAACTTACCCACTCTTCAGGACAAGGGGAAAGCCATGATTTGCAGTGGTCTGTCACATGACCTGAAGTGGTCTGGTTTCCACTGTATATATAAATATATCCAACTTGTTCTCCAAACAATCCACCCATAATTTTTTGGTTTCGAAGAGGCGATGACACAATCATTTCATCTGTCAACATGCACGACAAAAGATTCACACTATAAATATGACCAAAATTACACGGGTAGTCCTCAACCTGCAACCACAATTGGGACCAGAATCTCGGCTGTTGAGCAAAACAGTCATTAAGCAAGATGCCCACATGACTTCTTGTGGGGTTGCCCTGAAGCAACCCACTCTGCCTGAACATATTGAGCATATTGGAAGAAGCAATTGGTAATAAACTGCTTCTTAGATAACTCAGGCTCTTGCCATGAAAGGCTTTGTAGGTAACAACCAAAATCTTGAGTTGCATCCAAAATCCAATTAGCAATTATTGCAGCTCATAAGATTAGAAGCAACCAAGGGATCAAGTGGTTTCAACCCACCTTTTTCATTGCCAGAGGTACCATTCATTCCCTCAAAGAGGGTGATACACCTCATGGCCACCTTCTGGGCTGCTTTGATAGTCCAGAAGGAGCTAGAATTTAACCAACTGGTAGCTAAGATGGCAGATTGGAGGATTTTATTCACTTCTTTGAGTATTACAGAGTTGAATTCAGTCCAATTCAGACCTCACAAGACTGCATTGGCAACTCACTTGAGAACAGGGATTTGTCTTTGAATTTACTGTATGAATGATGGCCATAGCTTTTACTTTTTTTGACCTGTCTTGGACACCCCTGCATTATTTCTCCTGCAGTGAGACAGGAAGACGAGCCTCAAATTGCTGCTGCAAAAGTTTACTTCCCTGGGAGAAAAAGAGGATGGTGGAATGCTGGATTCATCTTCAGTAGAATTTACTGTGCAATCTTTCTGATGTTTGACAATAAAAAATTGTAACTATACCAAGTCCATCGTTGTTCAGATCCCGTAACTGCACCTCTTCTCCAAAGCGTGAAAATCTCCTATCTCCATTAAATGTGCTTAGTAAGGAAGGCGTGCCATTTCCCATCAAGTCGTATATCAAAACACTTCCTGCTTGGTGTAGCGCTGAGGATATAAATGAAATCCTGGAGACGCTGTCTAAAGGAAACCAATCAAGGTGACAGAATTATGGTTGTTATAAAAATAAGTGTCAAGAAAGCATTGTTGAATTAAGAATCCACATTTAAATGCAGGAAACATTGGCTCTATTGAATCTATTTGAATTAATTATCAAGTAGTTTATCAACCAAGACCTGCTTTTAGAATAATTGTGAGCAGAGCTCCCAGTCTTAATGAAAACTATACTTTAATTTCAGCCAGGAGATACTATTTCAGCTAGGGAGGTTGCACTAAATAGTTGCATATCTCCAAGTCACAAAACTCAAAAAGCTGAAATGAACAGAATATTGGAGAAGAGAGATACAAGTTATGAGTTAGCTGGACCACTGCTCCAATGTTATTAAGCTCTGTGGCTCAGCAGACTAATTAACATCCACTTACATCTGCTGCCTGCAATTACTGCAAGTTCAAATCTCACCAGGCTCAAGGCTGACTCAACCTTCCATCCTTTCTAAGGTAGGTAAAATGAGGACCCAGATTATGGGGGCAATAAGCTGACTTTGTATAAATATACAAAAGTATGAAGGCTATTGCTTAACGCATTGTAAGCCGCCCTGAGTCTCTGGAGAAGGGTGGCATATAAATCAAATTTAAAAAAATAAAAAATAAAAATAAGCATGGCTCAGTCTAGACCTTTACCTATAGTAAAACAGGGAAGACACAGCAAAATGTAAAAGCACTAGTCAAGAGGAGAAGGAAGGAATGAAATCAGCAATAGGGCTGATTTAAGACTAACACAGTGGGAAAACCCTATATTGAATATATTACTGCATATGGTCCCATAAGGTCCCATTCATCTTTTGCAATAAGCATTGGAAAGTATTTCAGAGTGTCCTCATCTTTGATTTGGAATCCTTTACAGATTAAAATTGAAGTATTTCCCTTTTCAAATAGTAATGCCATTGTAGCCAACATTTTTATTTACAGCAAAACTTAAAATGGCTAGACTGAGGAACATCCCAGAAGAACTACTTAATAATACTTTCAACAGATTTGCATGAATGCAGTTACAAGGAGTTGATTCAGCTAGAAGGCATCTTCATGTTCCCTCAGAAGTAGACAACCCATATTCCCCAACTTTTATTTTTTTTAATGAATCTTTTGTTGTTGTTAGTTGCGAAGTCGTGTCTGACCCATCGCGACCCCCTGGACAATGTTCCTCCAGGCCTTCCTGTCCTCTACCATCCTCTGGAGTCCATTTAAGCTCACGCCTACTGCTTCAGTGACTCCATCCAGCCACCTCATTCTCTGTCATCCCCTTCTTCTTTTGCCCTCAATCTTTCCTAGCATTAGGCTCTTCTCCAGTGAGTCCTTCCTTCTCATAAAGTTGCCAAAGATTTGAGTTTCATCTTCAGGATCTGGCTTTCTAAAGAACAGTCAGGGTTAATCTCCTCTAGGATTGACCGGTTTGATTGCCTTGCAGTCCAAGGGACTCGCAGGAGTCTTCTCCAGCACTATAGTTCAAAGGCCTCAATTCTTTGGCGCTCAGCCTTTCTTATGGTCCAACTAATAAATCTTTTAATAAACCTGAAATCACATGTCTGAAAATCAAGATCGACTTCCTGATATAAAAGACCTAACAATCCAAAATAGGTCCCTAAGAAATCTAATTCAATCATTTGTGCATTATGTAAAGTTGTAAAGAACTAAGGACTCAAATGAACCAGCATGTCTGGGAACCAACAATGACAAAATATTACAGCCTCAATGTCTCAACATAAAAGCAACATACATCACAACAGGTCTGAATCATTGTATATAAACAATGCATGTATATTAAGTTGAATGGATTTTAATGAACTTTCTCTGTATATAACTAAATTTAGATTCAGTATTGCGATTCTTTGCCTATTGGGATTTCTTTATCATCTGTTTTATGCATTACTGAAATAAAAATGCTGCCAAGTCTTGTTCCAAGTTCAGAATTTCATACCTTGCGTTGGTGCGCCAACTATCAGTACTTGCTTGGAGATTCCTTCTATGGAAAGGAAACCAGTTGCCAAAGCTGAACCAAATTTCCCATTTTCCTGCATGTTTATAATATGAATATATATACATATATATAGTTAGTCTCATGAAATCAAAAATTCTCTTGTTCTTGTTTTTTCTATTATTTCAAAAGTCACCACTTACATCATCCCCACGTAAAGTGAACCAGCTTTTTGTGTTTGGTGGGATATAACCATATACCTTTCCAACAGCTTGCCTGTTGTGTTCAGAGAAATAGCACTCTAATCTAGAATACAAAATGGTTATAGTAAAAACAAAAACAAAAACCAGACCAATTAGGATAAACACTGAACAATACTGGAAAAAAAAATAATTGCAAGACATACTTTAGAATCAATATCAGTTTCATTTCAGAATTTCATTTTTTTTACCATTCTGCTATTCATCTCAACTTGTCAGGTTAATATGACCAGTGATCCCCATATACATAGACTATGACTCCCATTATCCTCCAGATTAATGCTCATTTTCTTGTGCTTGAGGTGCCACTTTAATGGTCTGCTTCTTCCAAAGGCAGATAGATTTATAAATGGATTTTTTTATTTATTTTTTTTGCTTTAATTTATATGCCGCCCTTCTCCGGAGACTCAGGGCGGCTTACAATGCGTTAAGCAATAGCCTTCATACTTTTGTATATTTATACAAAGTCAGCTTATTGCCCCCACAATCTGGGTCCTCATTTTACCTACCTTTGAAAGGATGGAAGGCTGAGTCAACCTTGAGCCTGGTGAGATTTGAACTTGCAGTAATTGCAGTAATTGCAAGCAGCAGATGTTAATTACAGTGCTTTAGTCCACTGTACTACAGGCTCTTCCCAATTTATAACTCCCTGGGGAGGTTTTGTCCAGACCACCAATTGCACCCTTTTCTGGGAGCTCATTATAGTTACTCCTGCCTTAGTATTTCACACATGGACTGCTGGAACATGGTCTTTAAGAGCCTTGGTGGCGCAGCAGACTAAAGTGCTGTTAAGTAACACCAGCTGCCTGCAATTACTGCAAGTTCAAATCTCACCATGCTCAAGGTTGATTCAGCCTTCCATTCTTTCGAGGTAGGTAAAATGAGGACCCGGATTGTGGGGGCAATAAGCTGACTTTGTATAAAAAAGAACACCACTTAGGAGGGGGCGAAAGCCCTACTAAGCAGATATATACAAAAGTATGAAGGCTATTGCTTAACGCATTGTAAGCCGCTCTGAGTCTCCGGAGAAGGGCAGCATATAAATCGAACCAATCAATCAATCAATCAATCAATCAATCAATCAATCAATCAATCAATAAATAAATAAGGTCTGCCTTTGAAGTTCACTTGGAAGCTGTAGCTGTTCCAAAATGCAGTAGTGAAGGCAGTTATGGATGTATCTCACTATTCCCACATAACACCTCCATTGCTTGAACTACTCGTATAGTGTTTATCATAAGCTTCCAGGTGCAGTTGAAGGTGTTGGCTATGTCTTATAAAATCTTTCATGGCATGAAGTCTAACCATCAAGAACTACCTCTCTCCCATTGACAGAGTGGGTATGCTATAGTTTCAATCTTTAAAACAGTATCATCAACGTAAAACAGGGACCTAATAGACATTCCTTCTCTGTTACAGTGCCTGCCTCTGTAATAATATTTTCCCTTCCCTGGAGATTTGAAGAGCCCCAATCCTCCTGTCCTTTAAATAAGCTTTAAAGATCTGATTTGTTTCAAGTGTTTTCAATCTTTAAATGTTTTTCAACCTTAGCATCTTTCAGATGTGTGGACTTTAACTCCAGAATTCTCCAGCCAACTCTCCAGTATGTTGAAATACATACATCTGAAAGTTGCCAAGGTTGAGAAACATTGCTGTCTGTTAAGAGAGTAAGTACCTTGTGAGAGGGTTGTATTAATGTGTTGGTTACGTTTGCCCCCAGGTGACTGCTTTCATTTATCTGTTTTATTGCATAATTTAAACTTGTACAGTACTCCTCCCAAAGTTGTTAAAAGCAAGACAGGTTATAAATTTGACAGACAAATAAAGCAAACTCACTTTCAAATAAATACAATATTAAGGCTTGGTCTTTACTTGTAACAAGGAAATGACTCATGGCCTTGATCCTAAACGAGCTGCATATACTTTTAAAATGATAAACATTATATTTTAGAAGAAAAATAGTTACTGAGCAACTTTAAATATTTTGAATCAGATGAATGGATTATTTATCCAGTATTGAGAACTGCAGGCAACTGATTATATTGCAATAGCAATAGCATTAGACTTATATACCACTTCATACCACTTTATAGCACTCTCTAAGCAGTTTACAGGGTCAGCATATTTACCCTAACAATCTGAGTTCTCATTTTACTGACTTCAGAAAGATGGGAAGCTGAGTCAACCTTGAGCCGATCAGGATCGAACTGCTGGCAGTGAGCAGAATCAGCATGCAATATTGCATTCTAACCACTGTGCCACCATGGCTCTTAATATATACCAGTTAATACAGGACCAGGGGTGAAATGCTCCCAGTTCGGACCGGCTTGGGCGAGTAGGTAGAGATGGCGGCGGGCAGTTCAGAGAACCAGTAGCAAAAATCCCTTCCCCCCCGCAGCCTCCAGGTTGCTTACCTTCGCACGTCTGCCTTGCTTCGCTTGCTATAATCCCTGCAATCCATTGCATCAGCAAGCAACTGAATCTTCCTGCCTTCAGTCAAGCTCATCGGTGAGCAGCTTTATCTGCCTGCCTGCCTGTAAGTTTTTTTCCCCTTTGGGAGCTTTAAAAAAAAAAGTTAATTGGGGGGTTTTTTAGTTGTTCTTTTTTTAGACCTAGTCATTTAAAGTTTAGGAAGTTTCAAATTTAGCTGCTTTTATATAAAAATTAAATTAAAATAAAATAATATTTGTGCAGCTTTCTGAGATTTTGTGTGTTTCTGTAGTGTTTCACTCTAACTACACAAACACACAAAATCTCACAAAGCTGTATCTGGAATTCTGTGTGTATAAAGTGTGAAAGTTGGTTTTTTGGACTTTTTGTGGCTGTGTGAGGTTCCTGCTTGTTGCGGGGGCCATTTTGCCCCTGCTTTTACAATGTGGGTGAGCCAGTTGTGTTGTGTTGTGTGTGTGTAAAGTGTGAAAGTTGGTTTTTTGGGCTTTTTGTGGCTGTGTGAAGTTCCTGCTTGTTGCAGGGGCCATTTTGGGTCTAGCACAGCTGCTTTTACATTGTGGGTGAGCCAGTTGTGTTGTGTTGTGTGTGTGTAAAGTGTGAAAGTTGTTTTTTGGGGCTTTTTGTGGTTGTGTGAGGTTCCTGCTTGTTGCAGGGACCATTTTGGGTCTAGCACAGCTGCTTTTACATTGTGGGTGAGCCAGTTGTGTTGTGTTGTGTTTTGTAGGTTAAAAAAGGGCAAAGAAGTTACATCGACTTGGCCACGCCCACCTGACCACCAAGCCACGCCCACCAATTAAGCCACGCTCACAGATCCAGTAGCAAAAAAAAATAGATTTCACCCCTGTACAGGACTATATGTGCTCTACAATACAATCAGTTGTAAAACCTAATTAGGACAGACACAGTTTGAGGCTTTATGTGTTTAGTCTTCCTTTAAATCAAAGGTGGACCATTTTTCTCTTCTAAGGGCTTTATTTAGCCTTTGAACGGTACACCAGGGAAATATTCCTAAAAGTCATGGGCAGAGTCAGGGTAAAATTGACACTGGTTTTATTTTATATATGTTTATATTTAATAAAAATATGATTATTTTCCAATCATGCATTTAATAATATTCCCCTTCTGACACATTAAGTTATAATTTGAGGTCATCTTTTGAAATTTCTAGGAACTGTAGCTAAGGCATATAAATTAACCCTGGGGCCATGAATTATATGTCTGATTCAGGTGCAGAAAACAAGGTCATACTTGGAAAAATGACTATTATTAGAACATCAGAGTTTTTATATGCAACAGACCAACATTTAGAGAAAACTGTTGATCTGCTGCATATATTTGTAATGAGAAAGTACAGAAGATGGGTTGTGAAGAGAGCCTAGAACAGGGATGGCTAACCTTTTTGCCATTGTGTGCCAAAAGCGGAGGGAGAACAGGGAAGTTGTGTGTGAGCATGCCTACACCCATCATTCAATGCCGCCCCACGCATGCGCGCGTGACCCTCTGCACTCCCCCTGCTTTTGGCGCCTGATGGCAAAAAGGTTACCAGTGGGCCCAGTAGGCCCGTTTTTCGCCCTTCCCACGCTCCAGAGGCTTTCTTGGAGCCTGGGAAGGACGAAAACGGCCTTCCCCACCCCTCTGGAGGCTGGAAATGGCCTGTTTCCTGACTTCCGGTGGGCCTGAAAGGCCCGAAAATCAGCTGGCCTTCGCGCATGTGCATGCTGGAGCTGAGCTAGGGCAACGCTCGCGTGCCCACAGATATGGCTCTGCGTGCCACCTGTGGCATGTGTGCCATAGGTCGCCATCACGGGCCTAGAAGACAATCACATACATAGATAGGTATTTAAAAATAAATGCATACACCTTCTACAATTTTTCCCGAAAGGACTTCCAATAAGCAGCAAGGTTTTATTTAGGAGCTGGACACTGCTGAGTGATGAGCCAAACCAATCATAATCTGATTCTCCTTTTACCATCCAGTCAGCATCTGATACAAAGAGCAGGCCTGACAAATAAGGAGAAAACTAGTGCTGATCAGAAAATTCTGTTTTTGAAACAGATTACATACAAGAAGCATTGCTTTGTTCAATCTTACTCTGTACCATGAACCATTACTTTATATACATGTAGATAAATACAGATAGAAGGATTTCCCTCCAGAATGAATATAAGCAGTGCTCGACTTATGGTCACAATTGACCCCAAAATTTCTGTTCCTAAGCAAGACATTTGTTAAGTGAGTTTTGCCCCATTTTATCACCTTTCTTGTCACAATTGTTAAGTGGATTGCTGCAGTTGTTAAGGTAGTGACAGTGTTGTTAAGTGAATCTGGCTTCCCCCGTTGATTTTGCTTGTCAGAAGGTCACAAAAGGTAATCACATGACCCCAGGACTCTGTAACTGTCATAAATATGAACCAATTGCCAAGTATCTGAATTTTGATAATGTGACCATGAGGATGCTACAATGGTCATATGAAAAACAGTGATATCTCACTTTTTTCAGTGCCATTCTAACTTTGAACAGTCACTAAACAAATAGCTATAGGTTAAGGACTACCTGTATCCCAAAATTTGAGATAGGAGGAGGTGGTTATGGATGGAGGATCTACAAACTCCCTTGTAAATACGAGGGCTCAACCCAGCACATTTCTATGTGTTGCTTATATAAACAAATGTTCTATTACTCTCTCTGTGTGTATGCATGTATATATAACTACTATTTTGAAGTAAAAAGGGACATGGTGGCTCAGTGGCTAAGATGCTGAGCTTGTCGATCGAAAGGTCAGCAGTTCAGCGGTTCAAATCCCTAGTGCCGCGTAACGGGGTGAGCTCCCGTTAATTGTCCCAGCTTCTGCCAACCTAGCAGTTCAAAAACACGTAAAAAATGCAAGTAGAAAAATAGGGACCACCTTTGGTGGGAAGGTGACAGCATTTCGTGCGTCTTTGGCATTTAGTCATGCCGGCCACATGACCACCAAGACGTCTTTGGATAGCGCTGGCTCTTCGGCTTTGAAACAGAAATGAGCACCGCCCCCTAGAGTCAGGAACAACTAGCACATATGTGTGAGGGGAACCTTTACCTTTACTTTATTTTGAAGTAGTCCTATACTGGACTGGGTATGGTGGCTAAAATTTGTATGTAAATAATACTCAGTTTGGGGAGGAACTTTAAGATTTTAAAGAATCTCAGTATCTTTTTCTAAGCCAGTTTTTCTCAACCTTTCAGCTTTAAGATGAGTGGAGTTCCAGAATTTCTGGGAGTTGGAAGTCCACACATCTTAAAGTTGCCAAGACCGAAAACACTACTTTAAGCCATGATGACAACTGCTTCAGAAAGAAATCCAGTACACTCTCTATGAAAAACTATTGGATGGCATATTAATCTCTTGCATTAATGCAACCTGGATTGAACCTAAATTAATGCAAAATTAATTAACCAGGTTACATATATGATACGTGAATGAACATTAAATATGTTGCCTAGGAATCATTCCTATGTGTGCTACTTAAAAACCTGAAGAAGGATCTATATTATTTTGACATGTGTTTCAGCAAGAATTTGAAAGTACCAATATACGATACTTAAGGAAACAAAAACATTTCCCAAACAAGCTTACTTTTCCTGTTTCTGTAAGAGGAAGAATAAAAAGAAGCCACAAATCCTCTTTGTATTCCATCAGCAGGTGCATATGGGGAACCAAGCACAAGGTCATTATCTCCATTCCTGTCAACATCAGCTGTCATCAGGGACCAGCCTAGATTACAATATATTTCCTGCAAAAGTAACAGAACAACAGAGTTGGAAGGTACCCCTGGAGGTCTTCTAGCCCAGGGGTCTGCAACTTTAAACACTCAAAGAGCCATTTGGACCCGTTTCCCACAGAAAAGAAAACACCAGGAGCCACAAACCTCGGTGGGCGTGGCCAACTCAATGCCACTCACTTTCACCAGTCATATGACCCCCCCCAGCCACACCTACCCAGCTGGTCATTAGGACAGAGAACCAGTTGTTAAAAAACAACAGGAACCAAGAGCCCTTTTGACATCTCTCTTTCCCCTCCTTCCCTCCCCCCTCCCTCTCTCTCCCCCTCTCTCTGTATCTCTCTGTCTCTGCCCCGGCCGCTTCTCCATCCCGCGCCGTCACCCTTACCTTCTCAGGCCAGGTGAGGAGTGACTGGGAGGGGAGGGCGAGGGGTGGGGCCAGCCAGTGATGGGATAACCCAACAGGGAGCCACAGCAGAGGGCCCAAAGAGCCGCATGTGGCTCCGGAGCCGCAGGTTGCAGACACCTGTTCTAGCCCAACCCCTCCTCAAGCAGAAGACCTATACCTTTTCAGATAACTGGTTGCCCAATCTCTTCTTAAAAACCTCCAGTGATGAAGCATCCACAATTTCTATTGTCAATAATTTGGTTTCCACAAAAAAAACCTTAACTGCTGAAATACAGCTTCTTCAGTAAAATTTATTTATAAAATAGGTATTATTACTGCATATTGAAACAACAGACACATTAGAACCATAGTTTGCCTTTTCTTATCAAAAGAATAAAAAGCTGCACCCTATATTAGCACTATCCACTCCTGAATGGTAAATGTATGTTAAAAATGTATCCATTAAAGAAGAATGTACACTACATACATTGTTTGATTGTGTTTAAAGGAAGGACACACAAGAATTATACTTTCATCCCAAATAAAAATTGTGCTGAATATCCAGGAAATTAATTTTCAAGATGCTTGTGACAAAAAAAAGTGGATTAAATCTAAATTCCATGCTTTGCCTTTTCATCAGCAAACTTACTTTACAAATTATGGTAATATTTGGAAGACTGTGGAAACCTCTTCCTCTGTTGCCAAGAAATATGTATACAGAACCCTAAATAAGAAAATAAGTTTTAATAGATTGTATATCCAAATTAAAGCTTTAGGTTTTAAAGTATTACAATGGCAGGGTTTTTTTTATTCTTTTCATTTTCACATTAAAATGCATTTCTAATAATTAGGTGAATTAAAATATAATACAAAGTCAAAATGCAGCAAATCACAGGATTGGACTATAAAAACCACCCAAACCTTTGTAATCCAGATTAACCTAATCAATTCAGATTAACCTAATCACTAATATAGGGTCAATATAAAATACAGGTAGTTCTCATTTAATAACCACAATTGGGCCCAGCAATTCAATTTTGAAGTGAAGCAGTTGCTGAGAGAAACTACAATTACTTATGATCTTATTTTAGCTTTCCTTTGCTTACAGACCTCAAAAATTACTTATTTACTGACTGACTGACTGATTGATCGATCGATTGACTGTCCATCTCATCAAAAGGAGACTCTGGGCAGCTCTGCTATGCAAATGCAAGGACTGGTCACAGAGTTTTCTTTTTCTTCACCTTTGTATATATGAATGGTCACTAAACATGCCAGCTGCTAAGGGAGGACTAAATGTAGATGAATTCTAAGATGGTCAATACATTGTTCCATCGTTGTTTTTTAATTTCAGACAATCAAAATAGTAAAGCAGCATTAAATGCATCCTAATTAGCAAATTTACTATTATTTTTTTTATAACCCATCTTTATTTATACAACCGAAAGCAGCCTGCACAATGCTCCCTCCTCCTATTTCCTCACCATAAAACTCTGAGAAGTGGGTGGGACTGAAAGAAAGCGACTGGCTTGAGATCACCCAGCTGGCTTTCATGCCTAAGGGAAGCCTGGAACTCACAGTCTCCTGCTTTCTAGGCAAACTACATCAAACTAACTATATTTTATGTTAGCATTTTACAGTTTCCTACCCTGTAACTAAGCTCCCGGGCTCCTACTGATGGGGCTCCTACTGCAAGATCCAATATTCCATCCACATTGAAGTCCAAAATTGCTATGGCAGAACCAAATCTTCCTGAAGGCTAGATAGAAGACAGACAGACATATTCATCACGCAGATACACAGGCATTTATATGCACGCACGCATGCACACACACACACATTTCATGAGCACAAAGTTATTTTAAAAAGAAGACATATTCAGATAATACACACATTGAGCACTGTTATTTTTTTAATGCAATTTCAGTAATAACAAGTTATGACAAGTTATTCTATTCATTAAGTAGGGAGCATTAAGAGCTAAAATGGATTTGATTGATGCTATATTAAACTCAGTGTCATCTGTTAAATTTTGTTTCTTTAAGTATAAGTCCTTTTATTCCTTACTACAAATTTAATTTAAATCGCCAGTGAACTCTATTCACGATTACCATGAGAACAACACCTTAATTGTTTGCCATCTGTACAGAATTTATTTAAACTGTCACTCCTTATGTGTATGTCCCTAGCAGTTCTATTCATTTAGTTATTTTGTTGAATTTAATTTCTATGAAATGGTTTATAAATTTAAAAATACTGCCTGAATAAGCCATGTAAAAGACAAAAACAATGACCAAATGTAACATCATTTGTGAGCCTGATATAGGTCTCCCAATTATTTGATTTTGGTAGCAATTAATATAAGCCTTCCTCTTGTGCCCTATAGATGATTTGGAGCATACAGAGGTCACAGAAATTCTGGTTGTAGTAGTTTTTACACATCTAGAAGGAAAAGCTTAGACAATAGTCTAGTTTCAATTAGCTACAAGAGAAGCCACATTAATGCAATTACTAAATAAAATAATAATGGAAATAGTGATCCAAAATAAAAACAAAAAATATTTAATTATCCATGTTCAACTTGTTTTGCTACCTTAGTGCCTTCTAGTATTTCATCTGCTTCTTGATCAAGGTCCAGGTTGGAATGAGGCAACCCGGATTCATTACCATAAACAATATAAATACGTCCCAACTGAATTTGCCCAAGCTGGCTGTAACCTGGTGCTCCAACCACCAGGTCATCATATCCATCCTGATTTAGGTCAGCTGAAGCCATAGCCCTGCATATGAAAGAAGATGGTGCCAATGTCCATTTGTTTGACATTTCCTGTGCAGATTTCAAAAATAATTGGATAGTTTCTAGTTATAGATGTAATTCCATAGAAGTCCTGAAGAGAAATTAGGGAGCCCAACTTAAGCCCAGAAATGCCAACATACTTCAGACATCTTTTTTTGTAGTTGCCTCACAGCCTATGACATTGCCAGATCCCTCCTCTATCTGATTTTCTATTTGCTTTTTTAAAAATACGTTACTTTTAGGCAGTGGTGGGTTTCAAATTTTTTTACTACTGGTTCTGTGGGCATGGCTTGGTGGGCATGGCATGGCTTGGTGGGCGTGGCATGGCATGGCAGGCATGGCAGGGGAAGGATACTGTAAAATCTCCATTTCCACCCCACTCCAGGGGAAGGTTACTGCAAAATCCCCATTTCCTCCCAATCAGCTGGGACTTGGGAGGCAGAGAATAGATGGGGGCAGGGCCAGTCAGGATTTTTATTACCGGTTCTCTGAACTACTCAAAATTTCCGCTACCGGTTCTCCAGAACTGGTCAGAACCTGCTGAAACCCACCTTTGGTTTTAGGGGAAAAAATGGAACAACAAAAACACATCAAGGAAACCCACATAACTTGTAATTACCCTAACTGAGGCTTCATCAAATCCACAGAAAGATCCAGCAGGAGCACTTTCACAAGAGATAGAAAAGAAGATAACAACAAACGGAGCAACATTGTTATTCCATGTGTTGCAGGAATATTGGAAAAGCTCAGGGGGATTTTCAACAAACACAACTTAAATGCACTGTTTAAACCCAGGAATACATTATCACATAAACTTGTACACCCTAAGGGCAAAACACTCAGACATAAACAGAGCAATGTTGTATATGCAGTGCAATGCAGTGAGAAATATGTAGGCCTGTACACTGGGGAAACTAAACAACCACTTCAAAAATGCATGGCACAACACAAGAGAACCAACTCATTAGGACAGGATTCAACAGTCCATCTGCATCTGAAAGACAAGGGTCACTCTTCTGAAGAGAGCAAAGTTCACATTCTGGACAGAGAAGACCAGTGGTTTGAAAGAGGAGTCAAAAACGCTATCTATATTAAAATTGAATAGTCCTCCCTCAACAGAGGGGGATGGATATGGCACCGCTTATCTCCTGTTTACAACACAGTGCTTTCAGCAGTCCCAAGAAAGTTCCATACTCGTTTGCGCTTTGATTCAAGTCACTCTGAGGATACAGCTAAACCCTCAAGTGGCCTCAAGTACTCTCACCATGGTAACAACCAGCTGACTGCAAAGAATATAAATCCTTCCATTCCCCAACCAGTTAGCTAGAACTGAAGAAGCTTCTTGGATGAGAAGCGAAACATTTTCAAAAAAAAAAAGCCAGAAAAGTCCAGTTGCCTTTTGAGAGGGGGGAAAAAAGATTGTCAGTCTCCATAGATATTCATTCACTGACATTCTGGCAAGTTTATTTCTAAACCAGTAAAGCAATTATATTATATATTATAAAGATAGTAAAGGTATTCAAATAATGCAAGTTCATTTAAACAATACATATACATATACATATACATATACATATACATATACATATATAGCAGGGGTGAAATCCAGCAGGTTCTGACAGGTTCTGGAGAACCGGTAGTGGAAATTTTGAGTAGTTAACCAGTAGCGGAAATGTTGAATAGTTTGGTGAACCGGAAAATGCCACTCTGGCTGGCCCGAGAGTGGGGTGGAAATGGAGATTTTGCAGTATCCTTCCCCTGCCATCCCCACCAAGCCACGCCCAACAAGCCACACCATGCCCAGCAAGCCACGCCCACAGAACCATTAGTAAAAAAATATGGATTTCACCACTGATATATATATAGAGAGAGAGAGAGAAGCAGAAACAAATGAATAAATCAGCACTCACGATCCAAGTTTTGCATATGGAGTTTTCAGAAAATATGAAGCACTGGGCTTGGTGATGTATTTCGATGAGCGTCGCTGTAGGACTCCCAACACGTTCATCAAACTCTCTGCTGTGTCACTATTTTGAAACTGAAGATAATTTTGGGAAATCATATGTGACCAAAAACATTGTAACTATTTACTGGATGCTGGAGTAGCAATTTATATTAGAGGTAAATGTCCATTTCTCATTTTCCAAAGACATTATTGCAACGAAGAAGCCTGGCATGACATCGGCACAGCTATTGCTGTATTAGAGTGTTGGTTTCACAATATAGAAGATATCAATGCAACACATGGCACTGGTTTCTTGAATTGTTTGCTAACTAGAGAAGCTTTCCGGGAAGAATTTTTTTAAAAAAAAATCTGCTGTCCATTTTGCTGATTAAATACCAGCACAGTGCTCATTCATGTTGTAGATATTGCTACAATACTTAGGCTGATATACAATGAGGGTAAGAAAAATGAAAAAAAAAGAGAAGAAGGGGAAGTGAGTCTTTTTGGCGCCAATTTTCTCAGCACCAAAAAAATCTTGCTTCTTCCTCATGCCCCCCCTCCCCCGGTTAAACTATTCACTGACTTTTCACTTAATTTAGCTTGTCTAGGCAGCAATGGGAAACCACCACTTTTGTACTGGAGCAACAAATCACAGGAGGAGTCTGCCTTCACAGTGGGTCAGGGCAGACTGAGGAACATGTCCATTCCTCAAGAAACACCAGATAGGTCATCCTTGAGTAAAGCACTGTTTAGAGTGTACTCCTACTAACTGGAAGACAATGTGGCTCTAATTTACTGATTATTAGACCTCCACAGATTCTCAGTTTCATTTTGTACCCAATAGAATTGCTGGGAAAACAACTCAAAAACTGGTGAGGATTACACAGCTATCAATTCTCTCATCAAGGACAAACTGCTTCGCTTTCTGCATGGCTCCTTTCTCTTTTTCCCCATCATCAACTTTCATTTCTCTCCCTCTTCTGAATCCATCCAGCAAATCTTGCCCAACTATACTCAAAGCTGCAGTTTTAGAGTCAGAACAAATTCTACATCTACAAAATAATAAAACTTACAACAAGATTAAAACCCAGGTCGTTCTACATGCATGTCAATGCCACATGTACATGCAAATGTGGAAGGGGTTTGATCATTCTGCTGCAACCACCACTGTGCCTATTTTGACCTCCCTTGCACATACCACTGAGCTGGGATATTATTGAAAGAATAACATTTAAAAGAATTAAAGAAACAAAAGATGTCCAATCCTGAGAATCTCCAGCAATTAATGTCTAAATTGCAATCATGTGTTTGGTTGACATTCATGTTTAGACCCAAAAGAAATTACCATTGTCCAACCGGGAACTTTTAAATAAACTCCTCTTTCTGTAAAACTGATATTCTTTTCAACTGATTTGGCCACTTCAGAAGTTATCTTCCTGTGGTGTTGAGTTCTGGATTCTTTAAACCTATTGAAATAAGATACAATACGTAGAAAGTTTCTGTATAGGAAGATAAAAATGGGATAAGTATGGGGCTGGCTAAATTCACATTGCAGACAACAAAAATAAATGAATGAATTTTTAAAAAATCAAATATTTTAGTTACAAAATAACAAAAGTTTTCCTGTTTTTCTGAATTGAGATTGTAATTGTTCTTAAATAATTCGGAACCAAGTTTGTGTTTAATTTAAATGCTCATTCCATTCTTGTCTGTGAAGTTCTTCATACTGGAGAGTTTAGTATTTTAATATGTTTTTTTAAAAATGACAGTTCTTCATTATAGAGTTTATACCAGCCCTTTATTTAAACCACTTGGAGTCAACTTGGATGAACTGGGTGGTCATACAAGTTTTCTTAGTAAAATAAAAAGAAATCAAAGCTGATATAATTGTTGTCTTCTGTAGCCAAATTGCTGACTGTGGAATCATTGGCATCAATATTAGTTTAATACAAATTTTAATGAAATGATGTATTTATATTATGTTTATGAACATATTACTGACATTTTGTGTATTACCAATATTATGAATATTTGTAAGCTACCTGGAGACTATTTTGGACTGAGGTGGTGGACAAATTGTATAAATAAAATAATATCTCAGCAATATCTATTTTCTGCTATACACTTCTAAGATTACCTTTAATACATCTTGTTTAAAGACAGAAAAATACAACAATTTGAAATAAAACAACTAGTTAAATTAGGCTAATTAATATACTTACATCGGAAAGTTTCTCTGTTCATCTTCACACCGTATAAACAAAGGATTCTCAGGAATAAAGCAGCCACTGAAGAAAACATTAATAGATTAATTGTATTTAATATGTTTCAATTTTTAGCATGCCCACAATTCCCCCTACATGGTCATCATTTAATGACTGTTTCATTTAGTGACCATTCAGTTACAACAGTGATGACAAAGTAACTTTACAACCAATCCATGCATTTATGACCTTCACAGATCGGTAAAGCAAGGGAAAGCTAAAGTATTTTTAGCTTATTAATAATACCATACAAGTTAAAATTAAAGATAAACCCTAATAAGCAGCAATGAAATACACATTCATTCTATACTGTCTACATTTTGAATCACAATTTGGTTGAATCAAGCTTTTGAGGAAAAATGCATTTTTTCCATGTAGAAAAAAACAGTATGGTTTTTTTCCCCCAGGAACGAGCATTTGGAATTATTAACAAATACCTTACCTAGTACCATAGTTTAACATCCAACTGGTTAACTGAAAAATATTATTAGATGAGAATGCCATATCATCCACTCCGCCAAGGAAATAGTCATAGAATTTGTCCACTAAAAATGGGGACTTATTGGCATAGATGGGGTAAAGCTGTGAAGAATAAGATGCAATTTAATTAGTAAGTTGGCTATTTCAACATTCGCACCCAATGAATTTCTTTTTTAGGAAAATATACTTACCTTGGCAGCAGCGATGATCTCAGCATAGCTATGGAAGCAAGTATTTATACTTTACTATCATTATACAACTTTTCAATGCAGAAAAAAAATGCTTCTTGAAGACCAAGTTTTGTATATTGCCTTTAACAATACCAAAAAGACACAATGGATCTTTTGAAACTCATAGAATTCATATAACATTGAAATGACTGCTAGTAATGTTTTCTTCATTAGAAACATAATGAGACAATTCCAATTAAAGTGTTTTGAATGAAGTACAGAGATAAATTATGAGTGTCATACTCTTATTTTTCCTGCCCCTTTTCTTCTCCCTCTTTTCCTTCCCTCGTTTTGATTAGCCACAATTTAGTACAGTATTATGCCTATACGCTGAAAAAACATAGTAAACGTTAATTATACTTTATTGAAGCAATGCATTATAAATCTTTACTATGGAAGCAATGATTGCTGACAGACATAGCAAATGTTGAAATACTTCATCATCGTGACATTGATTTCAAAGTTACACTGTGAACTTCTCTAAAAATGAAGGTATTTATATAAACATAATCTGCCCTATTTAACAGGATCAATACACATGGCAAGTTTAAAGCAATATACTGTATAGTGGCTATCATATATATATATATATATTGTATGTATATTGTTTGCTTTTAACTCTGGCCAATAATCACAGTTATCTGGTTATGACATTGTTATAAAGATTAAATAACCAGCAAAACTATTGAAACAATAAAAGCAATAAAACACCTCAATAAGAAGACTCCTGTACATCCTTTATAACCTCTTATAAGCTCTTAGATGTATTTTATCAGATAAAATTACCAAACTATTTATCATACTACTAATCCATCTCCTTTATTGGAGACCTGCTCCCAAAATGTAAAAATATCCCCTCAATGACTTCTGTTTTTTACGCCTGATCTTATCCAACTTTCACCATATACCAGTGTTTCCTCAACCCTTGCTTGACAATCCATCACTAATTAAAAAAATCTTCTCATTTGTTTTAAAACATGTTAACTTTGACTTTTACTTACAGATTAAGGAGTAGCAGATAGCTGCAGTCAACAATAGCATTTTCAGTTATCACCTCCTTTCCATAATAATCCTCATAGATTGACAGTAAATCTTTAACAGGCACATACCTAAAAGTATTAATATCAGAATTTTGATTGAAGCCAACAAAATGCACTGGCATAATAAATTATCAAAACCAATTCTTTCTCTCCTCTTCCAGATTAATATTGAAAACATTATAGAAATCGTATACTAATCAAACAGTACATCAGCAATATGTAACTGGTAGCATGATGCAGCTTAGATATACTGTAGAGCAGGGATGTCAAACTGGTGGCCTGCGGGCCAGATGCATCACATGCAGGTCACATCCACCCCAGTTCCGCAAAGGGAAAAAAATGTCGTGGAACATCATGTGATGGCAACGCAACGGCACGAGTTTGACACCCGTGCTGTAGAGCACAGGTTTGTATTCCAAAAATCTTAAGTTATTTTTTTTACTTTTCTAGGACTAGGAATTTAAGCTCCTGGAGGAAAGACTGAATAGAAATCTAACAAACAAACAAACATAAATGAAAAAGATCTACTATAGGCAATACTCTGCTCTGTAATACAATATTCAGAGTTACAGTAAACCAGGAACTTAAACTGCAGATCACAGTGCTCAATTTATTAGCTTTATTTTCTTGGGTGTAAATATAGTATGGTCTGATCCTAGACCATCCAAATTCTTCCCCCGAGCTCCATTTTTTTAAAAATAGAAACATTCAGAAACCTATGATTACAGCTTCAAAGATTAATAAAAGTAAAACTAAATCAAAATAAGCAATTGGCAAATAGTGTAAGATTTCTCAGAAATAATAGGTTTCATATGTTCTGTGAACCTGACACAGTGCATTAAAGTAATCAGAGCAGAATGTAATCAAGGTATGGATACTATTACCAGAAATGAGGGTTGTATTAAGTGAACCATGAATACTAGATGCTAATATGATCCATCTAGCATTATGTAAAGCTGTGGACTATGTTCTACTAAACTGAACAAGTTACCCTTGATCTTCTTCATTCAGTACAACATTAAACTCTAATTCACAATGTTTTCTTGAGCACCTGACTGGCTGAGTAGAAAAGAATAATAGATTTCAGTAACCATTTCTCTCTCATTCTTCCTCAGCAATTTGCAACACTATGTGAATGCATGGATCATTGTACTCAATGGCCACCAGTAGCCTCTTACCGACCAGTACGCTCCCATAGAGAGGGGCTTCTTAGGGTGCCGTTGGTCAAACAGTGTCAACTGGCAGCCCCCAGGGGGAGAGCCATCTCTGTGGGAGCATCTGCCATCTGGAACGAGCTCCCCCCGGAGATACGGAGGATCACTGATCTGCGCGCTTTCCGCCATGCCCTTAAAACATTACTATTCCAGCAGGCCGGCCTGGCCTAACCTCTTTTTTAAATTGTTTTTTAAATTTTTTAAATTTTAAATTTGTCTTATAATTGGGGTTTTTAAATTTTGTTTTCTGGGCCAAATTATTTAATTGTATTTTAATGATTTTTTAACGTTTGTATTATTTTATCTTTTGGCTGTTCACCGCCCTGAGTCCTTCAGGAGTAGGGTGGTATATAAATTCAATAAATAAAATAAAATAAAATAAAATAAAATAAAATAAAATAAAATAAATGTCCATATGCATCAAACATGAACAATCGCGTTTGTAGGCTCTTACCAGCTTGCGTTCAAATAATCAAAATCAAGTTCATATTGGCTTAACACATCTCCCCCTAAAATTAGAATGAAAGGAGTGTATGTTATTGATTTATTAAAGAACAACAAAAGATGTATCATCATTTTGAAGCTTTATGAATATAATCCCTTATATATCATATGATTTAACCTAACACAATCTTCACAGGATAACCATTCATGTCTGAATGGAGCCCAAACAGGTATGGCATTGTGAGCATTGCAGTAATATTGGATAAGTCACATGGGCTTTTCGTATAAGATTGGCAGCCCTTCTATGTGGGTTGCGTTTTTCTCTCTCTCTTATAGATAGCGGCACATGTTTTATAGCCATAATGGGACAGTATCAAAGGAATTGGAAATGCCAATGATAGTCTTTGAAATGTCAGCCCTTGTGCAACAAGGATCAAATGGCTCATGAAACTCAAAATAAATTTCAGAAAACCTTGTGATACATCATGGGAATCTACAATTTTAGAAAATCTCACTGCTTATATACAGACCTATGAATAATGTAAAGTTCCATCTTAATGTAAAGTGGAATCTATAATTTATAGTTCCATTAAAATACATCGAATGGGGACATATCAGAAATGGAAAACAACAGCTGATATATATTGAATATCAAGTTGTTCTAGGGGACAGGGGAAACAAAAATGGAGAATGCGTATGGTATAGGCATTATGGTATGTACCAGTGGTGGGTTGCTCCCCGTTCTCTCCGGTTCTTTAGAACCAATAGTAAAAGCGGCGGGAGACTCCACCCACCTGCCCAGACGTCAGAATTGACAATCTGCACAGAAGCTTCGAACCGGTAGTAAAGGTAAGTAGAATTCACCCCTGGTATGTACCCTAACAACCACACTCATATACACATATATACTTTTCAAATAAAATTATAGAATGCCATCTCCACTGTCTAATAACCTTGAGACATTCAAAGGAAATTTGGGGAGAGTTTTCTAAGATTTATAAGTACATAAATTACCAAAATCACCAGTAGAATGAGCTTGTGAATATGAGCCATGAAAATCAATCTAAATAAAAAAGGAACAATATTATTTATAATTCATTATCTCTTTAACAACTAAAGAAATGTTAAGTGCTTTTTAAAAAAATTCTTCTTTTTTTAAACTAATCCAGTTTGTAGAGATGAAAGAGTCCCTTCTGGTTTTTTCCCTGCCTGTGTATATAAGAATTCTCTAGAAATACTAGTTCGTTGGCAATTGATTGCAAAAATCCCTTCTGTTTCTTGTTTCTCTTCTACCTATTTTCAGAACTGCCCAAGTGCTTTCATTCAGCCCCAACATGTAAACAGCTTTGCAGTTAGCAGCTTTCATCCATAAAAAGCTAAAAAAGAAACCCAATAGACAAATATTTTTGCTATAAGCTATATTATGCTTTAAAAGAGCAACATATGGATATTCAAAGATGTGGTCAAGACATTAGTGATTAAAATATATATAGTTTTTTGTTATGGTTTATAAAAGCATTGCAGACTGCGAGCATCTGGTTTATTTTTTAATTTTCTATTGGCATTTGCGAGGATGAACCAAAATAATAAGCACAATTGTAAAATAAGCATGTGGAAAAATACTATGCCTAAAAACAGAACGCTACTTACAGCTGCCATGTCCCGTAGAAATCCTTGTTCAATCCCCAAGCTGTGCCAGCTTACATCTGCCACCATGTGCGAGGCAATCCCAAAGAGAAAAGCCACCAGCTTCTCTGTAGCCTATGTACCATTATTTTTTTTTAAAAAAAGTAACTCCATAGTAACATCATTAAAACCAAGTGGACAAAAGACAGACAATATGTGACACCTGTGAGCCAATCTATTTGGGTGATGAAAATTGATTGCAATTTCACACATACAAATATGAATTAGGTAGCTTTAGTTTTAATAGTTGAAATGGTCAGACTGCATATGAAAGATGGGTTCTAAAGACAAACATGAGTGAGAGAAGGGAAAAGGTAGCAAATATGAGTTTATAGACCTTTTTGATTTAGAAGGTTTCCACCACCAAATTAGAGATGAATCAATCACTGTAGAGTGTACGAACAGTAATCATGTGCCATTTCTTATATAGATAGCCCTTTATTTCAGAAAGTTGTCCTTTAGACATATTTTTCAAAAACTCACTTTTAGCTTTTATTTCGTCCTTCTAACTTTTACTGTACAAATGCTACCACTTAGCACCCGTTGTGAAAAATATGGAAATGGAACTGTCTTTTTCAAATAAATTTACATTTTATATTTTTTTATTATCTAGATATTTTTGTAAGACTTTCCTTAATTTTGCTCTTGAATTTGCATTTGTAAGACAAAGTTATACATATAAACAATTAAAATGTTTAATTCTTATGGATGTCTTTTAGATTTCCCCCCTTTTCAGGTTTGTCTTTTATTTTTTCCAGAAAAATATGATCAGTGTAATTATAATATATCTGACTATATATCTTGAGAATCAGCAGAAGAATAAAGTATAATTTCAAAAGACTGTTTGTTTACCTTATTTGAATGATCCTTGAGTAGCTTTTATTGACTGCTACATTTTCAACTATTTTTTTTTCCAGTAAAGTAGTATTTCCACCACAAGTCAGATGGAATGAGAGAAGAACCTAAAGCTCTATTTTTAGCTAATTAAAACAGCTGTCACCAAAAGAACTGGCATTTTTTTTCTTACCTTCTATTTTTAGGTATAAAGGTGAGCGAGAAATACAGTTTTTGAAAAGAGTATTCAGGGCTTCAAAGGGAACAAGAGATGGAAAATGTTATTACCTCTTCCCATGGCTGTGGATAGTTCTTTCTGATATAATGGATACTTGTGTTGAGAAAAGGTGACCAGTGAGTGTCTTCAGAAACATAATGGAACAACCCTGACATTAAAAAAAACCAAAACTCTCATATTTATTCTACATGTTGCATTTTAGTCATACAGAATGTAACATTCAGTAACATTTTAATGGCAAAGTATTACCGTGTTTCCCCGAAAATAAGATCTCCCTGGATAATAAGCCCAATCAGGCTTTTAAACGCATGCGCTAAAATAACCCCCCCCCCCAAAAAATAAGCCCTCCCGAAAAATATTTAAACGCATGCACAGCCGGTCCCTGCCATTTCCTCTGGTTAGGATTAGGGAGACAGAGCTGGAAATCAGGTAAGACGGCAAGAGGAGCCCCGCCTTGCTCCACATGCCCCAAAATAATAAGACCTCCCCCAAAATAAGGCCAAGCGCTTATTTCGGGCTTCAAAAAAATATAAGACACGGTCTTATTTTCGGGGAAACACGGGTACATGAAAATATTTTAATGTATTCAGCAAAACATTTAATAAAATCTCAATAATGTGAATAATAAAAACATCCAAGATCCCATGCCAAGATCAAAAACATTCCCATAAGAATGCAGTGAGAAGCAAGTTCTGCACTGCATTGGTATATCCATAAAATCACCAGACGTCAACCTTGATTTAAAACAGACTTTATCTGTTCACTGTGTATGCTCTGATTTTAATACGATACGCATTAATAAACGTTTCAAATAATTGCAGTTTATTGTTAGATAAGAAGATGGGCTATTTAGAATGATTTACCCATATACTGTAAGCCAAAATAATGAAGTAAAACCACAGTTAGTCAAGAAGAGGCATGCCTCATTAGTGTCTAAAGAAGACAGATTCTCCTACATGATTGTAATGCATCAAGAATTTATTCACGCTTATTGATGTATTCCAGACAACTTCATTAATCAAAGGACTGGCCTACTTTTGCAATAATGTGATCATATTAAAAAATAATATTTGACCGAGGATCTCCTACCGTTTTGACAGAGGTCAGAATAAAAAGCATCAGGATATAGACTTCCTGCTTGATATGCATCTTGGTGAGCTAGTATTAACTGCACAATAGAATAAAGAAACAAACATATAAGCATTAAAAGGATATTATTATAATGCTTAAAATTTTAAGTTTATTTTAACAAAATTAAAATCATTCCCCTGAAAGATTAGAGAAGATAAGCCACTCCACATGATTTGTCTTTAGTATCAGATTATTAGAAAGTTGTTCTAAATAGGCCCTTGCCTTAGCTAATACTCATTAACAGTAATTTCTACAGTAAGGTAAAAGTAAAGGTTCCCCTCGTACATATGTGCAAGTCGTTCCCAACTCTAGGGGGCGGTGCTCATCTCAGTTTCTAAGCCGAAGAGCCAGAGCTGTCTGATGACAATTCCATGGTCATGTCGCTGGCATGACTAAATGCCAAAGGCACACGGAACGCTGTTATCTTCCCACCAAGGTGGTCTCTATTTTTTCTACTTGCATTTTTACATGCTTTCGAACTGCTAGGTTGGCAGAAGCTGGGGCAAGTAATGGGAGCTCACTCCGTTATGCGGCGCTAGGGATTCGAACCGCTGAACTGCTGACCTTTCTAATCGACAAGCTCAGTGTCTTCGTTACTAGCTACCAGTAATTCATCTTAAATCCAGATGTGCACCTTTTTTCAGTGTAATGCCTTTCAACATGCTTATAGAAAATTCTGAGAGCTGTCTGCAAAATACCATCCAGACTGGGAAGTTGGTTCCCTAACTATCCCTCCTCATATTATTCAACAACAATATACTCTATAGATTATTTGTCCTACATTTCCAAGCATGAAATCAGGAGCTTATTGGAATCTATCAACTTTTAGGAAACTATTACTCTGGTCAGCGAAAGAACTTCTTACATATCTACCGATAGTTAATAGCCTACATATTTAGCTAAGTAGCTGAAAAAGTAAAACACTGTACACATTATTATTTATTTTTCCTCCCACCTAACAAAGTGACTAGAGTTAAAAACACAATTAAAATCTATCCCATATTTATGTATGGTGTTTTCTTGGCTAAACCAAGCCAACGGGGTTGACGTGCTTCAGTTCTTTCAATTGAATAGCGTCAACCTTTGGGACCCAGACCTTCTTCATCACAGTGTCTGTCCTCTGAAATAAAGTTCACCCTGAAATCTGAGTGGCTCTAACTCTGATAACATTTTAAACAGTCTTGAAAATCTGGCTCTTCTTCCAGGCCTTGGATTAGGGTGGCTAGAGTCCCTTTTGAGTCCCATCTTGGCTACCTTCAGCATCTTGTTCTTCATCTACTTTTCTTATTGGTTTTTCCTAATTGTTTTTGAATTGTACTCTATTTTGTTTGTTATACAGGTAGTCCTTGACTTACAACCATTCATTTACTGACTGTTCAAAGTTACAACGGTACTGAAAAAAGTGAGGTATGACCATTTTTCACACTTATGACATGGCATCCACATGGTCATGTGATGAAAATTCATATGCTTGGCAACTGATTCACATTTGTGATGGTTGCAGTTTTCTGGGATCATGGGATCACCTTCAGACAAGCAAAGTCAATGGGGAAGCCAGAATCACTTAACAACTGTATTACCACCTTAACCACTGCAGTGATTAACTTAACAACTATGGCAAGTAAGATGGAGCAAAATTCACTTAACAACTCTCTCCCTTAGCCACAGAAATTTTGAGCTCAATTTTGGCAGTAACTCAAGGACTACCTGTATTGTGCACCACTGGTAGTCATTTGAAGTCAAGCGGAAATTTAATAAATTTACTTTACTTTACTTTACTTTACTTTACTTTACTTTACTTTACTTTACTTTACTTTACTTTACTTTACTGGTTAGGGTTAGGGTTAGGGTTAGGGTTAGGGTTAGGGTTAGGGTTAGGGTTAGGGTTAGGGTTAATCTATAGCCCTATCTATAGGCTGGGCAGTATTATGGTATTGATTCATGTTACAATAATAAAACTTCTACCTTACGATAGTCAAGTTGTCCATCTTGCTGGCTGAAAAATTCCAGCCCTCTATGAGCTGAAAAAAAATAAGATCACAATACATTTAGCAATGTACATTTGTAATAGGATCGAGAAACTGTAGGGAAGAATCAGGTACAGCTTTTCAGTCAATAAATATCCAGTTTATATAGGTACTCACACATGCTTTCCAAAATGCTGGGCCTTTCCTCACAGTTCAGTTAAAATGTTATCTCTCTGTCCTTCAGCCAATACAAATTATTTTCTTCTTTTAACGATCCTGTAATCCAGTGATGGGATTCAGCCGGTTCTCTCCAGATTGCGTGAACTGGTAGCGGTGACTGCGGGAGGGCCCGCCCACCCGCCCTGACGTAATGCGTGACTACTGTGCATGCGCAGGTTGTGCGCATACGCAGAGGTGCGCACATGCAGAGGCTGTGCGCATGCGTGCACTTTCACATTTGCGAACCAATAGGGAAGGTAAGTGAATCCCACCTCTGCTGTAATCCCTTGCATCAGGCTGGAGTTGGGGTGACTGAACACAGCACAAGTGTTTACTGGCTGGATGCCTTTCCTGATGCCTACGCGGAGTTCGCAGCAATTACTCATTGTGCCCAGAGAGAAATATCTGCCTCTCTCTAGGATCGAACTCACAGCCTCCCGATTGTCAAGCAAGAGCTGCCCCTCTAGGCCATCACGGCACTCTCAGCTAACAAAAATACCAGCATAAAATGTTCTGTCCCCATTACAGATCCCCAAGTGGCTCCCTGGTCCTCTGTTCTGGCTTGTTGCCAAATGGTTGTATCTTGCTTTCATGTCTGCAGGGCAGGTTAATCAAAACATTTACTATTGTCTCTGATTTTGCTGCTTTTTCCTGAATTATATCAACCAGCAGGATTCTATCTGCCAATCATGAATTCAGTCAGCTGTCAAAAATTATCGAGGTGGATAATCCAAGGCAGTTGTCTCTAAAATAGGAAAGGCTCTCCTGTTTTACTAGGCAACCCAAATGATCATCCCACTGGATGGGCTCGTTTTGATACTGTGTTTAGGCTAAGGCAGAACAGGCCCCTCTCAAATCATGGATTGACTGCTTTCAAGTGGGCCTGTTTTGAAAGCGAGTTTAGTTCTAAACTTAGTGTCCAAATAACTTCCCAGCATCTGTGTAAGGAAAACCTGCACCACTCACAGACATATTAGCTGACCAATGGCTTTGTTTGACAATGGATATCCAAAGAATTGCGTCAAAAAGAGCCAACCAAGCAGTTGATCATAATGGCAGCCTAGGAAAGCAGAACTGCTTCTGCTTCTCCAATGCTTTTCCAAAGGACTCTATATATGTAGTCAAAACAATACATGGTTTAATTTTCAGAACATGGTTTTTTCCAATTCTTTGTCTTCTATTCTACTATTATTATTACAACTAGTTATCTACTTCTACTAACAGCTTACCTATTTCAATATGTGTTGATGGACCACATGGCATCATTCTTTCACAAAAATTGCAAAGTACAGCCAGAATCAACCAAATTCTAAAAGCTTCCATGCCACTGATAAATCTCTTCTATATGCCACAATTCTGAAGATGCTTTCAATAGGATTGCAACCTTTGAAATATGAAAGTAGAGTACATTTCTGAATCAAATAGGACAATGGCACTGATGCAAAGGCCTCATGCTTGAAATTCAATTCCCCATTTCAGTCAACTAACTAGATTGTTTTATTTTACAGAGAAGAATTAGACCAAAAGAAACCTAAAATCCCTTACTCATTGGTAATGAGTCAAATCATGCCTAAAATTGAGAAAGTGAACTGCTATTAAAGAGAACACTTAGAAAAACCCCTCTTCTAATTCTTGCTTATTTAGCCAATCAAGAGTTATCTCCAGATGGATAGCTCCTCTGCTTCAACTAAAAGTCATTGCTTAATGGAGTTTCTGTCATATAAAATAAAGAAGCCAGAGACAAATATAACAGATTGCAAATGCAAGATCTTATCTTCCTTAAAATTAGGAGTTGTGTGTTTACATAATAAAATGTTCATCTGGCAGCCTCCCTTGCCAAATATGGTAGCTGTACCAAAAAAAAATATTTGGTACAGCAAACAATATCCATCTTTTTGGAAAAAGCAAAGTTAAGAGCTGCTGATGAAATTCTGAAATAAATGCAGTAATTCATATTAACAGCAATCCTTTCAAAGTGCTAGAAAAGTCTGGAAAATACTGAAGGAGAGAATCCCAGCCAAGAAGTCCCTTATTCGGCCCCACCTCCACCCTACTCTTTGGCTTTTCTCTGCTACGTGTGGGGTGGAATTTGGACCCACAATATTATATATTTTTTATCAGCAGCTGCCTTTGCCCATTTATTTTGCCTATTTAAAATATGTCTACAACTTTCATCATGTAATACCAGAACTGTTGGTAACATAGTATATAAGCACAATAATTTATTTAAAAAACAAATAACGGTACAACAAGTATTCAGCAGGCATGATTAAAAGCAGCAATAAACTTTTCAGCGACAAGTACAATGCTAAAGCCAGAGTGAGAGATTATATAAATTGAAATGCCTGGATACAGATTCATTTTAACTGGAGGCTGAAAAGATTATAAAGTAAGAATTACTTGCTGAATCTTTTGAGGAAGAAAATGTTCCCAAACTGAGGTTCTCCCAGAGTGAAGTTCTTTTCTTTAAAATAGCACTTCCTGCATGGGAGGGATTTGGAACAATGCCATTTTGGAAGTTTTTAAATCATGGCTTGGCATGACAAGTTGGTTCCAAAGTTGTTCCCAAGAGCTAGAAATGAAAGAAATATAACCTTAAGCTGAGTGAAAAAGCAAAATAAAGCAACAGTGCAGTTCTTCTCATTGGAATTCTTTTAATGTTTGAATGAATTGTACTATACTGTACTGTACTGTAGGGTCAACATCCTGCACAGAATTTCTAAGTCATCTTTGTGGCAATGATGAGAGCATGGATGACCATAGCCAGATCATTTTTGTTGTGAAATAACCATGACTAATATTATCCATGCCTCTAAGACCTTTCGAAGCTTTGGTTTAATGGCCCTTATCCAGATCATTACCAAATCTAGATACCACTTCAGTATCTGCAGGTAGTCTTTCTGACCCAGAGAAATAGTGTTACATACCGAGACCAAATGATTGGTACAATAATTTCAAGTTTTTGAAAAGTCCTCATTCAGAAGCTTTGTATAAATGTTAAAGAGCATAAGAGATATAACACACCGTCATATTGTTTCTTCCTCCTTGACCACTTAAGCTAATGTGGAGAATGGAAGAACAACTGCTTCACCCATTCATCACTCCTCTTTGTAGATTCATATACCAATGTATCCAAGGTCAAGCCATCTTTTGCCCAATACATTTAATTATAAACTGGATTTGCACACCACTATCTTTTGGATGGGGAGGACTCAGCAGAGAGAAGTTAAGTCCAGTCCAGAGGTGGGTTTCAGTAGGTTCTAACCAGTTCTGGAGAACCAGTAGCTGAAATTTTGAGTAGTTTGGAGAACCAGTAAATACCACCTTTGACTGGCCCCATCTATTCTCTGCCTCCTGAGTCCCAGCTGATTGGGAGGAAATGGGGATTTTGCAGTAACCTTCCCCTGCCACGCCCACTAAGCCATGCCATGCCCACCAAGCCACACCCACAGAACCGGTAGTAAAAAAATTTAAATCCCACCACTGGTCCAGTCCCCTCCTCATTGCACAGTCATAGTCCAACTCCATAATCCAATGTGGCAAATGAGTGGTCAGAAGGAAATGCTGGATCCAATTCTCCAATGGCAACAGAAAATGGCAATTTATAAAAATGAATCATTTAAACATTCTGGGACACTTAATCTCTGGAATTTATGAGGGCATTCTCAATCAAACGAAACAGGTTTCAAAGTGCAAATTTATTAAGAGGTTTAACTATCCTGTAACAGCAAAATAAAATGCTATTTTTTAAAATCACATTGCATATACTAATCAGTTCATTGATGGATAAGGACAGCTATATTCGAAAATAGATTGACCTCCTCTTCTTTGTGGCAGCCCCACAAATATTGGAATACTGCTGTCATGTCACCCCTAGTCCTCCTTTTCATTAGATTAGATATACCCAATTCCTGCAACATTCTTCATGTTTTAACCTCCAGCCGCCTAATCATTTTTGTTGCTCTTTTCTGAACTCTTTCCAGAGTCTCAGCATCTTTTTAATACTATGGTACCAAAACTGGATGCAGTATTCCAAAGGTGTTTTTACTAAGGCTTTATAAAGTGGTACTAATACTTTACATGATATTGATACTATCCCTCTGTTAATGCAACCTAGGATTGCATTGGCTTTTTTGGCTGCTGCCCCACACTGCTGGCTCACATTTAAGTGATTGTCTACTAGGACTCCACTAGCCATTCACCTGATCAAGACGGCTTCATTCTCTGAAAAGACATGCCATAAAAGTATGTTTTAAAGATGTTTGCATTTGTGCCCCATCCTTTTGCATCCTTTTTCTGGCAGCAGAAAATAGCATATGGGAGGTTTTTTGTAGGCCTGCTTGTTTGTATTTCATATTTCTTAATTGCACATCTCCCACAGAGATTTTCCTTAATATTAGCAGCTTTGCACTGAGAACCAATGACAGGTCCAAAGTCACCAGATTAATATTACTCTTCTGAAGTGGGGATTTCATACAGCACTTCAGCACTTTGCCTTTTCTTAAAATCAGCAGATTTTGGAGACTCACTCCCACCAAACAAATCCCCGATGGCAATCAGAAGTGGTTCCTCTTAAATTGTCCATACGGGTTGGTGTCGATTAAATTATAACAGCATGGCCACTTGGCATTAATTAAATCCCATATAAACAATTGGATGACTGTAACTGCCAGCCCCAGAGGGAGAGTTCACCAAAAATGGGTGACTTTAAAATTTAAACCATCCTGAGAGCCACCATGTAAATGGCATTACCTCTATCAAAGTGTGTATACCCCATTGAGTTCAATGGCTCTTATTCCCAGGTGAGCATAGCAAACACTCATGGGCTTTCGTGGCTCCTCCAGCCTAGCCAACCCCTTTGAGACCATTGCTTAGAATAGAGTAAAAGAGTTGGAAGGGACCTTGTAGGCCATCTAGTCCAACCCCCTGCTCAAGCAGGAGACCCTAAACCATTTCTGAAGATGGCTGTCCAGTCTCTTCTTGAAAGCTTCCAGTGATGAAGCGCCCACAACTTCTGAAGGCAAGCGGTTCCATTGGTTGAGTGTTCTGACTGCCAGAAAATTTCTCCTTATTTCTAGGTTGAATCTCTCCTTGATAAGTTTCCATCCATTGTTCCTTGTCTGGTTTTCGGGTGCTTTGGAAAATAGCTTGACCCCCCTCCTCTCTGAGGCAGCCCCTCAAATATTGGAACACTGCTATCATGTCTCCCCTGGTCCTTCTCTTCACTAGACTAGCCATGGCCGGTTTATTTGCAGCCGTTCTTCTTATGTCTGTGGAGATTCTCCAATCGTTCTTCGTATGTTTAGCTTCCAGTCTTTAATTGCGAAGCAGCGGAGGAGCTCAAAGGGTCGCCGCGCTCCTCGGAGACGCTCATCAACTCTTTGCGCTCGCCCGCCCCGCGCTCCACCCTCCGTCCCGGGGGGGGGGGAAGGACGATGGCGGCGAGGATTGCGTGGCCGCATTTCCGGCAGCTGCTGGTGGCCCACCGCTCCTACTGCAGCCCCCGGCTCCTGCCCCTAGCCAGGCCGACTATGGCGAACCTGTGCCCCAGCCGGCTGAGCAGTACCGGCCCAAGCCTCGCCACTGGCCCTGCTTCCCTGGCACGCTCTGGAGGTTTCGTGGGAGGCCGCTGGCTCCAGGCGGCAGCCACTTTCCCCGTGCGGGACCCGGCCACCGGCATGGAACTCCTCCAGGTAGCGGATTGCGGCGTAGTTGAAGCGGAGGCCGCCGTGAAGGCCGCCTACGAAGCCGGCGCTGCTTGGAGCGGAGCTTCTGCTAAGGTGAGCGAAGGGAAGGCGGCCGGCGGCGTCCAGACTAGCGAGAGGCTGCGGAGGGGGCGGATAATCAGGTTTTTGCAAGAGGGAGCGCAGAGATAGAAAGGTCCCGATAAGCAAATTGGGGAGGGCGGGGGGGGATACGGAAAGAAATGCTTCCCAGGGAACATGTGATCCGGGGATTGTTTCAAAGAGTTGGGTTTCTGCACACGTGCAGAGTGCTTGCTTCTAATGAGCCCCGTATTTGCAACTCTTCCCGAACAGCTCTTTGCAGGTTGATTCAAATTCAACACTTCCTAAGAAGTGTGTTTTATCTGCAGCCTCTCTATAGCAAACCACAAGTTCCCCAAAGTAAGGGCGCAGGCATCAGCTCCTCATTATATGTACACAAATGCTGCTGTTAATGCTTTATGTCAGAACATCTGATGGAAGCATGTAGATGTACATGCTGATGTCATGTTGTCATTTCTCCTGATCAGCCCTGCAAATACCTATGTATTCAATCTTAATAATATCTGGTATCTAGAGTTTGTTTGTTTTTTTAATTGTGCTACGGTAGTTGTATTCAGAAAATGACAGAATAACAGAGTTGGACGAGACCTTGGAGGTCACCAGAAGACCCCTTGCTCAAGCAGGAGACCCTATTCCATTTCAGACAAGTTGTTGTCCAATCTCTTTTTTAAAATCTCCAGTGATGGAGCACCTACAACTTCAAATAAACTAATAATGGCCCTGTGGTTGGATTATGGATTTAAAAAAAATCAGATATGAAACACTCACCAGTAGATTAAAATCCACCTTGCAGATTCAGTGAAAGAAATTGCTGTGATGGCAGTTTCTTGGCTTACTTGTTAACTAAATTGACACATGTACTTTGTACAAGATAAAAGGACCATGTATATTTATATATATTTCCAGTATGTAAATAGTGGATATATATGAGGATAGCCTGCAGAGGCCCATTAGAAGAATCCAAGATATTTCCCTAGTTTTCAGCTTTAATGAATTCTTATTTCTAAAGCACGTATTCACATATTTATATAGTTTCAGTTTTTATCCAGTTTCTAAATAAAAAGCCACCTACTCTCCAGAAGTAATAGTAGGATCAAAGACTTGCATCAGCAATGTTGGGCCACAATGTTCCACAAACTTCCTCCTTTCTTATACCCATCACCACCCAAATACAAAAGAGACGAGTTTACAGCATGACCCCTTTCATGGTTTGAACTTCCTGTAGACACTCTGCCATTTATTTATTTTTTTACATTCTGGAGCTTAAAACAAAAGTAAATTCTTTAAAATTAAGTCAGACTTACTTCTGCATAGGTATGCATAGCTTTTTCTTCTCAGTATCTTGGAATTCTCTTGGTTGCTATTTAAATGTTAAATATTTTGTCTATTGTTTTTTACAGGAAGTATCTTTCCAACCCTTATATTGTTTCAGGTCCCACTTGGCCTGAAGTACAGTAGATAAACTGTACTATAAACTAATCAATGCCTTTTTAATCACAAATTGCTTATGATACAAACTCAGCCCATACAGTGAGTCATGAAAATTCAGTCAGTAGATTAACTGAGTAAACTATGCTTAAATTAGTAACTATAGGTGGGATATTGCAAAACATAGCTACTGAATGCTTGACTATGGGGCTGGTGTTTTAAAATCTGGTTTTAGTTTTAGGAATAATATTAGACTAAACTTTGATCTACTTGATGGATTTGTTGGAATAATTGAAATTGAATAAGCTCTTTATAAGTCATAATTATATTTAGACAAATTTGCTTTTGTTTTCAAATTTATTTTTACCAAGATCCTTCTATAGTATTATTTTATTTTTTATTCAGGATAGAGCGGTTTTGCTTCGTAAATGGTATGATTTGATGATAGAGAATAAAGATGAACTTGCAAGGATCATTACAGCAGAAAATGTAAGTATAAAGAAAAAGGAAATCTTCCACTGAGGCTGCGGATCTGAAACTTAGGTTGCTGAGTATAGTTTTGCTTAGAAGAAAGATCAAAGCAACCAACAGATGGAATTCAAATGTCCTTCCTTGCACTATATTCTAAATTATATAGCCTGGTTCATAAAATATAGCAGCTGTATTCACACAATACATTAAGTCAAAAAACCCCACATTATAGCATAGTATGATGGCTTAGTTCAGACAACATGTTAAGGCAGTGGCAGTGCTTGCCAAACACACTGAATCTTGATTTAGTCTTGTGTGACTCCAGCCCATGTTACTGTTCTGTGCCGTCAAAATTGAATTAAGGGCAGTGCTAAACTGAAGACCCTATTGCTTGTAAGCAGCGAATCTTTTAATATTTTGAATACAGTGGTTTTGAGTAAAACTTTGTTAGCTGAGTGATTCAGTACCGAAGGCTTAAGAAATAAATAGATGCTACAAGAGTAGTATGGGGACCAGGTTAATATTTCTTTTATATTTATTTGTGAAATTCATTTGCTGCCTATCTAGGCAGTTTACGATGATAAACAAGAAAATGAAAGGAGTGTAAACAGAAATAAAATAGAACATAAAATAAACAATGAAAAAGGAACACAAGAATACATCAATATGATAACCAAAAAGATGGATGAGTGGAGAGCAGAGGGGAGGAGGCGGAGTCTGCCATTAATCCAGCAGTCACCTCCAGTATATATTGCTTGAATAGGTAGAGAAGAAAATAGGTATAGAAGTGTAGTCTGAATAACATATGCAAGAAACATCCTGGGCCCTGGAGCCAGGAAACCCCAAATGGGGCAACTGGGAGGTGATAGAAACAGCTGTTATTTATATTATCTGTTTGCTGAGTGAGCTGACAGTGGCATGTTGGGAGCACTTCTGTGTCAGCACTTCCTAAAGTGTGGTCTGGGGCCTGGCACAATCCTTGCAAAAGATAAAATAACGATCCTTAGTAAAGGTACAAATAATCGCGCTCTTTTGTCTCCAACCAGAGTTTTCCAGATGTGATTTTTCCAGCAATCTGGTAAAAGGAGAGCTCTAACTATTGGCAATCAGATGATCTAAGCCTTTAAAAAAAGTAGCAAATAAATTAACAGAATAGACAAAAAGGAGCCATCAGAATTTGCAAGTAAGCCCTTAGATTTTTTCCTATGTAAGAAGAAGAAGTGACTCCTACTAAAACAAAGGAATGGAAAATGTATTTCTATATATCCTTCCAATAATCATTTTGTGTCACCTTTGAATAATGTTTCCAAACTAATAGCTGTGATAGATTATCTGTATACTATTTGTGAAATGTTAATGCCTCCTGCACTGAACTTCATTGCGCTGTGGGTTTAACAACTGGGTTCCCTGCTTTTATACAAGAATTCAGGAAACAGAATTAAAGATCTGGTTTAAAAAAATGTGGTGAAAATGTGATCATTTTGCTGCCATCAGATGATCATCCAGATTTTTACAACAGAAAAATAGCATGCCTTGTTTAATCCTTTCCCTGCTAGAGAGTTCTTCCTTGCAAACCATCTCATTAAGGCAGGGGTGAAATCCAACAGGTTCTGACAGGTTCTGGAGAAATTTTGAGCAGCTCAGAGAACCAGTAGTGGAAATTTTGAGTAGTTCGGAGAACCAGCAAATACCAACCCTGGCTGGCCCCAGAGTGGGGTGGGAATGGAAATTTTGCAGTATCCTTCCCCTGCCACGCCCACCAAGCCATGCCCACAGAATTGGTAGTAAAAAAAATTAGATTTCACCACTGCATCAAGGGGTGTTTCTTCTTCCTTTCTATTCAGACAGTAAACTGTTATCTCAGCCTTAGGAAAACAGCCTAAGAAACAAGATGCTTACAGAGAAGAATTGGGCTAGGTTCTAATAAAAGAGAAAAAACTTCCCCTCCCCCCCTCTCCCACCCTCCCTCCCAACAATGGAGTCCTTTGTGGTCCTTGAGCTTAATGGTTTGCTTGTAGACATTTTATTATCTGGCTAGTCGGGTAGTGAAGTAATAAGCTGACTTTGTATAAAAAGAACACCGCTTGGGGGGGGCGAAAGCCCTACTAAGCAGGTATATACAAAAGTATGAAGGCTATTGCTTAACGCATTGTAAGCCGCCCTGAGTCTCCAGAGAAGGGCGGCATATAAATCGAACCAATAAATAAATAAATAAAATAAATAAAAAACAACCAAGCTCAGAGATTGCAAAGGACTTTATGGGGTAGCTAGGATCCTTCATTGCATACTACTGTATGTAGCTATAATGTGATTTGATTGCTTTGGGCCTTATGTGAAGTATAAGTCCAGTCATTCCAAATTACAAATCATAGTTTTTAGATTAGTGTATTGTATCAATGCAGCCATTTGAAGTTCATTGACTGAATTTTCACTGAGCAAATTGTTGCTTGCACAATGTGTGAACTTGTCTTTGGAACCCATGGTACAAAGATCAATGTTTCTGATTTGTGTAGCTTGGCAAAAGGTATATTTTATTGCCCTGTGGTTTTTTTTCTCTCCTCTTTTTTTCGTTTCTATCATATATTTTAGATTTAAAGCCTTTTTTGTTCAACTTTTTAAATTTATCTTGGCATTTTGTTTATATTTTGCATTTTTACAAATTGAAGATTAAATGAGAAAATTAAAATAAATCTTGGCAAAAGTGTAGAATCACAGGTCTTGAGATAAGGTTTCCTTATATAAGGGTACAGATTGCTTGTTTATTAGTTTTGGGATTAAACAAATTAATAAGATTTATTTATTTATTTATTGGTTCGATTTATATGCCGCCCTTTTCCGGAGACTCAGGGCGGCTTACAATGCGTTAAGCAATAGCCTTCATACTTTTGTATATACCTGCTTAGTTAGTGCTTTCGCCCCCCCCCCCAAAGCGGTGTTCTTTTTTATACAAAGTCAGTTTATTGCCCCACAATCCGGGTCCTCATTTTACCTACCTCGGAAGGATGGAAGGCTGAGTCAACCTTGAGCCTGGTGTGATTTGAACTCGCAGTAATTGCAGGCAGCTGGCAGCTAAGTGCTACTTAACAGCACTTTAGCCTGCTGAACCACCAAGGCTCTTTCTTTAGTAGTAAAGCAAAAGAATGTCCATTTTGCATTCACTATTTATTTATAAATAAATAAATTAAAAAGGTATTTCTTACAAGCCTGCATCCTTGCTCCAGATATTGGCATCAATATCTTGTTACTTATAATGGACAAGCAACTAATCCAATGTAGAGGGGGAAGGGAAAGGAAGGGGGAGAACCCTCTATTTAAAGTATGTACCATATTGATCACATGGAGGACAACAATAAAATAAACATTTTTAAATGAAGGCACAAAGGAATGAAAAGTATTAATAATTATTTTGTTTTAGAGATGTTTTACTGTGTTCATTTATTTGTTCACAGGGAAAACCACTGAAGGAAGCAGAAGGGGAAATCTTGTATTCAGCTTCTTTCTTGGAATGGTTTGCTGAAGAAGCCCGGCGTATTTATGGTGATATTATTCCACCTTCAGCAAAAAACAGGAGAGTCCTTGTGTTGAAGCAGCCTGTGGGAGTTGCTGCCATCATTACACCTGTGAGTTGGCTGTGTTGGAAGAAATGTCCATCTGGGTTCAGTTCCAAGTGGGGAAGAAAGACAGTGGAAACATGGAGAATGCTTGGAAAGATGGTTTTTAATGGTGGACAGGACTACATGGTTTGAAGATATTGGGTGAAGGAAAAAGGGAAGAGATGCTGAGAGTGCCTGGGTTTTATGCCCTCTCTAAGCTTTTGAATTTGAGCTTGTATTCTGATTGATTGTCAGACTCCCATGGGGCCATGCAGGGCTAACTCTGTAGGTTGTTTGTGTCCCAGGCTTGGTTGAGCCTTGCTGGGTGATGCAATCTCCCCAGGTGCCATGTGGTGAGTTCTGTTGCTAGATTGGTAGAGGGCTAATTCTATCTCTGTTGGATCTTGGGTGAGGGCAATTCCTACTATGGCTCTGCTTGAAGGAGGTAGATCTTTGTTATGTAGAATAGACTGGCCCAGGCCTTAATGGCCCATTGACAAAGGTGGGGGCTGAGTTTCTGTCTCCCTTTTAGGGGAAATATTCTGCCCTTTTTAATATTTTCTAGAATATTTCATTTTCCTAGGAGAGGGGTGGGTGCTAATTTCCTACAACTGCTTTATTGAAATCAAATTGGAAACATGATGCTTTCACAGAAAAGGCTCTAGTTTTTGTACTACTGTGGCAAAAATGTAAAATGGAGCAAAACTCACTTAACTGCCTTGCTTAGCAACAGAAATGTTCAGCTCAGTTGTGGTTGTAAGTCAAGGACTACCTGTAAACTTAAAAGAGAGTTTAGAATCAGATTCTGTTTGGCCTTCTTTAAAAGTACATAACATGCCACACCCAGAAATCTCTGACTTTTTCAAGCAGGTCCATTTGGAGATATTTTGGAATCTGCTTTCACGTGTCATTAATAAGAGTAAAAAGTGGGAGCTACTATGCAGGACAAGATAGCCAATGATTTCCAGAATATTATTACTTCCATTAGTAGGAGGAGTAAATTTATTATCTTATTCTCGATATTATTTTTGGCTAGAAATTTCAGGACTTGCCAGTTAGTTCAGTGCGTCCCCCAATTCTGTTGATATTAAACTTGTGTGTATCTTTTTACTATAGTGGAATTTTCCAAGTGCCATGATAACCCGAAAAGTAGGTGCTGCTTTGGCAGCTGGCTGTACAGTAGTAGTGAAGCCAGCTGAAGACACACCTTTATCTGCCTTAGCACTAGCCGAGGTAAGATTTTTGTACATGTATGTATGTTTGTTTGTTTAAAGTTATATGACTGCTCAAGTCGCTCACAGTGACTCTAGGCTGCTTATAAGAATAAAAGCCCAATACAAATACAATAAAAAAGCAATAATCTGATATACCAGAAATATTTTTAGCATAAAATTATTGAATATGAATTGTTGGATGCAGCTGTGACAATATTTTAATACAGGATACATTATTTTATGCAAGTATCCGATTCTTAACTCTTCCCACCAATTATTTCTCACCGCAGCTTGCAAATCAGGCTGGAATTCCTGCGGGAGTATATAACGTTGTTCCATGTTCCAGACAACAGGCAGCAGCAGTTGGAGAGGTACTCTGTACTCATCCCTTGGTAGCCAAAATCTCATTTACTGGCTCAACAGCTACAGGAAAGGTATGCATATTCATGTATTTAAAGTTTTATACTCTAGGTTTTTTAAATCTTTACCAAGTTTTGACTAAAGCATTTTTGGAATAATGTTGATATTTGTTTAAATAAATTTTAACAATTTCTATAGTTCAGCTGTCTTGGGAAAGTTTGTAGAATCTGTTCCTTCTTCAAGGATCACTATCCTTTCTACATGCCCTGGCCCACTTGTTGTTCCCAGGGTGCTGATCTCCAGATGCAATGGACATCTTGCCGCATCTTTAACTAGTGCAGCATAGATATTCACAGGTAGCCATGATGATGCCCAGATGATAAAGCATACACTGCGATATCAGAGCATATGCTATTTATAGTTCAGTCTCAAGCCTGTCCACAAAAACCTAAAAAGTGGATATTTTATTGCAAAGTCACAATGCCTATTTCCTTCACCTGCCCCCCCTTGCAGACTTCAAAGCCATGGGTGTTGTTGCCTAGAGATTTGGAGTCCTGCAGATATGAAAAACATCAAGCCATGGAAATCTGCTCTAGGCCATCAAGCTTTTTTCATATGAAAAAAATACTCATTTGGGAGGAAAAGTGTTAAGGGAATAATTTTAAATTTGGGGATATTCATAACAAGTCTTCTATCGCTTTTTAAGTCTTGTTTCAGGGAAAGTCTAATTTATGCAAATGTTATTTAGTCATATCAATTCTAATTAAGATTTCCTACTGAAGTAGGAAATTTATTCTTGTCTTGTTTTTCTTCCTTTCAACCCAACAGAAAGTTGGAAAAAATATGTAAATGAAAGTATGTATATTGAAATAGACTAAATGTAGACTTTAATGTAAGGGACGTGGTGGCTCAGTGGCTAAGATGCTGAGCTTGTCGATCAGAAGGTTGGCAGTTCAGCGGTTCAAATCCCTAGCACCGCATAATGGAGTGAGCTCCCGTTTCTTGTCCCAGCTTCTGCCAACCTAGCAGTTCAAAACACGTAAAAAATGCAAGTAGAAAAATAGGGACTTTGGTGGGAAGATAACAGTGTTCCGTGCACCTTTGGTGTTTAGTCATGCTGGCCACATGACCACGGAGACGTCTTCGGACAGCACTGGCTCTTCTGTTTTTAGAAATGGAGATTAGCACCGCTCCCTAGAGCTGGAAACAACTAGCACACCTAGGCAGGGGAACCTTTACCTCTACTTTAATGTCACAGGATGTTGCTCATTAACAGGATAACTCTCCCAAAACTGAAAGACTGAGAACAATTTTGATTGGAGGAGAGAGTGGAGAAACCCAGGAAAAAATAATATTAAGTTCAAAACTTATTCAGATCCAATTGGAGGCTGCAGGGTAATCTTGCCAGAAAAATTTCCCACAATGCAGTTGGGCAGCAGCTTGGAATTCTGAGCCCCTCCTTCTAGGTCACATAATCTAAATCAGTGTTTTTCAATTTCAGCAACTTGTAAGTGTGTGGACTTCAAATCCCCGAATGCTGGATGAAGCATTCTAGGAGTTGAAGTTTAGATAGCTTAAAACTTTCTGAGGTTGAGAAACACTGGATTATGTATAATCCATGTGCATGTGTATAGCACATGCCCCCTCCCCTTTGTTTCCCAGCACGCACATGCATGTGCTAACACGGCATGAGTGGAAAGCAGAAATACACACATGCACAGAAAAGAAGAAAGTATAAATGCTTCCTAAAACCACTGCTAGAGAAGAGGGTGGAGAAAATTCATGACTCGGTTTAACTGGATAGCCTTTGGAGCACCTAATTTGTGGCTTTGAGCATTTGCCTTAAAACATTTTCAGAATCCATGCATTCAGACTCATTTCTTGAAATTCAGCCTTTAAGAAACATAATCATTGTTTATTGACTGAAATTAAGGTTGTTTTTTTAAAATTTAATCCGGAACTTGTTATTAAAAAACAACTAGAACTTCCCTGACCAAGAGGCAAAGCTTTAGTGACAGAACATTGGCTGTGTTCAGATGAACTTTTTTTTTGTCTCTCATAGAACCCCAGCGAGCTTTTGCAGAACCCTAGAGTTCCATGTAACAGTTTTCAAAACTTTGATCTAGACCACTTTCCCTATCCTGAATAGTCCTCAAACTACACAATCTAGAATTTTCAGTAGTTCAGGATCCTGGGAGCTATAAACTCAGCACATCTGGAAGGTTTTAGGCAGTGATGAAATGTAAAATTTGTTACTACCGGTTCTGTGGGCGTGGCTTGGTGGTGGGAGTAATGTGACTGGGTGGGCGTGGCCAACTTTTTTTTTTAACTTTTAAAAGCATTTTAAAAAATGCTTTTAAAGGTTGTAGAAAAAATGCTTTTAAAAGCCTCTGACCATCCCAGCTGAGCCGCGCAATCATCAGAGGCTTGTTTTTTTTACTTTTAAAAGCATTTTTTCAGCTGAAGAGGTTGTAGAAAAAATCCTTTTAAAAGTAAAAAAAAAAAAGCCTCTGATGATCACGCGGCTCAGCTGTGCATGTGGGGGGGGGTTGCAGGGATTTTTGCTACCAGTTCTCCGAACCACCCGCCACCATCGCTACCAATGAGGTTCTGGATGAGTAAGTCTTCTCATTTGAGAGCAAAGAATCAAGCCTTTCTAATCAAATAGGATCGGAACAGTTAAGTAATCCAAGAACACACAAGCATAGTATATGAGCTATAAACTAAAATTAACACTGGCATATCCAAGGTTGAAATGGATGTTTATTTAAAAAACTGGTATTTTTTTCTGTACGTTTTAACATTGGCTTTAGGAAAATATTTTCCTTAGTGTAATTAGCTTTCTGTGTCTGCTATTACAGATATTGCTACGCCATGCTGCTGGCACAGTCAAGCGGGTTTCCATGGAGCTCGGAGGACATGCTCCGTTCATAGTCTTTGACAGTGCTGATGTAGATAAAGCAGTTGCTGGAGCTTTAATATCTAAATACAGAAATTCAGGGCAGGTGAGCTTGTTTACTCTTATGGAATCTCCCCCCCCCCCCAATGCATTATATAAAAACATTGTTAAGTTTTGATTGCATCTTATATTTGAGGAAAATACGATCCACAATGGCAATGAGTAAAAAATTTTCACTAGGATCTTAATGGCACAGGTATAATAGACTTCTATACTCTTGAAGAGTATTCGGAAGCTATCATTAATGCAGAATGTGGCGGCGTGGGCAGTTCCTGAAGGCCCTAGAGTGATCCAAATTGCACAAACTGCATTGATTGCTGGTCTGCTTCCAAGTGCAATTCAAAGTATTGGTAATCACCTTTAAAGCCCTTCCTGGCATGGATCCAGACTACTTGAGGGACCGTCTCATCCCACTGGGATTGGCCTGCTCCACCCGTGCTGGCAGAGGAGGCATGCTGCGGACTCTGGAATGCTCTGTCAGTAAGAGCATTCCGGCTGGTGGGGTCCAGGAGAAGAGCCTTATCTACCATCGCTTCTGCCCTTTGAAATATCTTGGCCCCCGGACTGATGTCAGCTCCAATCCTCCTGACCTTCTGTAAGAGCCTAAAGTCCTGGGTCTGCCAGTTAGCTTGGGGCTCCAATGGGAGAGTATCAGAGTGGGAGGTATGTTGGATTAGGAAAGACACCACCTCTCCCCGTGTGTTTCGTGTTCCCCTCTCCCCGTCTTTTAACTGTATTATTGTTTTCGTTTGGTTTTATTATTTTAATATGTGCTAGTTTTAATATTTATAAGCACCCAGAGTCGTCTCTGACAAGATGGGTGGCAAATATAAATAAATTGAAATTATAAATGAAATAAAATAAATAAAATGTAAAATAAGGCTGATCTGTACTTCTATTGAGCCTAAAATATGCTGAAATAGCACCTTTTGTATAAGCAGACAAAAGAATTATGTAGAAACTTCATCAAAATGTATACATTACTATCTGCAGGCTTATCGTTACCAAGTTGCTTATGCCATTTAATAATAATTAAACGGGTTCCATTATTTCGGACGGAAGATTAACAATATAACAGATGCACTAAGGCTGAATGGGGGAGAGATTTATAATTCTAATTTCTAGATATTTCAGCTGTTGTTCACAGAGACTCAATCTTGTTTACCTTCCAGACCTGTGTATGTGCAAACCGCTTCTTGGTTCAGAAAGGGATCCATGATGAATTTGTCAAGAAGTTTGCCCAAGCCATTCAGAGGGAACTACGTATTGGCCATGGATTCGATGAAGGGACTACCCAAGGGCCATTAATTAATGAAAGAGCTGTGGAAAAAGTAAGAATGATTTATAAAAGAAACGATGGTCAAAATGCATCCCAAAGTCATGTTTATTGTTTCCTGTTGTACAGTAATATTTACTGCATGCATTTTGCATGTTTTTAGGTTGAAAGTCACATTGATGACGCGGTGTCCCAAGGAGCATCTATAGTTACTGGAGGAAAAAGGCACAGCTATGGAAAAAATTTCTTTGAGCCAACTCTGCTTAGCAATGTGTCAACAAGTATGTTATGTACCCAAGAGGAGACTTTTGGGCCTTTGGCTCCAGTTATCAAGTAAGTCATTAAGCATTTCAAACAGATGACTATGTAATCATCTCAGATCATTAAACTGCTATTGGAAATCTCCCTCTATGAATAAAAGACTTGCATTCTGCCTGACTCTCAAAGACTCTGGGGAGCTAACAAGAATCAAAGATTTTGCAATAAAATCAATGAAGCATTACACACATTATTTTGCCACAAAACATACCAGAAGGGAAACCAGGTTGTTAGCCCATTGTGTGTGTGTGTGTGTGTTTCTGAGATAGACATTCTTTCAGTCACTTGTTGGCACACTATTTTTTCAGATCTTTTCCAAAATAAACAAGTTCATCTATATGTGTGCTTTTCCAAATTATCCTATACAGAATTGTGGAAGTTTCTATTATGCAAGGGTATAAGAATATCACAATGTGCTTCTTTATTTTTAGGACAAATTATTTTTTTTACCACAATGATGTCATATTTCCACTTTTGCAGATTTGATACAGAGGAAGAAGCACTCGCCATTGCAAATTCAGCCAATGTGGGTTTAGCAGGTATGTGCTTTTAAATAGTTAGCAGAGTAGAAAAAATGATACATACTCATACACACTTTGACTAGCGGCTCAGAAGTTGTAGCTAACTAAATTCCCAAACATGAGAAAATACAGAATACTAATAGAGCTGGTGTGAAATAAAGATAGTTCTTGACTTACTGGCAGCGCAGTGGCTCAGTGTTAAGACGCTGGGCTTATCAGCTGGAAAGTCAGCAGCTCAGGTTCAAGACCTGAGCACCACATGACAGGGTGAGCTCCCGTCCTCACCCTAGCTCCTGCCAAACTAGCAGTTCGAAAGCATGCAAATGCAAGTAGATAAATAGGTACCACTTCAGTGGGAAGGTAACAGCACTCGGTGATGTCATAGTGGCCATATGACCATGGAAATATCTTCAGACAGCGCTGGCTCAATGACTTGAAATGGTGATGGACATCGCCCCTTCTAGTTGATGACTAGCGGGGTAAAATCCACAGAGATTTGTTTACCTTTTCCTTTGATTTACTACCATAACTGAACCTGGAATTACAGTCATAAGTAATGCCAATGGTTAAGCAGGTCATCACATGGCTACATTTGAGTTTCCAAACTTTTCTGCAGTGGTCATAAAGTGAATGCAACAGTCATTAAGCAAACCCACTGTCAAAGGGGGAGGGGGTGTTTCTGGCAAAAGAGCCATAAATTGCAGTCACGTGACTATGGAACACTTCAAACAGCCGTAAATGCAGGCCGGTTGCCAAACACCCAAAATCTGAGGGAGAACCATCGGAACTGACCCTGAATCATAAGTACCTTTTGGGGGGTCCCAAAAGTACCTTTGGGGGGGGGGGTTGTAGCTTTGAATGGTCACCAAGTGAATGATCCTAACCTATAATTCCGCTGCATTGCAAATAATTGGACTTTTCTTTTTCTTATGAAAAAGAAGAGGAAGGGCAGCAGTGGTACTCTAGCCTTTAGGAGTTTGGAACATATCAGAGTCTTCCTTGTTGTTACTAGGATTATTTGGGCTTTTTGTGTGTTTTTTTTAATAAAGCTTTCAAATGCATTGGGCATTATAGCTACAGGCAGTCCTCCAGGGGTGGGTTCTAAATTTTTTTACTACCGGTTCTGTGGGCATGGCTTATTTTGTGGGCGTCGCTTGATGGTCATGTGACAATTCTTTAGGATTTAGCAGAGGTACTGGTGTTCCAGGCTTTTAATTGCTTGCAGAGCTGTACCGGTCTACTCATTTGTTTTTGGAGGCACCAGTCTACCACCACACTGCCTTTTAACACTGATCAACTGTAGGGCGGCCCTTTGAAGCCCCGCGGAAAGAGTTTAAACAGGTTTTTTCCTTCTAGCCGATCAGCTGGGACTCGAGAGGCAGCAATAGGGGTAGGGCCAAATAAAAGGTAAGAATACGCAGGGGGCGGGAGGGCCCAGCTCCCAAACAAAGAGAACCGGTTCGATGACATCATAGCCTCACCGCTACTGGCTCGGCTGAACCAGGCTGAACTGGGAGGAACCCACCACTGAAGTCCTCCACCACAACAGTTCAGTTAGTGATTATTCAAAGTTAGAACGGCACTGAAAAAGCAGACTTATGACCATTTTTCACACTTATTACCATTGCAGCATCCCCATAGTCATGTGATTTACATTCGGATGCTTGACAACGGACTCACATTTATGACAGTTGCAGTGTCCTGGGGTCATGTGATCCTCTTTTGCGACCTTCTGACAAGCAAAGTCAAATGGGGAAGCCAGAATCACTTATCAGCTGGGTTACTAATTTAACAACTGCAATGATTCACTTAACAAATGTGGCAAAAAAAAAAGTCATAAAATGGGGCAAAACTCACTTAACAAATTTCTCATTTAGCAACATAAATTTTGGGCCCAATTGTGATCGTAAGTTGACGAATACCTGTACTTACTGTTCCTTAATCACACTTGCAGGTTATTTCTATTCTCAAGACCCAGCCCAGATTTGGAGAGTCGCTGAAAAGCTGGAAGTTGGAATGGTTGGTGTTAATGAAGGGATTTTATCTTCTGTGGAGTGTCCCTTTGGTGGGGTCAAACAATCAGGGCTAGGAAGAGAAGGTTCTAAATACGGTATTGATGAGTACTTAGAAATAAAATATGTTTGTTTGGGAGGTTTACAATAGCCATTGTTACAACAGTAGCCAAAATAGAACTATAGTTTTGGCCTTTTGTAGTCTTTTGTTTAGCAAGTTAACTTGGATTTTTTTTTTTCATAAAATAACTGTGATCAGGTTTACATATAGAGATGTCTTTACTTGAAATCATGTCAATTGATGTAAAACAGTTCTTCATAATTAACATTGTGATTGCAAATGTTAATATTATCTATCTTGGTCCTAATGTTGGAAACAAATCCTATTTGCTGTTGACATTTGGAAGAATTTAGAAAACATTATTAATATTTTTGGAACATATAGGGCAGCATCTCTACTCATTTTTTCTCACATGTAGAGGGTTATAAAAATGATGGAATCTTAAATATTTGTGCCAAATTTTGAATTTTACTGTTTTTCTAATACTTTGTTTTTTAATTAATTAGGAAGAAATCCAATTTTAATTGTTCTTCTTCAGAAATATAGGCATCCTTGTGGATATATATTCATTTCTAATATCCTATTGATCAATAGGACTAGACATATTTAAGAAGAGATTGTCACTGCGTTCTTGTATTTGTCAGCTGGGCTCCCATTCTGAGACTTACGGTAGACTGATCTGAGTCTTATCTCTGAACCACTGCGCGTGTCCACATTCTTTCCACATTCTTCTTCTTTTTTTTCTTTTGTTCGTCTGCCAGAACTTCTGCCGGCAAGGCAGGGAAGTTTGCCAAGATGTAATTAATGGCTAGTAAGATTGTTTTTTTATTTCTTTATAATAAAATGTGTTTCTTAGACTATATCCCGGCTTATTTTCTCTTAAAGTATGCTGCAAAGGAAAGCCACGGTCCGTCTCTAATTAAGTGCAATTACCTCCAGGGGTAATTTATACACCCTGACAGAGATTTACAATTTGTAGCTGGTGATTAAGCTTTGCAGTAGCACAGATTAATGGGCAGTAATAATTCCTGCCAAACTATAATGTACATAGTCTTCAGAGACTCTTGATTTGGCAGAAAAATTATAGATTTTTTGAGACAGTGTAACAAAGACAAATTATAACAATAAATATTAATATACGTAATAAATTCATTCAGACCTGCTGGGGACCAATAATTATATAAGTAGTTAAGATTTCATTGATACATATTCATGAGCTCTCTCTTTTTTAAAAAAAATGATCCATGGGACTGCTATAGGAAACTTGTCAGTGCCCTACGGATGAATCATTTGGTTCCTGCAGAATTAACTTGAGTGGTTTATTATTCTCTTTTGTAATAAATAAATGTATTGTTTTTTAAATGAGATGGGAAAATTAAGATGGAACTGACACAGTGCTGCATTAAGCTAAACGTGCGCTTTATATGTCCAAATTGCATTGAAATGTTGTATTCCTTTTTTGTTCCATGTTTTTGGGGAGGCAGTTAAAAGTGTTTCTCCTTGGACCTTAACCCCTCTGCTATATAACATCTGCTTCTGAGAGTCAACACTAGGTTTCAGAAGCAATCTGCATGGTCTCCTGAATAGCACAAACGTTGATTATACAGGGTGCTTGTTTTAAATCAACTTTCATTACTGTGAAACTACTGTGTTATTTTTTTCTTAACACTTGGACTAGAAAAATTCAGATTGTGGCAGTTCCCAAAAGTACCATTTGTAACATTCTTACTCTTTCCTTAAAAAAGAGTAGAAGCCAAATATGTTTCATACCATAGCAAATAGAATACTTCACAAATAAAATATTGTGCCATTTAGGGGTACCAAAGACATTACAAACTCTTTGATTATAGCACAAATGAATACTATAATGATCTATTATATATTTTAATTTCAAGGAAACGTCTCAAATGTTGGATCAGTTTGATAATGTATCTAATTTTTGCTTATAAATTTATCATTAAAATGCTATATATGTTTACATTCATATAAAGGAACACTTGAGTTAAGTTCTTTTTATTACCTAATCAACTTTTTTTTCCTACGTTTTTGTTTGCCAGATATGGAGGTTAACAAAGAATTGCTAATGTAATAAAAAAATTGGACATTTACATTTATGTCAAATTTGATTTGCAATACTATTTCTTCTTTGTTATGTTCTCATAAACCACAGAGAAAAAAAATGGGAGGGGGGGAAGTACTTTTATTAAAACAGTTGATGATAAAATTGTTTCTGTAATCCTTCCAGTTACAAAGTTTAGTTGATCCAGTCTGGAAGTTCCTATAGCTCATCTCGATTTTGAGGAAATTGAGGTTACATATAACATCTGTGATCACTTAATGTGAAGAATAGCTCGATCTCCTTTTTTTTTTTTTTTGCTTGAGATGTGTGCTTTTATTGGCCAATAGATGCATGTAAGATACTTTTCCGTTCATCAGTATTCATATCCAATAAAACACCTGGCATGGACTCTTGTTTATGTACAAAATGTACATGCACACATGTCCACTATTGGCTTCATGTATAATCATCCTATTTATGTAAGTAATTTCATACAAGTTTAGATTACATGATACAATGCCTAAGAAATTATTCAACAGCTGCCGTATTTTTTGGAGTATAAGACGCACTGGAATATAAGATGCACTACCTTTTTTGGTGAGGAAAAGAAGAAAAAGAAATCTCCCCCTGCCTCAGCAATTTTGCCTGTTGCAGCAAACAGCAAGCAGCCTGCTTTACTTCCATTTTCGTTTTCAGCATAGCTCGATTAGCACAAGGAAAAAAAATCTGCTCCAGCAATTTACCTCTTTGCAGCAAGCAGCAGAGCACAAAACAGCTGAGAGCAAATCAGCTAAGAGTCGGGAGGCCGATCCAATCAACTTGTGCTAATTAGGCTGTGCTGAAGCTGAAAGGAGCTGTTTTTTCTTTGTTTGCTTGCAAGGAGGTAACTGCTGTGAGGCAGAGGCCAAAGGGTGGGGGCTATTGGGTGGGCGGGGCTATATTCGGTGTATAAAACGCACCTAAATTTTCACCCCTTTTTAGGGGGGAAAAAGGTGTGTTTTATACTCTGAAAAATACGGTAATTCAAACCTTAAAAAGTTAGAGCATTTCTATGGTAACCATTTAAGGAAAATACTAGATTATTATCCTAGATTATATTTTACTGAGCCTCTAGATAGAATAAAGTGTACATATTTAGAAGTCTGAGTAACAGACTCTCTCATCCAAATTATCAGCTCCCATCCAAATTATCCAGGAAACATCTTTGTATTTGTATTGCTCTGGCTGTTTTTCTGAACAGCCAATCTTTAATCTTAGATCTAGCTTTCTAGAAGAGGATTAGACTAGAAGAAAATGCCAACAGTGATCCAAGAAGATTATGCCACAGAGTGATAGTTTGACACTGGAGTTTTCCAATTGTTGCATCCAACAGGGAATAAAACAAGCCTTGTGCTCACTCCCACACAGGTTGACAAGAAGCAAGGTTTTTATTCCCTCCAAAACATATTCATATCTGAATATATATTCCTTCCATATATTCATCTTATTTTGCACTGTTACTGCTAATCGGTATTTGTATGTTTTATTTAGCAACTATTTTACTTTCTTAAACTCAGGCAAGGCAGGGCCAGTTCTCATCCTGTCATAAATCTAAACACGATTTATGTTTAACAGCACGATATTCTCAAAGCAGAGTTTAGCAGATACCTATTCATCCCCGCACTCATACCCTCTCATTTATTTAGCAAAGAAAAGTTAAGAGAAATATTTTGTCTACTACATGTCAGTTTTAATAACTGTGATAAATTTCCATTATTGACAGAAGTGGCTTCCTATGCAGACAAAGTCACTCTGTTTTAAGAAGACTAATATAAGGAAGTTTTCCTCTATGATCTTGTAACATAATAGCCTTGGCTAAGATTTTAATTGTAAACTTTTCGATGTCCATGAGACATATGTAAATGCCATCTCTAGTAAACAGGCTTGAAAAACGCTGGCAAGTTAAAAGCTACTGCTTGAAGAACAGAGCAAAATATCCATGGTATTCCTCCCTCTGCCATGCTGGAAATTTATGAGTCTGTCTTCCCATTTCGGACTTGTCCAGTCTTCAGTGCACTAAAGTACCATTTTCCTAACAAAGCAGTGCATCCATTTATCTATCCTTTGAGCTGTAGCTGAAGGAGACCCCATTTTTCATGTCACTATTCATGAGGTTTCTGGAGTTTTCTCTTTCAACCTTCTCTCTGCTAAATATGGTATCCTGGTCACTCTCAAACTCAGATTCTGAAACCATCAAACTGGAATTGTGTTCAGTACTTCTGTGTTTTATACCTGTATGGAAAGAAGGCATGAGGGTTAGGATTACAGTTGCCTTGCAGTCCTGTTAGGACATCCTTCTAACTATATGATGTTCAACTAGTCTCTAAGTCATGTTTTGTTTTAATCATAATTGGTTGGCTGAATTCATAGACTGACCCAAAATAAAATCATTGCATTATGACTGAATGCAATCTGTAAAGCAAGCCACTCTCTCCATTGAAATAATAATTTAAGTCCAAAGTGATATATAAATTAATGGCAACATTAATTAACTACAGTCAAAAGGATCACCCCTAGGAACAGTTAAATCGAAACAACTTACTTATACTTTAGTGCAGACAGATTCAAAGTGATTGAAATAAATTTATAAAATCAGTGGTTTTTTTCACAATGGTTATCTCTGAAAAATGCACAGTATCTTTATGGCTTTATAATATTACTAAATTGTTATGGCATAAGCTTTTATTACCAGCTTGCTCTATCAAATGCAAATTCCCCCTCAATGATAAAATCATAATCCTTCTTTGTTTTAGAATGAAACAGACAATAAAGAAAGAAACATCATACCATATTTGGGCCTGAGCTCCATTCTTTCCTGATCATCTATGTTGTCCAAAATTGTATATTTCATTTTCTTTCTTATTTTGGTTCTCTTTTGGCTAGGAATTAAAGAGAATTAATCAGGTTCTGGGAAACCAACTTCCTAATGATGCAAATGAGCCTCATTCATAAACTGCTATTCATGTCCTTTGGCAGGTGCAGCTGCCCTACAGATGTGACCATACTCAGCATAATCCTGTGACCATTTATAAATAACCAAGTCTATATGGGTGTCTTGAGTGTAGTTAAAGCCTCTGGATGGTTACAGTCCAAAAGGATTGGGTTCATCCTGTTCACAGACATAAAACTAGTTTAATTGGCTGTGGCTCTTTGTGGAAGCAATCAATGTGTTTTATATGGTTGATAATGGGTTTTGCATTTAAAAGCCAAGGCAAATCATAGCGTAGGTTCATGTGATATGTGATCCAGCTAGGTAGCTTATTGCACATTTTGTCCATTCTACCGTACTATGAGTAATGACAAATATAGGTAGGGGAGAGATAATTTTTAAATTATCTTCTCTCATCAGATTCTTTAAGATGTGTTGAAACTAGCTGGCCAGGATGCCTAACTTGTAATAACTTCAATAATTTTCCTAATTCATGGAATTATTAAAGAGCAGATAGTCCTGTCCTTTTAAAACACCTTTTTGACTAAATATGTCTTGTCTAATGTGTGTTAGTGAGCATCAGAAACCAAAGAGGAGCTGCCTACAGCCCAAATTTTAATTTTGGGGGGGGGGGAGTGGCCCCAAAGCTTGCCCTAATTACATTACTACAAACCGGTAGCAAATTATCAAACATAAGCACTGTTAATTTCACTGTTAATTTCAAATTGCCATAAGCCCTTGGACAGGTTTAGTGCTACTTGAGCTAACAGTAATAAAAAAAAAAACTTGAGAAAATCAGGATCACCATTTGCATGACATGATTTTATCACACTGCCAGCTACATACTAATAACGTTTATTTTTATTTTTTTAATGCTTTGACTTTCCTCATCCCTGGTTTAAACTGAATAGAGGACTATTACCTTTTGCAACAGCAGATGCAAAGCCAAATTAACCCTACCACCAATGCAATTCCAATGAAAGCAGATGCTGATACGTAGAGTATACTCCATTCTAGAAGACAAAATTGGAACATTTGAACTTAGAATCAAAGGACCCATTTCGGTATCTACAAGGAGAGACAGGGCACGTACAAAACGCATTTCATTTATTAAACAAATATATTACAGCTGCCCATCCACCAAAAAGAACTCCATGTTTTGCAAACCCCATCTAATGTTGGGATGTAAATATGAAAAATAGGGTTGGGAGGGTTGAAGTCATTTAGTTCAAGGACAGGAATCCTCATACCACCCTTGACAAATTCTTGGTTTAATAGACTTCATTACCACTGCTACTTCCTTCGACAGTGCACTATCAATATTAAAATAACACCTTAACAGACATAGGTTATTCCTGGGAAACATCATTGAGTTCTTCCCAACTCACCACAATTGCTCTCCCCACCGCTTAGGTACCGCTGTATCAAATTTTCCATCCACATTTGATAGCAAATACAATGCTTTGTGATGGGGTCACAGCTTCCGTGTCCAGAACATTTTAAGAGGCAAGCTGGAAATCACAAGGCAACTGAAATTATTTATGTACTTAAAATTAAACTCTGGGCTACTTTTAAGAGTGAAAACTACCCCTTGATATATATATATATTTCCTGCCATGGACGAGAGCATTCAAATACCTACCAGCTGTGTCAACACGAAGCACTTTAAAAAGTAGAAAATCTGGCTTTTCCTTCAAGAGTTGCAAACGCAGCACTTGGGCCACATCTGAAGCCTTTATGATTTTGTAAGGGTGCCCATTCTGAACATAGAACACAACAGCGGTGCTGAAGGGAAGATGCATAGATTAAATATCAATAGATTTATTACTGCAATAAGAAATCTTTATTTGGGATTAACGCCATCTACCCCAATTATGATTCTTTTTTCCTAGAATAACCCTGTAAATACACTGCTCAAAAAAAATAAAAGGAACACAAGCAGAAGACATCCGAAATCTGAATGAATGAAATAGCCTTATTAAATACTTTGTTCGTTACATACAGTAGTTCTGTGTTCCCTTTAGTTGTTTGAGCAGTGTATAAACTACTGTATGTAAAGAACAAAGTATTTAATAAGGCTATTTCATTCATTCAGATCTCAGATGCCTTCTGCTTGTGTTCCCTTTATTTTTTTGAGCAGTATATATAGTTTATATTAGGGGTGTCCAACCTTGGCAACTTTTAAGACTTGTGGACTTCAACTTCAAAGTTGAAGTCCACAAGTCTTAAAGTTGCCAAGGTTGGAGATCCCTGGTTTATATTAACCCTGTAAATATATATTGGCTGACAAGTCCCAGGGAAATCAGGAGATCTAGGCAGTTCAAATGGGTATAAAAAGATTTATTGTAAGCTTAAACTCTCTACAAGAATCAACTATTAATGGCCAAATGAAATTGGCGGTAGATAAGAGTTTAAGATTGGTTGGATTCAGATCTCTTGTGGGCATGAAGGGTCTCATGACATGTTTGACCCCTCTCTCGGGCTCAACCTGGTCATCTCCTAAATCGGCTGCCAGTAAAATTGCTAAGTTTCTGTCCCATGAAATAAATATGGAAAACTAGACATTGCAAAGCATAACGTTTCAGAACCATAGGATTTTATTCATATATAAAGTTATACATATATGAGGGGGCTTTATTAAGGTTTAATGCCCAATCTTACACATCTACTCTGAATAAGTTCAATGGGACTAACATCCAAGTAGATGTGTACAAAATAATAATAATTACTCTGTGTGTGTATGTGTGTGTGTTTGTTTAAAACCCATATTTTCCCCATCTCCTTGTACCTGATATCAGAATAAGCATGTATCTTCTGGATATTAATGTCCGTGTGTAAGACATCCAAGAGTGCTGCTAGCTGTTGTATGAGGGTATCTTTCTGTTGCTCAGTCAGTTGACCGACTTCAACTTGCAAGATCAATTCCACAAGCCCATTTTTCTTTGGGTCTGAGAATGAAAAAAATAATAATAATGCCTTTCCTGAGAGCCTGTCATATACTGCCTAACTACATGGCAGTCATATTTGGAGGTATTATTTAGCTAACCTTAGTTGGGTACTTAAATGAGAAAATGCCAGGAAATTCCAAGATTTCAAGCTAGGAAATTAAAAATTAAAAAAAACCATCTTGGAAGACTGCAAGTACTTCTATACTGTTGCAAAGAAAAGCAGACAGAAATGACCATAAGTTAACAAAAGTTCAAAGCATCTGATTGAATGATGCTTCTGATCTGGTTTAAGCACGTGTTATGAACTGCAATTGAAAGTTTGGAAATCTACCCTAAAACCTCTGCATCTGACCTAAGACTTGATCATCTGGATTGGGAAGACCTTCAATCATTTTGCCAAAGGACAGGGATTTGGGAACAATGCAAGAAAATAGTTTAGGTCACGAGTGTTAAATTTGCAGCCCACGGGCCGGATGCGTCACGCACTGGCCATGCCCACCCCCGGTTTAGCGAAGGAGGGGAAGTTGTGATATGTCACATGAAAACAATGTATCGTCGGGAGTTTGACATCCCTGGCTTAGGCTATATTACAGTGTTTCTCAACCTTGGTAACTTGAAGATGGGTGGACTTCAACTCCCAGAATCCCCCAGCCAGCGCTGCTGGCTGGGGGATTCTGGGAGTTGAAGTCCACCCATTTTCAAGCTACCAAGGTTGAGAAACACTGCTATATTAGAAAACAGCTTACCGGGCCATACTTCCACTACAGCTGTGTCGATGTCTGAATTTCCTTTGGCATCAGTGACTTTCAAATGAAACATGTAGTTCCCCTCTACAAGATTGGTTAACTGTAAGACAGCCTCATGGTTGGAGCCAAGAATCACATCCTGCAAAAGCAAAGAAATTGGCACTCAGAAGACGACTTCCAAATGTAATCTTCTCTGAAGCCAATTATTTGATGTCTCTGTTACCAGAACCAGCTCTCAAAATGCAGTTGCCTTCACCTACATTCAGACTCACTCCAACCAAGATTCACTGGGCCCACAGTAAACTGAGTTACTAGGACATGTGAGGCATAAAGTCCCACTAGTATCTCTCTCTTTGCAACTGGCAGTGACACGCAGCCTGAATCCCATAAAATTGGTCTAGGATAGGGGTGTCAAATTGGCAGCCCATGTGGAGACCACGCCCACCCCGGGTCTGCAAAGGCAAAAAACATGATATGTTACGTGATGTCATGTGACACGATCAAGTTTGACATCCGTGGTCTAGGACATGGAGGCAGTCCTCAACTTACAACAGTTCATTTAGTGATCGTTTGAAGTTATAATGACACTAAAATAGTAACTTGGGACCGTTTTTCAGACTTACAACCATTGCAGCATCTGCATGGTAACGTAATCTAAATTCAGACGCTTGACAACTGACTCATATTTATGGCAGTTGCAGTGTCCTGAGGTCATTAACAATTATGGCAAGATAGATCATAAAATTGGGCAAAACTCACTTGACAACTGCCTTACTTAGCAGCAGAAATTTTGGTTTCAATTGTGGTCGTAAATCAAAGACTACCTGTACCGGTTAACAGGTACACACCAGTGGTGGGATTAAGCCGGTTCGGGTGAACCAGTTGTTAAATTGCTGGATGACCCTGCCCTGCCCCTTCTAGGAGTTCCCACACACTCCGTTTTTGTTCCCAGGAGGCTGCAGGGAGGCCTACTAGGCCCAAAATGGGGGGGGTGCGCCCCCCCGGGCCCGTTTTTGCTCCCAAGGGGGTGCAGGAGGCTGAGTGCTGCCTGTCACACACCATGGCCATGCCCACTATGGCCACGCCCACCCAGCCAGTCACTAGGGCAGAGAACCTGTTGTTAAATTATTTGAATCCCATCACTGGTACACACCGTGAAGTACAGTATGTACCCTCAAAACCATTAATCTTTTCTTTGCTCCTATTTTCAGAACAGAAGCCTCTCCAGCTTATTTGCCTGAAGCTGTTCCATCCAAATCCAGTTAAACTCTCAATTTGATGGATCATGTTAGCTTCTATAAGCAGTAAACAGACAGCCTCATAAAAATAAATTCAGAAAAAAATTCCCTTTGGCCCAATTAGATACTTTAAACACTTACTCCAGCTGCTGGACTCTGGCCATCCCGGATCCAAAGATAAGACACAATTCTTTGGTCATCAACAGAATGAGATCCATCCAAAGCAATGGAGTTATTGGGGAGAACAAGGATATGTTTGCCTCCTGCAAGGGCCTTTGGTGCAGAGTTGCTGCCTAAATGCAACAAAGGGAGAGATTTGTTCAAACAAGAAAAGAGGATAAGGCAGACATAGCCCAAATATAAAGCTTGTAGTAAGAAGGTTCTCAGAATGCAAGATAATTAAATTTAAATGCTGTAATGATGAATCAAAACAGCCCCAACCATTTAGGAAACCCCAAATTGCCTATCCCTGGTTAGATAATTGGATCAGGACTGGAAAGATTAAAATGGAAGCCCAAAATATCTAAAACACAGGAGAGGAATAGAAAGACGGGACATTTATTCAGGAAATTTCTTCAAAAACGAGGGACAGAAAACCTTACCCTCCTGAACAATCACAGAAAGTGTGGCAGTGCTGCTCAGCCCTTGATCATCTTCTACGGTCAGTCTGAAATGATAGGTTCCGATCTGTAGATCTGAGACAGTCGCCACGGCGCTATCAGCATTCTCCATATGCAAAGAACTTGGCCCACTGTGGCAAAAACAATTTAACCCATAATGCTGGATCCAATTTCAGCTCAAAATGTAAAAGTATTATTTGCAAGCAAGGAAATCAACCCTGACTGATCTTTGGAAGGACAAATACAGAAGCTGAAGCTCAAATACTCTGGCTGCCTAATGAGAAGAGAGACTCATTGGAAAAGACCCTTGATGTTGGGAAAGATTGAAGGCAAAAGGAGAAGAGGACGGCAGAGGATGAGATGGTTAGTTGGTGTCATTGACACAATGAACCTGAATTTGGGCAAACTCTGGGAAACGGGACAACAGGGGGTCCTGGCATGCTAGGGTCCATGGGGTCATGAAAAGTCGCACGTGATTAACAAATGAACAACAACTACAAAAAAAATTATTGCAAGCTGTTGGGAAGTATCAAGTATTTTAGTCCTTGGTTTTATTTTTATTTTTATGGTTTGTAGTTTTATTACTGCTGTGAGCTGCCCAGAGATTTGTTTTAAGGTGGGTGTCCATGCAAATCTTTTAAATAAATAACTACATGGAGCAAATCTCAACAACAATGACAGCCAGGGTTCTGAATCTTCAAGTGACTGAGTAAAAAGTGCAAACATCAATTCATCACAGTTATTCTCAAAATGAGTAAACAGGAAAAGTTGAGTTTGAGACAATAATCCAAGCATTAATTATAAAGGAGTAAGCCTCAAAGTGTTTCTTGGCAAGCAATCCCAAATTTTGCAAAGGTTGCAAATATTCTAGTTATGTTACTAGAATTAGTTATATGTCATTAGTTCAGTTGTATGCCATCAAAGCAAAGGTGATGGACATATTTTCTCTTGCTAAACTTTGTTAAGAAACACAGAATTCTAGAAATTAAAATGGTATTGTGAACACTATTTTAAACAAACACTTGGTGAAAATAATTGTCTAAGAGATTCGTCAAAAATGGTAATCCCAGGAGAAAGCAAATTCATCCCAACTGAATTATGAAAAATACCACTGCTCAATTTTTTAAGATATTTTTATCCTGCCCATATTACTTTATAAGTAACTCAAGGTGATAAGTATGCATAGAGAAATATGCCTTCCTCTTCCTATTTTCCCCATAATGATAGCCTTGTGAAGTGAGTTGGACTGAAAGAGAATGATTGGACCGAGATCACCAAGGTGGCTTTCTTGCCCAAGGCAGGACTAGAACTCACAGACTCCTGATTTCTAGGCCAGCACCTTAATCACTACACCAAACAGGCTCTCATTATAGGTGATCCTTGACTTACAACCACAATTGAGCCCAAAATTTCTGTTGCTAAGCAAGGCAGTTGTTAAGTGAGTTTTGCCCCATTTATGACCTTTCATGCCACAGTTGTTAAGTGGATCATTGCAGGTGGTAAGTTAGTAACATGATTGTTAAGTGAATCTGGTTTTCCCACTGACTTTGCTTCTCAGAAGGTCGCAAAATGTGATCAGATGAGCCTAGGACGATACAACCATCATAAATACATGTCAGTTGGCAAGTGTCCAAATTTTAATCACATAATATGGAGATGCTGCAATGGTCATGTGAAAATGCTCATAAGTCACTACACAAATGGTTGTAAGTCGAGGACCACCTGTACATCTATTACGTCCCCTTCCCTGACTTTGTCAATGTAACAAAGTTAATGGACAAGTATTAATATACAGCGTAGCATGTTTGGCACCTACTTCACCATGAACTGCTCTGGAAACGTTATTTTTTCCAAGAGGTCACAATTCTGTAGGAAACAGCATGGATAATGTTTCAAACTAGAAATAGGTGATTAAGAACGACTAAGATTTCCAATTCAAACCATACAATCAGCAGGATTTAAATATAGGCATCTATAATAATGTGTCAAAAAAAATAAAGATAAGGTGGTAGTTACACCAATGCAGGCAAAGTTCCCATCTTCAGCTTTTTTGAAACCTTCCCCCACCATTTGTGTCACCCCACATAAAATATCAGTTTGCCTTCCTTAAATTTTTTCAGTCCTTAGCATCACCAATCGTAATGTCACCCATGCCTTGGTGTGCATCTTCCCTCCATACAAAATACCTGATATTCTCCCAGTGATAGTAGACAATCCTTAAGTCATCAGTGCTCATGCTCCCATCGAGATTCGTGCTCCGGATAGGAAAGGTCAACACTTTATCGGGGCCAGTCATGGCTGATGGAGGCTTGTTTTGCCCTGTAACAAAGACAAAAACAATCCAATCCAATTGTTCTTTCTATATATGTATCAGCGAGATTTATTTCCTCCTCTTTAAGGAGTTACCGGAACCTTAAGATTAGTAAAGAGAGCAGAAAGGGTTAGAGCTGGGGTTAGGCTTAAACTTTGGGTTTAGGATTGGGATTCAGGTTAGGGTTAGGGTTGAGGTTGAGGTTACGGTCAAGGCTAGGGTTGGGGTTGGGTTTAGGGTTGGGATTAGGGTCAAGGCTAGGATTGGGGTTGGAGTTAGGGCTAGGGAAGATAGTGAGGTTCTTTCATTTTCTTTCCTTATTGTCTTCTACAAAATTCATTTACTTCTACTACAAAAATTCCAATGGAGGGGTCAGCCCTTCCAATTCAAGGGTCTTGTGCGTGACTTCATTTTTCCAAGCCATATTTTTTCAGGGTTTCTCCCACAAGGCAGTTGTATCGCTCCCATATAAGAGACCTGCAATATGCATTCAATTTCCACAGTCCAATTTCTAATCACTACAGATACTTATAATGGACTGCAAAGCAGGCCACTGTTCTCTCCTATTTTTAACATCCAAGTCAGATGCATCAGTTCATAACCCCAATTGTTCTATTATGTCAGGCAGCTTTATGATGCCCTACCGGGCCAGACTGTTACTGTGACTTCAGCTGTTGACTTCTGATCTGCAGAATCCATTACTGTCAGCTGGAACATATATTCTCCCTCTTGCATTGCAGACAGTTGAAGATATGGACTCCTTACGCCCTAGAAAATCACGCACAGAACATAAATCAGAGATGATGAAAAAAAAGTGCAATATAATGCTGTGTGCTCTTTCATGCGAAGAGCACAATTTGTTGTTGATCTCCTTGTAAGTATTGATACAGAGTGTACACGTTGCATTAACCATCATGTGTCTTATTTAATTCTGGCTTAGAATACTGTTAAGGATACAGTCCTTGTGTTTTATAAACTAGCATAACATGTTTCATGTATAATACCGTGTTTCCCCGAAAATAAGACCCTGTCTTATACTTTCTTGAACCGTGAAATAAGCGCTTGGCCTTATTGCCATGCGCTCAAAAGCCCGATTGGGCTTATTATCAGAGGATGTCTTATTTTGGGGGAAACAGAGTAGTCAAATAAATTTTAGAATGCTCTGTGCAATTTCCAGCTTATTACTTGACTGGCAACTTTTAGATAAGGCACGTTCATTAGTCTTACTCTAGCAGAAGTTCCACTGAGTTGTAACATTCACTGCCATGTTAATGCAACTTAATCTTTTGTGGTTGGTAAGGCACTCATAAGTCATGTAATGGCACTCAGAAGCTAATACCCAAAGTATGTATATGCAGCCCTACCCAAAGGAATTGGAACTACTGGCAAGTTTAATTATATTGTAGCCTTATTTCTTTTACAGAGTTTCAGCTTCAGCAAGACTAATTGTTCTATGCTTTCAGGTGATACCCTGTTTTTAATTCACATTCTCGCATAACAAGGTGGGGCCTTTCAAATGTGCTCTTATTGTACATTTTTGTTCTTGGTCGTATCTATTTCCTTATTTTTCCAACCATAGCAAGTGGCCTGCAAGTTGTTTTCTAAATGCTTCAAATCAAGTTCTAAAAATCAGAAGGAATCACCTTTGTGGAACTTAAAAGTTAAAATGTATTTAGATAATCAGCAAAGGACCAGGCACCAGCATAAACATCTGAACTAATTTCAGTGTTTGTGGCCTGTTTTCAGAAGCACCACAAATTCCTTTTCTTAGACTTAGAGTAACTTTATTGTCACTTTGAATATTTATTGAAGTGACAATAAAGTTATTCTAAGTCTAAAAAAAAATTCTTTTTCAAAACTAGTTTCAGATATAACACAAATGGCATGGCATAAAGCAAAATGCCCTTCAGTTACCTGCATGGCTACCATTGTGCTTTTACTTTTGGGACTCAGGGACCACTCGTAGCTGACAATGCCATGATCATCTTTACTCTGGTTTCCATTTAATGTGACTGAATTTTGAGGCAAACTAATTTCCTGATCTGGTCCAGCACTGGCAACAGGAGGAGAATCCGATAGTTTGTTGACTCTCAAGGAAGCTGTTGTGGAGTTAACTGCTCCATCAGAATCGGTGACAATTAGCCTGAACAACAAAAACAACAAAAGTAATATGTGGTGAATTCATACACCGAAAAGTGTGCCCTTATCCTAATCACATCTCCTAGCTATGTATGCAAGCTATAATTCCATGCATATTTAATTGGGAGAAAATGCAATCAAATGTATGATACTGCATCTGAACAGATATTCATAGTTTTGACAGCTGTGCATTACTGGACATGATCTAGCCCTTTGACCAATTTCAGCTGGCCCCACATCTCCTCCTGATCTAATACATCTAAATCAAGATGTATATTGATACAATATCAATGTATATCTTGATTCAAATGTATTAGATCATATTATGTTCATAACTACAATAAGAATAAGAAATTATGCTTTTGTGTTTACTTTATGGTAAGATCTCAGACACATTTGAGAAAAGACAAATGCTAGTTCTCTCAGCCTGTTTCTGAAGCTATAAAGTCTGAGATTCAAATTATCCAAAACTTGAACAAGGCTAAGGAGGTGATCTCCTATCTTACTCAATCTCAAGAATTTCTTCCAGAGCAGTCTGAGAGGAGAACGAAAAATCAAACATTTCCCCATCAATCCTTTTGTTTTCCAGGAATAGAAGGAACTCTTTCATTTATGTAAAGACCAATCTGTACAGGGGTGGGTTCTAAATTTTTTTACTACTGGTTCTGTGGGCGTGGCTTATTTTGTGAGCGTGGTTTGATGGTCATGTGACAAACAATTCTTTAGGATTTAGCAGAGGTACTGGTCTACCAGGCTTTTAACTGCTTGCAAAGCCGTACCGATCTACCCATTTGTTTTTGGAGCATACCGGTCTACCCATTTGTTTTTGGAGTGCACTGGTCTACCACCACACTGCCTTTTACCGTTGATCAGCTGTAGGGTGGTCCTTTAAAGCAACACAGCAAGAGTATAAACAGTTTTTTGCCACTCTGCCACCAACGAGAACATCGGAAATCGCTTTCAGGCAGCTTGGCCTCAATTGCCAATCTACCACCACCGAGCGGTTTACAAGGAGTAGATCGGTTCTAGCCGATCAGTTGGGAGGCTTCTTGGCTTCTCAATTTAAAGTTAAGGTGTCTTGTTTTTTTTCTCTCTTCTTTGTCAAGTGAGCCCTGATTTTTTCCTTCTAGCCGATCAGCTGGGACTCGGGAGGCAGCGAATAGATTGGGGGCGGGGCCATGCAGAGGTTGTATTTACCAGTTCTCCGAATTACTCAAAATTTCCACTACCGGTTCGCAAGAACTGGGGTGAACCGATAGCAATCCACCACTGAATCTGGATCTGGCCCTAAATATAAAGAATCAAGAAGTTTCTCTAAATGCAGAAGTAGGGATTCCTTGGCTTAGTCTGTATTTTGTTGAGAAAGCAATAATAAAAACCACCCACCTGAAAGTGTAATTGCCAGGAATAAGATTAGAGAGATATAAAACAGGTGTATCAGCTGATGCCTTCTTTTTCCGCAAGGGACCCTCAATTTCTTCCCAGTGGTAACTCACAATTTTAGTATCATCTACACTTTCTGTGTTTGAGGGAAATATGACAGTATCGGTCAATAAGCAAATATCTCTGTAAGTACTTATTATTATAGTAAGAGTATTTCTTATCAAGAAAATGTGTGTGATTTTCTTTATCTATTCATGTGTAAGATTCATTAAAAAGCATTTTCTTCCCAATTTTTCTTCATAACAACAGCAACCTTGTGAAGTAGTTTGAGTTGAGAAATAGCGCCTGGTCCAAAGCCATCCAGAGCGAACTTTTTAATTATGGTTTTTGTAGTCCCAAGATTTATTAGTTTCCCTCACCCCCCCCCTATGATTAATTAGATTGGTTCTCTACCAGAACTAAGTTTTCCACATCATTGAGATGCCAACTATGCCAATATCTATCTCATGACAGACTGTTTATATAAACAGGATAGGGTTAAGAAAATTACCGTACATTTAAAAGTAAATTGGAAAAGGTTGTATTAGAAGAAGAGCGTCTTTGTGAAGAAATAACATGCAATATGGAATTAGGGTAAACTGCATTCTTTATCAATCCAATTATCTATCTGAGTGTGGGAAAAATGTTTATAATTGGCTAATAATTGAAACGAATGGAATACTCCATGCCATAATGGCTCAGATTTGGACTGATTTCCACATCCCTAAATTATAATGCAAAAACAACGACTGCAACTTGGTACTTACGATTTCCATCAATGAAGGCAGAAGTAATAGGATAAGAAATCTCCTGTACTTTGGGAGAGACAATAGCAACAGGGGGTTGATTTATTCGGATTGCTGGATAAAGATAAGAACCAGAATACCTTGTATAATTAAATAAATCCACTGCACGCATTCCAAACCCATGCTTATTAAACAACCAGAACCCACCTCCTGACCACTGAAAGTATTAAATTCTTAACACGAGAAATAAAATATAGATTTTTACCAATATCACATTAAAAAAAAAAAGAGCACTGCAAATTACTATTTGAAAAAAACACATTACATCTTGTGTCCAAATGAAGAAAATTGTATCATGTTGGGAATTTGTGATGTTCGACGATCTTAATAGTAAACAGCAGTTCAAACAATAATTCTACTTCAGTATCCTGCTTTGCTCCTTATGTGAACAATAAGCCTGGCTATCTTTTGCGGGCCAGATCTGTCCATAACTTTCTACTAGTACATATGCTAAAAATTGCCTTTCAAAAAGAAAGCAGGATTTCATCATATCTCATTAAAATGTTAATTTATTTATTTAATTATATCAATTGAAACACACCTGTATTATTATTCAAGTTATTTTATCCTGCCTTTCTATTTGGAAAACCTTCTATTTAATACAGCTACTCCCCACTTATTTCATAATTTCCGTTCTCTTCTGAATTAAAAATCATAGTTTAGTAACAACCTTTCGAAGGGGCCCAGGAGGCTATATCCAACATGGGGGCGGGGGGGGGATTCCTGTAACTCCAAGGCTATTTGATATGTCCTGTCTAGTATTGTTAGAAATAGCTGAAAAATGATGAGGCAAAGGAATACATGCAGAGAAAAAATAGATATTATTACCAATTCAAACAAATTGGCCATGCATGGTGTTTCATTTAGGCTGCAAGTACAGGTAGACCACAACTTTCAATTATTCATTTAGCGATCGAAGTTAAAACAGCACTGGAAAAAGTGATTTATGATCATTTTACAAAATTTCGAGCATTGCAGCATCCCCATGATGACACGATCAAAATTTGGACCCTTGGCAACTGACATGTATTTATGATGACTGCAGACTTCTGAGGACATGTGATCACCTTTTGTGAATTAAGGCCAGATTCCCTTAATCACATTACTAACTTAACAACTGCAGTGATTCACTTAACAACTGTAGCAAGAAAGGTAATAAAATGGGGCAAAAGTCACTTAATTACAGTCTTGCTTAGCAATGGAAATTTTTGGCTCAGTTGTGGTCGTAAGTTGAGGACTAGCTAGAAATAAATAGTATGCTTGGCAACTTGATTTTTTTTTCCTCCTTTAGGTTCAAAATTAGGAAGAACTATAGAGCAAAAGAAGGAGCCTGAGCGGCGCAGCAGACTAATGCTACTGTTAAAAGGTAGTATTTAGCTTCCAGCTGCCTGCAATTACTGCAAGTTCAATTCTCACCAGGCTCAAGGTTGACTCAGCCTTCCATCCTTTCTAAGGTAGGTAAAATGAGGACCCGGTTGTGGGGGCAATAAGATGACTTTGTATAAAATATACAAAAGTATGAAGGCTATTGCTTAACACATTGTAAACCACCCTGAGTCTCCAGAGAAGGGCGGCATATAAATCAAAATTTAAAAAAAAAGAAAAAAGAAAGAAAGTTTAAAGCAGGCAAAATTTCTTTAGGTGATCATCGGAGAATTGCCTTCTATGTTATAATAATAAATTATAAGAACAAATTCACAAGAAAACCTTCTACCTTAAAAAGAAACAAGGAAAGGGATGGGATGGGATGGGAACTTGTTATTCCTTATTTGATAACATTTGGGAATAATAAAGTATCAACAGTGAACTTAATTCAGAGCCACCAAAATAGAAATTAATTGAAAGGTCTGGAAAGCAGGTTTACCTGGCTGGACAGAAATATTTACAAATCCTTCTCCAAATGCATTTTCAGCAGAAACAGCCAGTCTGAAGACATAGGCACCTTCTGGCAGCTGGTAGAGAAACAGTGTGTTGATATGGGTGCATTAATTTGAAATAGATGTAGGGCATCTTAAAGGCATAGTTCAAATCACTCCAAGAAGGGTGAGTCTACTAATATCAAATCCAGAATACAAATATGCCTAGCATAGGGGTCAGCAACCTGCGGCTCTGGAGCTGCATGTGGCTCTTTCATCCCTCTGCTGCAGCTCCCTGTCACTCAAAATAGGCGTCACAACTGCCAATGTGCGACACCTGCCGGCACATGATTTATTGAGCTTTTCGACCCCCAGGAGGCCAACCATGGAAAAATCCAAGAAAAGAAAAGTTTCAGAAGAAAACAGAATGTTTAATTCAACTACATATGCTAATTTTGTGGCCGCTCAAGTAATAGTCAGGCACAGAAAGGGTTTGTGGCTCCCGGTGTTTTCTTTTCTGTAGGAAAGAGGTCCAAATGGCTGTTTGAGTGATCCCTGGCCTAGCACAAACTTGCTTGCCCAATTGTTTCAGAAGTGTGGAGGATGTCACAATTCCCAATCAGTATTGATGGAGAAGACTGCTCTCAACCAGGAATATTATCCAGACTGGTCAGCAAATTATTTAGGAAGAAAACAGTTTAAGAAAGTATAGGCACTGTCTGCCAAAGCCATATTTAGAACAAAAATGTAATCTGTTTACAAACCTACCAACGCCATGCCAAGTTCTAGAAGTATTTTTGACATGACAGATTTTCACCTTCTCAATGTAAGGTCAACTAAGACAATTGGCTTGTCATAGTCATAAATAGAAAACTAACTTAAATTGGCTTCCCGGTAAATATGGCTGATTGACCAGTCTGAGAAGCTCTTTCTAGAACGAAACTTTTTCAATTTACAAACAGGGAAATGAATTCCCTACATTTGTATGATTTTCCTGGGTTAGGGTGAGTCCAAGAATCATCCCATAAGGTCCTCCATACAGCAGTGGATTTTTATTAATATGGATGATAATAGTTTAGAAAGATTAATAAGTGTAAATAGAACTACGTATGATTTTTCACAACGGGGGCGGGGGAGGATTTGTTTTAAGATAGCAATGTAAACTGTTTTTACAAAGAGATTTTATTTGGCCTTGTTTCTTTTGGGATATTGCTTTCTGGTTTTCTATGCTTGAAGTAGAAAAGAAAATGAAATTTAGAATTTAATTTGAAGATATCATAATTGTGTAGTTATGGAGCTGGCTTATAATAATTATATGGTAGGTAATGTAAAAAGTTGAGGTCATAAATGTGTTAGTATTTTATTGTGTTGAAAAGAATCAGAATCAACACTTTTTCTCTTCCTTTTTTTAATCCTGCACTTCCCCCCCTTTTTAATCTTTGTTTTCATTGTATTTTATCCTATAATAAAACTTAATAAAACTTCCATTAAAAAAGCATACAGCTAATTAAGAAAACTCTTGGTTTTTCCCAACTTAACAATTACTATATTTTAGTAGACCCATGGCATGCTGAACTTAATGGCCTGATTCAGCAGGACTCTTCTTATGTTACTGGGTAATGTTTTGTACATTTAGAATCTGAAAAATAACAGGATGCTCATCACCATACATTAATTTCTTCTGTAGACAAATGATTTCCAACTAGTTGAACATCTCATACATCATAGTTCCCTGTGATTGGAAGCCATGATTGGTTGTGTTGGCACTCACATCCATGAATCAGGAATCCTATATGAGTAGCTGTTTTATCAAGTGCGATTCTTCTTCAAGCGGCAAATATGATTGTTTTTAGGGGGAAAAAAAACCTTAAAAACCATTCGGGGTGGATTACACGTATCAGAAAATGTAAACACTTCCAGTATTTTATACAAGTTTTGAGTGGGCAAGGGCCTACTCACTTGAGAAAGTTTTAGAGTTGGTGTGTGCTTATCCTTCATTTCACCATCGTAGCTGTCAGGGTAACTGATCAAGCTCCATTCGTAAATATAGTCTGATTCTAAACAAAAAAGAAAAATGCAGCACAAATAATTATGCCTGCTATTATGCAAGCTTCAGTCATAGGGTAGAGGAATTGTAACCCTCCCCTTGTCCTACAACTTCTACCACGCAAAACATTTTTGCCAGACCTGGTCTCTCAGCACTGATGATGTTACCTAGCTTAGTAATGAAACATCTGCAAGAAAATCATCAAATTCAGAGAGCTCCAAGGAACCCACATGGTATCTCCTGACTGCTGTCTTGGAATTCTAGGAACTATAGACCCAGATCATATAAAGATACCACCTTGAGAATAAAATAATAATACACCATATTTTTCGGAGTATAAGATGCACCTACCTTTTTTGGTGAGGAAAAGAAGAAAAAGAAATCTCCCTCTGCCTCTGCCTCTGAGCAATTTTGCCTCCTTGCAGCAAAGAGCAAACAGCCTGCTTTACTTTCATTTTTGTTTTCAGCATAGCTTGATTAGCACAAGGAAAAAACAAATCTGCTCCAGCAATTTACTTCTTTGCAGCAAGCAGCAGAGGCCCCCGCAAAACAGCTAAGAGCAAATCAGCTGAGAGTCAGGAGGCCGATCCAATCAACTTGTGCTTATTAAGCTGTGCTGAAGCTGAAAGGAACTGTTTTTTCTTGCTGTTTGCTTGCAAGGAGGTAACTGCTGCGAGGCAGAGGTCAAAGGTGGGGGCCAATGGGCGGGGCTACATTCGGTGTATAAGACGCACCTAAATTTTCACCTCCTTTTAGGGGGGAAAAAGTGCGTCTTATACTCCAAAAAATACGGTAAACTGTGAGCTAAGTAATTTTAGGGATATCCATTCCAGCAGTTGTTTATCTCACACAACTCTGGGTTGCACAAGCAGAACTTCTACACCAAGAGGCATCATCTGGATATACCATGTTTCCCTGAAAATGAGACCCTGTCTTATATTTTTTTGAACCCCAAAATAAGCACTTGGCCTTATTTTCAGGGAGGTCTTATTATTTTGGGGCACATTGAACAAGACATGGCTCCTCTTGCCATCTTATCTGATTTCCAGCTCTGTCTCCCTAACCCTAACCAAAAGAAATGGCGTGGACCAGCTGCGTATGCATTTAAATATTTTTGGGGGAGGGCTTATTTTGGGGGGGGGCTTATTTTAGCACATGTGCTCAAAAGCCCAATTGGGCTTATTATCAGGGGATGTCTTATTTTCAGGGAAACAAGGTAATCTTGATTCAACATTCAAGGTGTTGGTTATTATCTTCAGAGCGCTCCATGGCTTAGGACCTGGGTACTTACAAGATCGCCTTCTGCTACCGATAGCTCCCACAGGCCAGTACGTTCCCACAGAGAGGGACTCCTCGGGGTGCTGTCGGTCAAACTATGTCGACTGGCGACTCCCAGGGGGAGATCCTTCTCTGTGGGGGCACCTGCCCTCTGGAACAAATTGCCCCGGGATTTACGGATGATTCCTGACCTACGCACCTTTCATCGTGCCCTCAAGATGCTGTTGTTTCAACAAGCTGGGCTGGCCTGCATACCAAGATCAATTTTAAGTTATATGGGTTGTCTTTGTTTTAATTGAAATGGGCCAAATTATTTAATTCCTTTTAAACTGTTTTAAATTTTATATGTGTTCGTTTTTATTTTTGGCTGTGCACCGCCCTGAGTCCTTCGAGAGAAGGGCGGTATAAAAATTAAATAAATAAATAAATAAATAAATAAATAAATAAATAAATAAATAAATAATCAATTATTTTTTTTTAAAGAAGTCTACAAATCTTCATCCTACTTGCGTGTTGTATGTAAGCACAGGACTTTTGCAGACTTGGTCACTTTCCTGAATATTTAAGCCAAGTAACCCTAAAGAAGGCCTTTTCTAGAGACTGATTTGATACCCTCCCATTGGCTTTACTGGAGAGAAGATTTCATGGGACCCATTCACAGAGACTTTGTCCTTGTGGTTCCAGGGAAGAAGAAACTCTTGCCCACGTCCCTTTCTGTGGTACCCTGTCTATGATGTTTTAAGACAATGACCCACAACCTTTTGGGCACCAAGGACCAACTCCATGGAGAAAAGTTTTGCTTGGTTTTGCATGCTGCCTGCATCCCGCAGATGAGGCTTCGCTTCTTTGCACAGCCCAGTTGCTGGCATGCCGCAGCCCAGTGCCAGTCCACGGACTGGGGGTTGGGGACCTCTGCCTTAAGATGTTGTTTGTTGTTTGTTGTTTATTAGATTTGTATACCGCCCTACTCCCGAAGGACTCAGGGCGGTGAACAGCCATGAAATAAAACATATAAATACAAAATTTAAAATAGAAATAAAACAAGTTAGATAAATTTGGCTGAACCATATTTAAAACCCCAATAATTTAAAACCAAATTTAAAATTCCCATTTAAAAGAGGAGAAGTTTAGGTCAGGCCGGCTTGCTGGAATAGGAACGTCTTCAGCGTGCGATGGAAGGTACGCAGATCCGGAATCCTCCGTATCTCGGGGGGGAGCTCGTTCCAGATAGTAGGTGCCCCCACAGAGAAGGCTCTCCCCCTGGGGGCCGCCAGTCGACATTGTTTGGCCGACGGCACCCGGAGGAGCCCCTCTCTATGGGAGCGTACTGGTCGGTGGGAGGCTATTGGTGGTAGCAGGCGGTCCCGTAGATAACCAGGTCCTAAGCCATGGAGCGCTCTAAAGGTGATGACCAAAACCTTGAAGCGCACTCGGAAGACCACCGGGAGCCAGTGCAGCTCGCGCAGGAGAGGCGTTACATGGGAGCGCCACGTCGCTCCCATCACCACCCGCGCGGCCGCACTCTGCGCCAGTTGGAGCCTCCGAGTGCTCCTCAAGGGGAGCCCCATGTAGAGAGCGTTACAATAGTCCAGACGGGAGGTGACGAGGGCATGAGTGACCGTGCGTAACGAGTCCCGATCCAGAAAGGGACGCAACTGGCGAATCAGGCGAACCTGATGAAAAATCCTCCCGGTCACGGCCGTCAAGTGCTCTTCTAAAGACAGCCGTGAATCCAGGAGGACACCCAAGTTGCGAGCCCTCTCCGTGGGGGCCAATACTTCGCCCCCAATAGTCAGCGATGGCACCAGCTGACTATATCGGGATGTCGGAAACCACAGCCACTCGGTCTTGGATGGGTTGAGTCTGAGCCTCTCAGATGTGCTCTCATTGCCACAATCATTTCCAAATACGACAGCAATGCAGATACATTTTATATTTATTATTATTTAAGGGATGCTAACCCTACACTATAGGTGGGCATATATATTTTCACCAAGTTACACAACTGCATAATTTTTTTTTATTAGATATACTGTTTTATGGTCTCATTATTATTTTTTCCATTCCCTAAAAGAATGTTTCTATTTCTACTCTTTTAATGCAAAGGCTGGTCACAGACCGTAATAAAGATATTTGATTTGATTTGATATTCTATGTAAGTGATACAATTTGATTTTGAGTTACCTAGATGTCTAGATTATTCTGACATACAGTCATTTTATTTCAAGACAGGAAGAATGGCTGGTTACTGCCATTCTCACTTTGAATTTAACTGTTAATGTTTCTCTTCTGTTTAAATCAGGCTTGCATAATGCTCATCAAATGTTATTAGCCAGGAAACAGTTCTACGAGCTCTATGTTAGGATTTAGGTAAAGTCCTGTACCATTGTATTTAATGGCCAGTATACTTCTCAACAGCCTACACATAAGATAATGAAATTTTAAAACTTTTAAAGGAAATAATTTAAAGGAGGGGCTGAAGACACTGTTTCAGAGGGCAATTTTTTATGCTTGATGTCTGGTTTAGGCTGTTTATGGATAGCAATAGCACTTAGATTTATATACCGCTTTACAGTGCTTTGTTACAGCCCTCTCTAAGCGGTTTACAGAGTCAGCACATTGCCCCCAACAATTTGGGTCCTCATTTTACCCACCTCAGAAGGATGGAAGGCTGAGTCAACCTTGAGTCTGGTGAGATTTGAACAGCCAAATTGCAGGTAGCCAGCAGTCAGCAGAAGTAGCCTGCAGTACTGCACTCTAACCACTGCGCCACCACGGCTCATGATGATAATTCCAACTTTTCTCAATTTCTGTAGACTTATTTCCATATGGGGCAGAATTGAGTAGGAACTCTGTGGAAAACTATGGAAGTATCACTTCAGAATACAAGCAGGTGATAAATTTAACAGAATAACAGAATTAGAAGGAACCTTGGAGGTCTTCTAGTGCAACCCCCTGCTCAAGTAGGAGACTCTACATCATTCCAGACAAGTGGCTGTCCAGTCTCTTCTTAAAAGCCTCCAGTGACAAAGCACCCCAACTTCTGGAGGTAAGCTGTTCCACGAGCTAATTGTTCTCAGTGTTAGGAAATTTCTCTTTAGTTCTAGGTTGCTTCTCTCCTTAATTAGTTTCCAACCATTGCTTCTTGTCTTGCCTTCTGGTGCTTTGGAAAACAGGTTGACCCCCTCTTCTTTGTGACAGCCCCTCAAATATTGGAACCCCTGCTATCATGTCACCCCAAATCCTTCTTTTCACTAGACTAGACATATCCAATTCCTGCAACCCCTCTTCATGTGTTTTAGCCTCCAGCCCTCTGAAAAAATATTTTTTTAAATATCTCTAAAAATGTTTTAAAAATATCCCCATCCACCCCAGCAACAACAGCAAGAAAACACACATCTCCTGGAAACAGAATAAAGCAAACCAATAAAGCAGGATAGATTACATCCCTTCTTTATGGGCTAATTTTAATTAAAAAAACAAAAAATATGGGCAAACATTAAATAATTAAACAGTACAAATTCAGAGTTAAAAAAAAAAAAGAACACAGACTCTCATTTGGCTGAATGTTTAAACCAAGATTTCTGTCTGTTTGCTTGAAGCCAATCCTTTTATCTTTTTTAATTATTTAGAAATAATTTCCATTAAAATACAACAAGAGCCAACAAGAATAATGGAATGGCTGTCCATAGTAAAACTAAAGATTAAAAATGATTACAACATAAAAAAATATATCAGAGGTTAAAGATTTGGGGAAATCTGGGGAAAATAGGTTTTGGCCTATTAAAGTCATCTCAAGTGTCTCAATAGCAAAAGCTTCTCGGAGAAAAGACTCACACAATGCTAGCTTCTCCACGGTAAACCATCTGCTTCAACAGCAGCCATATCTGGAGAAAAGCCTCTGGAAAAATCTTAGTTTTTGGCAATTCAACCAAGATATATTTTTCTAACATCACTGTCTTACATCAGGAAGGACTTCAGACATAATTTGAAGACTATCTCAACAAATGAAGAGATCTGGATTATGAATATGCTCAAAATCTCAGTCATAAGGAAACCATATTACCTGTTTTTGGGATCGTTGTGGAAAATGTAACTTCACCTGTAGCACAACATGCAGTGCTATGAGCACTGGTGGGAAATGTTGTGGGTTTAGTTTGTATGAAATTATCTGGGTTTGACACTTCAGTTTGTGCTGGGATAGTGGAGAAAAATTCCAGAATTCCTGAAGAAGGAGGATTATGGGGAGGTGTTACAACCTACGAGACAAATTGCAGGAATATATCATTATTGTATTTTTTTTTTCACTTCTTATACAACGTTGAAAAACAAGAATGTATTGGAAGATCTAGATTCAAAATTTTAGTCTAGCTAGAATCAACAACATTATCAGAAAAGTCTGGAAAAATACTATATGTTCCCAAATTCCCAAGAATTGCACAAATTATGCATTTGTGCAAGCAGTTTTCTGGGATGCTTCCAATTCTGTTACAAAACTTGGACTGAAACTGGGTGACATCCCTGGCAATGTGCAATATGCCTGCAAACCAGGGTGGATAAAAATCAATGATTTTTTTAAAAAAATATAAAAAATCAGATTTTTCTGATTTAAATCAGATTTTTTTGATTTAAATCGGATTTTTTTGATTTTTATAGAATTTATTTTAATAAAAAACTTTTGAGGTAAAAATCTATCGTAAGATAGTTTTCTATTTAAGATACATAAATAATTTAGTTTATTCAGCATGAAATGGAGTTTAGTTATGTAGCATGAGGCTGTATATTCTGCAACACTGGGACTATCGGTGAGTCAACAGTGGGTCAAAGGAGTAGCAGAGATGACAGTTGCTCTTTAAAAATTATGATTTAAATCGAGTTGATTTAAATCAAGTCTTTTTACTACTGATTTAAATCATGATTTAAATTGTGATTTAAATCAACTCGATTTAAATCAAATCCACCCTGCTACAAACTCTAAAGAAAAAAACTCAATCTGAGCAAGAAAAAACAAATAAAGAAAAAAAGAGCCACAGGAAAATATATGAATAATACAGAATATTAAAAATGCCTTTGATCTGATAAAATGCTTACATATGAGATGGACATAGTACTAGTATATCTTCTTCATATGAGCTGCTCTCAAAAAAAACTACATGAAAAATAATAAGTTTAAGAAATAGAATGTGTAAACAAAGCACAATTATATGAATTGTCCAACTTTGATAAAGTACACTTAGTGTGGTTAACTCAAACCTAAAAAGTTAACCATTACATTGCCACAATTAAACCATCAAACAAAGACTGCAAAAACCGATTGCTTTATTACATTAGGCTAAAACCCTATTACTGAAATAGGCTTAGATTTACATATAATTAGCAATTTTATCCCAGTGTAGTGTTAATGACATCCTTGCAAAAAAACCAACATAGTTGCTGTTTTACTTTGTTAAGTTTGTTAAGAACACCCTTTTAAAATTTCCTTTCATCTGCTACATTCCACAAAAGAGAAGATATGGCAGCTATTAAAGCTGCTTTTACTGCAGAGCTTAGCAGAACATATTTATTTTCTAACGCTATTTTTTTGTCCTTATTATAATTATGCATTTCAAATTAAATAATATTGCACATTTCTTTTTCACGCTACTGGAGCCTCCAAAGACTTTTAGCTCCCTAATCTGGGAGCAAATCCATGCACAGAATTGGCATATAATATCAGAGAATTAAAACCTGAGTGGAAGCACTCTCATTTCTTCTGTAATATCACTCCATCATCATCATATTCCTGGACTCAGAGATTTCTGATTGTTCTTATTTATGGCACATCTGGATTGCTCCAACTGGACTCTTTCCATCAGAAAAAAATAGCCACAATGAAGCATCAAATATCTTTAAACTTTAGTTGACTGCTGTGGCCAAGCTAGAATTCAAGTGTTTATTCCTCTGAAATGAACTTAGAATTGGAAGCAAAAATTAAATTTTATCTTCTTCTCTGGCATACTAGGGTAGCAACTAACAAAGTCTAGATTATTATTAAACTTTTGTTCGCTATGAATTTTTGCTTGATTTAACCATTGGACAAGCTTCCAAAGACTGTGTTTCAGATATTTTTTGGTGGTTAAATGTTTCTTTTTAATGTGTGCACAAAAATACCTGTGCATAGAGAATCCACTTATATATAAGAATTGCTAATCTATTTTCAAAGAACTATGGTTTGTTTATCAAGAGTTATGCTTCACTTATAAATATATAGGGTTCTTTAAGTCATTTGTATTAGTCAAAATAATAATCCCCATATTTTAAAGGGTCCCAAGAGAATGTGATAAAATAAATGAATTAAGGATTGCATATTTCCTTTGAAGAGGCAATACTTTCTAACCCATTCCCATTGTTTTTAATTTGGATAACACCATTATATACACAGATTTATTCCTTCTCTTTTCATTCTTCTTTTAGTAATTAGCAAAAACTGAAGATCCAAGCAGCAGTTCCAGTGATTTATCAATAGCAATAACACTTACCCTGTTTCCTCCAAAATAAGACATCCCCTGATAATAAGCTCAGATAATAAGATAATAATCGGGCTTTTGAGCGCATGGCAATAAAGCAAAGCACTTATTTCAGGGTTCAAAAAAATATAAGACAGGGTCTTATTTTGGGGGAAACATGGTATATACCGCTTCATAGTGCTTTATAGCCCTCTCTAAGTGGTTTACAGAGTCAGCATATTGCCCCCAACAATCTGGGTCTTCATTTTACTGACCTCAGAAAGATGGAAGGCTGAGTCAACTTTGAGCTGGTCAGGATCGAACTGCTGGCAGTCAGCAGAATTAGCCTGCAATACTGCATTCTAACCACTGTGCCACCACAGCTCTCTAACAAAATGTCTTTTTATTTTAATGCAGCCTCTTAATAGAGCAATCCAAACTGAATAATTACATTGGCTTCATTTAGGTTAATGTACCTATGTGGCAGGGAGCTTCAGTATACAGCCAGGAAGCGACTGGATCTTTTTCCTATCACACATGCACTCATAATTTCTTCACTTATAAAAGGATGTTTAAAGAAATCTGCTTTGCCTTTTTTTTTTTTTTTTTGCCTGCTCAGAATTTCGTCAAGAATGAACGAATGAATTTGCTGCTATTTAAAGTTATCCATTTGGGTAGGGAATTTGTGGTCCTCTGGGTGCCGACTAGCATCCAATAATATTGCAAGGAACCTGCAATACTTGCTCAGCCCTGGTCATTGGACACATACAATATCCCAAAAGATAAAGTGTGAAGACAGACAAAAGGAAATACTTCTTCTCATGCCTTGCTGTATGAAAGTATTAGTTTATGGAATTTGCTGCCACAAGATATAGTTAACGTGACAATTGAATTAATAAAGGTGATGTCTGCCACATTGTATGGCAGCCTTCCAAACTGGCTAGGGGATCCAGCATTAATTATTTTGTAGTATATTTTATATTCCAACTACTATCGTTCCCTTGGCCTAAGATATAGAGAGAGAGCAGGGAAGACTATTATAGTTCCAAGTTCAGTCTTTTGTGTGCTTGTTCACCTTCCAAAGCATCTTGTTGGTCACTGTCAAAATTATTGATTTAGATACCTTTGTGATCCAACCCAATGGGAATATGTACATATTCACACTAATTGTGAATACCTTCCATCAAAGTATATGTACATAAGTCTTAGGATGCACCAATGATAATGGCAAATAATTGTGTGTGTGTAAATACATACCTCCTCCTCCCAGCTTCTGTTCACTTCATTTTTAGTTGGAAGAAAATCAAAATCATTTGTAGATTTATCCAGCAAGCCCAAAACATCTGTCAACTTTTCAGGATGTTCAGTGGTAGGAATACTTTCAGATGTATTTACATTTGAAGGGCTTCCCAAATAAACTTTGTTTTGAGGCGCCTCTTCCTGTTTGTCTCCATTACTGAGCCCTGAAGAATTGAAGCCATTTTCAGTGGTCACCACGGATCCCCAATCTGCATAGTTAATGGCCTCCTTCTCCTCAGGCTTGAGGCCAAGTTGAAAAGGATTCTGATCCATCTCACCATATTCATTGGCATAGTCCTCAAGACTGTGCTCTTTGCTGAGGAAGGAGAGCTCCTTTAGGCTACCAATTTCCTCAGAGGGCTCACTTGCCAATGCCATGGAGCGGATCACATTGGATGGCACCTGCCCATATCCTAGCAAGGTGGCTGGTCTCTGGGGAGCTCTGACCACAAAGGTCAGATAGGACTTCACCTTCTCCATTTTCTTGGGCTCACAAGTTCCTTTAGGTTGGCAACTGACCACGTAGCAATGCCGCTCAAACATCCAGGCCAAGTCGCAATCGGAAAGATCACAACAAGCTGCCAGGCAATCCGACATGGACGCAGCACGTGGGACCCGCATAATTTTAGTTGTTTCTAAATTGGGAAGTATTGCGTCTGTGTACTTGATGCCTTCTGTGCACTGCTGACAGGAACACCCTGAAAAATAGATTTTGGTATAAGTAAAGCCTAAATTTTAGGGGGGAGGGGAATTTATCATTTCTGATTTACATTTTACATACTGTGTTTCTCCAAAAATAAGACCAGGTCTTATATTAATTTTTCCTCCAAAAGACACATTAGGTCTTATTTTCCAGTTAGGTTTTATTTTCGGGGAAACACAGAACTATAATGTAACTCAGTTAATGTCCCTTTAAATTTTTCATGGCTCTTTTTACAATTATTGCTATTTGAAATATTTACATGATTAACTATTTGAAGCTGACAAGGCTATCACAGCCTCATCACAGATAGCATCTTTTTCAATGGTTCTGTCATTATTTCTTTCCCTTTCTCTTTCACCTTTGGAAATATAAGGGTTAGGAAATGCGGAGAGAGACCAAAACCAATTCAAGAGAGCTATAAAATAAAACTAGAAGAAAATTACACTTATCTCTAATTAAAACCCAAAGAACAGAAATTCAACTCCCTCTGGGTTGTTTTTTTTAAATCAAATTTCATATATTTTTAAGTTGCCGCAGAAATCTAGAGTAGGACCTTTAGCTAAACTGAATAACAAAGCCACATACTGAGTCATCAAAAAAAATATTGTCTTGTTTGTTGAGTAGCAGCAATTTTCTCCATGAGAAACCTGCATCTACTTCTGAGCAAGGAGTGTTCTATTCAGGGCTGCTTCTGTGACAAATACCTACTCAAGGACCTGCAGTATCTCTGTTCTTATTATTTTTAATATCCACTGTTATTTACAAATATCTCGGCTACATGGAGGCAGAAAGTGGGAAGTCAGAATGGAAAGATGGAAAGGTTTGATTCAGCACTACCTCTCCTAAAAGCTTTGCCAGCTTCTATGCACAGTGGGTAATTTTAGCTAAGTACATCCTTACTTTTCTCATATGATTTCAGAAGGAATTAACCTTCGTTACCTTAACAATAAGAATAGTAGGAGTGAGGGCTTACCTATTAAAACCACCAAGAGTAAACAGAAGATTCTCAGACCTGGCAGAAGAAACATCCTTTCGTAAGGTGGAAGTACCAAATCCTGGTCAGACTGCAGGATGGAAATTCTCCAATCTTATTTTAAGATTTCAAGAGGGGGAATCTGCAGTGTTGGGGGAAAAAAAAAAGGAGTTAAAAGAAAGCCATGGACATTAGTTGAAAAGTTAAACAACAAGTATATTTATTACCCTCTGGCTACAGAAGTAGGGACAATTGTAGTTGCAGAAAGTAAAAAAAAAATGAGGAAAGATAAAAGGACAATAATTTGAGTCTGTCTTTCTATAAAACCGTAGAAGAGTTCTACAGGTGACAACCTTTCACAAGCAATAATATATTATAAATACTAATTTAAAAAGTATGAATATCTCTTGACTGTAGCTCTTACACAAGTATCTGCACCCAATATAATATGTTGTGGTTTATCCATCATTTGCTCAAAATAATTTTAATCAGGTAAATAATCCTCAAGGGCATTCTCCAAAGACCATGATACCTACATTAAACGAGTTTTAGTGCTTGTAACTCCCTCCTTTCAACAGTTGCAAGAGAAAGTTCCTTTGATGCCCAAGCAGAAAAGCAATGATTTGTTTTTTTTAAAAATCAACTTTTAAAACTTTGCAGCTAGCCTTTAGCCCTTCTCTCCCTTGTCCCTTCCCTTCCAGCAGCTTATTCTAGATGACTTGCTTTTCCTGAAATCCACACAGTGATGGAAGGTGAGAAATGTGAGTGAGATTACCTCTGGTTCTGCGTATCATATCTTTGGAGACAGAGATCTAAATACAAAACTAGGCTGCATGCTACCTGCCCATGATTCACCATTTTTCTATAAACTAGGACTGGCAAACCGGGATCAAAACAATCTAGATGTTAAAGCTTCCTCAATCACCATTTTTCCATTTTTAAATATCTTGAATGTCAGAGTCTTTAATTTTGGCTCCGGGATTTACCACGCAGTAGTATTTTTATAGCAGCTTACAGTAAAAACTACCATCTCTGGCTCAGATAAAATCAGTGCTACTCCTGTCCCAAATGCTATCAAACTAATAGAGAATATTTGTAGCTCAGGGTTGAACTGTGGGGTCCTTGATGCTTTCTGTGCTTGGTTGTTTTCTTGCTGACGTTCCATTACCACCCAGGTAACATCATCAGTGCTAGAAGGGAGTGGACTTTGTTCTCATATTATATACTAGTGGCTTGCCCTGTCAGTATTGGTGGGATGTTCTTTGTGGTTCCTTGATTAGGCTGTTGTTTGCTGTTAGCTTTCTTGTTTGAGTTGGTAATTCCTTGATTGGGGTATTGTTTATGTCTTGGAGGTTCGTCTATTGTTATTTACATAGTTATTAAACTATGACATTTTTATTCACCTGCTATATGAATAAAAAGCAGACTAAATGTATTCCCCAAGGAGCAGAGCACATTAATGAAAAAGAAACAGTTCTGCTTCTTTGCTAGCCCATTCAATTTCTGTACATGGAAAGACTAATTTTCTTAATATGCAATGCCTTATCTTAAAAGAACAGTCAAGATTGGCAACAGCATTTGAAACAGGTTAAAAAAATTAAATCTCCCACAATATTCCTACTTCTAGTCTAAAATAGAATTTAACCAATTAAAAGACTAATTCTGGAAAAAATGTGTACAATGAGAAACAAACATTAGAGCTGTAAAAACTGTTTCTTATAAAAGATGGAATTTTTAGATAGATGATAGATAGATAGATAGATAGATAGATAGATAGATAGATAGATAGATGATAGATAGATAGATAGATAGATAGATAGATAGATTGATTGATAGATAGATGATAGATAGATGATAGATAGATAGATAGATAGATAGATAGATAGATAGATAGATAGATAGATAATAGATAGATGGTAGATTGATAGATGATAGATGATAGATAGATGATTGATAGATGATAGATAGATGATAGATAGATGATAGATGATAGATGATAGATTGATAGATAGATGATAGATAGATAGATGATAGATAAATAGACAGACAGGCAGACAGACAGAGACAGAGACAGAGACAGTTAGGAAGACAGAGTCAGTCAGGTGTAGAGATTAAGGAATCAGGCTAGGAAGTGGGAGAATGGGAGCTCTAGCCCTGCCTTAGGCACAAAGCCAGCTGGGTGACCTTGGGCGAGTCACTTTCTTTCAGCCTGAGTAAAGAGGCAATGGCAAACCACTTCCAAAAAAACCCTGCAAACAAAATTAAAGAAACTAATCTAGGCAGTAGGAAGGAGTCAACACTGACATGAAGGGGGGGAAGGTAAGTTCCTAGGAAGGGTAAGTTTTGCACTGCTTCTTATTTATAGTAATTCTGTCAACAAAATAACTGCTGTAAGAACTAGGTCTCAGATAATCATCACCCAGACAAAGCTCCAGATGGTTAGTTCTAAAACAAAGGCAAAACATGAGTGTATAATATATGCCTCTGGTTAAAAGCTGAAGGAAATAAGACTGCAAGTGGGAAGTATGGCTTTAGCAGACCAAGGGACAGAATACAATTAATATAATTAGTCTGAAAAAAGATTAGCAACCCTAGCAGAGAACAATTATCATTGCATGATGGTGCAGATAAAAAAAAATCATCTGAAAAGTCTCATTGGGTCACCAGCACTCAGTGGATTATAGAGACCTTACCTGTGAGAAATTTCTGAGACCACTGCAACACAAGGTTACCACTATTTAAAAGGGGTTTTTAATGACTATTTTCTCTTGGGGATCCCTTGACGTAGCCTCAGAGGACACTGTGGGCAAATTGGCACCGGAAATGGAGAGTTGTTCTTCCTTTGTCTAGAGCAGGAGTCAGCAACCTGCGGCTCTGGAGCCGCATGTGGCTCTTTCATCCCTCTGCTGCAGCTCCCTGTCGCTCAAAATAGGTGGCACAACCGCCAATGCGCGACACCTGCCGGCACATAATTTATTGAGCTTTTCGACCCCCGGTAGGCCAACCATGGATAAATCCAAGAAAAGAAAAGTTTCAGAAGAAAACAGAACGTTTAATTCAACTTCATATGCTAGTTTTGTGGCCGCTCAAGAAATAGTCAGGCATAGGAAAGGTTTGTGGCTCCCGGTGTTTTCTTTTCTGTGGGAAAGAGGTCCAAATGGCTCTTCGAGTGTTTAAGGTTGCCGAGCCCTGGTCTAGAGAGTTGGACACCATACTGCTTAATATGTATGGTTACCAGGCAACTGTAATACTATATTCATCAGTTCTCTGTTGACAAAGACAACTAATAAGGATTTTTATTCTTAACACTTTTTGTATGAAGCAGCTTAGTCCTCATATTTCCCCATATTTCCCCAAGCAAAGAATACAACCCAAACTACAAAAAAGATTGACCATGCAATTGGTTAACCAGCTCATTATGCATTGGCTGAAACAATGCTACCTCTACAGTTCAGGCACTTCCTTATTCAGGCTAAGCCCCTTTGAATTCAAGTAGACAAAGATGTATCATTACGGTCATGATTAAACATAAATGCACAGTATATACCAAAGGTAATTTAACAGACTTAAAAATAGTAGAAACATCTGATCCATAACTCTAAACAATACAAATGGAACTCTTGCCAAATGAACTGACCCTTTTTATTATTGCAGGAATGGAAAACCTCAATTGAGATAAATGGGGAAGGCCTTCCGAGTAGAGCAACTCCAGATTACCCTGGCACAACTCTATGACAGGGTTACAGTCAGTGGTGGGATTCAAATAATTTAACAACCGGTTCTCTGCCCTAATGATTTCTTCCAACAACCAGTTCGCCAAACTGCTCAGAAAGTTAACAACCGGTTCTCCCGAAGTGGTGCGAACCGGCTGAATCCCACCATTGATTACAGTCCTGATTAGGTTTTAATACACCTTTTGCCTAGAGATATAGCATTAGTTTGGATGAAACATGCTTTGAGGTGAGGAAGAGAACCGAAATCAGATATATTCTATCTAGAGTATACAGCAAAGACTGCAACTGTCTCTTCTTAAGCAAGTTATGGTGTAATGTACTTCTTTCCTCTTCATTGCACAAGTGTTATATAAACTGCAGCACTAAATGTTTTCAAGAAACAGTTATACGAAAATGGACTGAGGTCTGTCGGCAGTGTTTGTCACACATCAGAAGCACTTTGAAATGGAAAATACATGTTACTCGCTTGAATTTTACTACTCTAATCTCAAAGCCTGGATGCAAAAGGAGGAAAAACTAAACACTGTATGCGAAAATGAGTGAGTGCTATTCTATTCCTGTTCCCAAGGAGTAAACACCATTGAACTCAATGCTATTCATTCCCCCCCCCAATCACACAGATGATTAGAATCTGACAATCAGTTTAAGAGTTGCCAGTTTTTGACACTCTATGCAGCTGTCCAAAATATATATGTATGCTATATGTGGGTGTATTTCAATCTAACACTCCTTGTGTTAATTTTAAAGGGAGAACACCAGTCCCAAAGCATCCCATAAACATTGTGAACTATTCAGTATATGAAATGATAAATCATTTCGTACAAGCAAGCAATCCTTGTTAGGGAGCCTTGGTGGCGCAGCAGACTAAAGCACTGTTAAGTAACACCAGTTGCCTGCAATTACTGCAAGTTCAAATCTCACCAGGCTCAAGGTTGACTCAGCCTTCCATCCCTTTGAGGTAAGTAAAATGAGGACCTGGTTTGTGGGGGCAATAAACTGACTTTGTATAAAAAAAGAACACCGCTTGGGGGGTGGGGGGCGAAAGCCCTACTAAGCAGGTATATACAAAAGTATGAAGGCTATTGCTTAACGCATGGTAAGCCGCCCTGAGTCTCCAGAAAAGGGCGGCATATAAATTGAACCAATAAATAAATAAATAAATAAATAAATGCTATCCTTTGCCTTCAGCTTTTATTGGCCAGCCTGCTGTTACCAAGAGCCACGTCCATCATTTCGCAAACCCAAATCAATTAAACGTCCCCCATCCTTCCAATCAACCTAGTAATTATATATTTGTTTTTCTTCAACTTCAGTCAGGTTGGGGGGGCGCCGGGCGGCGGGGGGGGGGCTTCTGACAGCCGCCTGGGCGGCTCTGTATGAATTTTTTTCCCCCGCCTTGTCGCCCCTGCGAGAGAAATGCGATCTGCCATGTTTTTAAGGAATATCGATCTGGGGGAGAAAGGGGGGGGGGCAGCATCACCAGTTCCTGAGATGAGGTGAATGGAGCCTTTTTGGCCGACCGCACGGAGGAAGGGAGGCGTTACCTGGAATCGGCGAAGGCCTGTCGCATTTCCTCCCGGCAAACCAGATACCGGTGTCTATTGGGGAAACTCCCCGCCTGGGGATAAAGCAGCTTCGGATCTTCCCCCCAGAAACGCCCCGCGTCAAGACCTGCAGCAGAAGCAGCCGGGGCAAACCCAGCCGCCGCTGCCTTCCCCGGGCTCAGCCCTGCTGCACTCACCGCAGCCGCCCACCCTGGTAGCGCCCCGGAGGGAGGGAGGGAGGCAGGCAGGCAGGGGGCATCTCCGCTTCGTCTTACCTGGCGACGGGCGGAGGAAATCCGCGGGACGAAGCCGCCTCCATCCGCTTCTCTGCCCCGGGACTGGGGGGGCCGTTCGGGGCGGGGTCGGGGGGGGGGGGGTTGAGGGAAGTGGGTGTGGACACTCGGGGGCCAAGTAGCGAAGGATGCTCTGGGCCGGGAGATCCTGAGGTTTGCAGGAAGGTGGGAGGGAGGAGGCTCTGGGCGTGCGCGGGGGACTGGGGGACGGGGAGGACGGCGCCCTTCTCGCTTCGCTTTCCGACCCGTCGACCCGCGTCCGCCAGCCAACACCAATCCCAACCCCGCCACCGAGGGCCCACGTTTGCCCTCCCCTCGGTTCTCTTCTGGGATCGCAGAAGGATCCCCTCCACCCGTGGAAGCCTCGGAGCGCGCTAAGGGTAATCGGGGGTGGGGGGTGGGGGGTCGGGTGTGTAGACCAGACGTAGGAGACCGAAAGGACCAACATAGGCAACAGTGGGGTGGTTTTTATACCGGAGACTTTTGTGATTTGGTACTTGCACGGAAAAGGAACAGCAACGCTCTGTGTCTCCGTTATGTTGTTGATGCTTGATTTAATACAGGGGAGAAACAGAAAAAAAAGCAGTTCCATGTCACAAATGTATATATAGATAGATGGATGGATTTAGATTAGATATAGATATGATATATAGATTACATATATAGATTACATATACACACACCAGCACACATACGGAAATACATACACACACATCCAATCATACTTGGCCAATAAATTCTCTTCTCTTCTCTTCTCTCCTATTCCATTCCATTCCATTCCATTTATATATAATGACCGAGTTTTACATGGCAGGATCAATACAGGATAGCCATAATTTATAATTATCCATCCATAGGGAACATCCGTAAGCAACACATTCATAAATTGCAAGTGACATCAGTTTTCAATCAATTTACTAAGTGAAGCCATAAGTTTTATCTTTCCAGTGTTGAAGGAAATCAGAAAGGTCAAGGGAATATAGCATTTTTGTCAAATGTACATAGGAAAGTTTATAACTATTTGTAGACCTGTTATGTAAGAGAAGAACATATTGGTTTTTTGATGCATGTTTCAGCATTGAACTGGGGTGGACTTTTTATGTTTAATGTTTAGTTGTATTTGATATTTTTTTCCTTTTTTCGTACACATGATTTTTTTTGTTGTTGTTGTTAGCTTTGGATGTTTGTTAGGGTTTTTTTCCCCTTTCTTTTGTATTTTATCTTTGGTGATAAAGAATAAATAAATGTTTTTTAAAAAAGGCCAAGGAAACCTATTGTCCAGCTATCAATTCCCACAGATTAAGTATAGTTCAAAACAATATGGACATCCAAAAATATTAACTATACTAGTTTGGCTATACTGGTATTTGTCACTCTCTAACAGACCATTGTTTCTCAGCCTCAGCAACTTTAAGATGTATGGACTTCAACTCCCAGAGTTCCTCAGCCAGCAGGGGAATAATAGAATAAATAGAATAAAAGCACTGCCACACTCTTTGTTCTGTATCCTGAGCAATTTTTTCACAATGTAAAGGAAAGGCTGCTGAGGAATCACTTTGCAGGAGAAGACTTTTTCACAACAGAAACCATGCACCAACCGACTTTATATTTAAGCAACCTCATTATTTCCAATTGTTTACTATATTTATTATTTCCTTATTTAGCATATGGCATATCATACATGGACTAGCAATATATATTAACATTTCATCTAGATTAGTAAAACACAATAAAATATAAATGTTAAAAGATCTATGTTCAAATATCAAAGTCAAAGCCATCTAACCACTGAAAGTGCAGCATCATTTATATTTTTTAAAAAATCAGACATTGGACTGGTGTATGCCCGCAGCTCACAGCCGGTCACGATATGATCTAGTTTGACATAGGACCTCACAATCACAGAAAGGAGGATACTATGCCTCATTTATACAGAGAGTCCTGACAGATGCCATATGAGGTGCAAATCTATTCAGGATTGCCCATTGCTCATGTGGTAGTTCAAAGCCTGGCACCCCACCTTTTTTATGGGCTCATTTATTTGTCTCCCTATGTCTGGGCATTCAGTGACCCATTTGGCTTTCCATTAGCAATAGAAGTTAAAGTGGTTGGGCAGATGTTGTGCAAGTGCCAGTGGGGACTTCCTGGATTTCAGTCTTCTGACGGATAAGTACATGCTCCAGTAGGAGTCGGTTGTTCATAATTTTTCTATACATCCTCACTAGTGAATCTTGCCTTTGTAAAGCTGGTAATGCTATATCGCTCAGAATAGGAAGCCAGCAATTTGGAGTGGTTTTAATACAGAGCGGTTTACTTATATTACTATATTATTATATTTGACAGCATGGTATCAGCAGTAACGTCCTTCAAGTTTTTGAGTTCTATAATCTCCCAGGACTTGAAATGGACACTTCACATTACAGCCATCATTAAAAAGGCACAACAAAGAATGTTCTTTCTACGTCAACTCAGGAAATTCAGACTGCCCCAGGAGCTGTTAATACAGTTTTACAGAGGAATTATTTAGTCTGTCGTTTGTATTTCTATAACTGTCTGGTTTCATACAGACATGAAACAGGACAGGTACAGATTCCAACAGATGGTTAAGACTGCAGAAAGAACAACTGCAATCAGCCTGCTTTCCACAGACGACCTGTATATTGCATGGGTCAGGAGGACGGCTGAGAAGATATCTGCAGACCTTTCCTGGACATAAATTGTTTCAGCTCCTTCCGTCAGGTTTTTGCTACAGGATTGTATGCCAAGACAACTAGACACAGGGAGTTTCTTCCTCTCATTCCATCACTCTGCTAAACACCTAATTTGCACAGTACTGTCTAATGTGGATGTATATTAATCCAGCGGTCCACGATGGTGGCCTGGTCCAACCCAGCCTGGCGTGGGGGGGGATGCGTGTGCGCCCTTTGCTCGGACAAATGGAGCTAATGCATGAGCAGAGGACACTTGCCTTGTCGCGAAGCTCCACTCATGTAAGTGGAGCTTCGCACACCAGCACAAATGCCCTCTGCTCAAGCACCTTCCACTCACATAAGTGGAGCTTCGTGCGAGCACAAGGGCCCACGGCTCCTATGAGTGGAGCTTCATGCATGCATGTGCATGCTTGCCCATTGCTCGCATAGCCTGGTTTGAAACCTGGTTTGTACTGTGGGTTGGGACCTCTGTATTAACCCATACAATGTGGCTGTAGTATTATTTTTTTATTATCTTTAGTTCCGCCTTTTATTTGCATTATTGTTTTTGTTGTTATACTCTGTTGTTTCGCAACTACACTGCTTCTGTACTTCTTTGTGTGTCTAACCCCACTTGGCCAAATAAAGCATTCCATTCCATTGTAACATGCAATTGAATATTTCTTTCATATCCATCTAATGGTTAGGCTAGGAAATAAGGTACTAAGCTTCTGTATAGCAGGACATCTCATTAGCAGCAGAGGTTAAAGGGAATATTGGCTAATCAGAGAGCTGAAAATGTTGATAATACAGTTAACAGTGGAGTCATAAGTTCTACTAATCAAAGCTTCAGCTTGAAAAAAGGAATACGAGAAGAGCCCTATTCTTTTGCAACACAGCCCTTGCTCATATTAGGTCTCTCTCCTTCAGTGTCCGTCCCACCTTTTCGCCATGAACAAAACGATTGTCTCTTCTTTTGGCCCCATTCCTTATCATCTCCTGGAAAAATTATGTCATGCAGAAGATGCTTCCTTGACTTTTGATTTTCCTCCATTAGAAAGCTCAGAGAACAAATAAGCAGCAGTAGGACCATGAAAAGTTAGGGGCTGGGCACTCAAAGAAAAGGGCAGTGAAGAACAAGTCTGAGTGTTCACTAATAGCAACCCTTGATTCTTGGGAAGAACTAGGAATTAGAGGATATTCCAGTAATGCATTAATAGTCCTGAAATTATAGTCTATCTTTTTCTTCCTGAATTTCAACTACTAGAACATAGTGTCATTAAACAAGGATTCTTTATTAAAAACAAATTATGTATTTAGTAAACTATTCTAACTTTTGAATAATATACACAACATAAAATAATTTCTCTCTCACACACACACACACGAATTAACTAAAATGTCTTCTGCATTGCATGAGACCTTAATATTTTAAATGGAATGTTTCACTTTTGCTAAGCAAGAATTCCCCAAACAAGTAAAATGAACTGCTTAGTTTACATGATTGTGAATAAAAATTAACATTAGAACTGGTTTAAAATTTTGAAGAACATAAAAATCACAACAGTGAAATGTTTTCTTCTTACAATATCACATCAAAATTGCAAAACAGTCCCCAATGATCACTAGGAAATCTGCCACAATCTAGTTTTTCCACACCAATTAAATCCAAACTCTGAGGAATAATCTGTCCACCATCTGTTGCACCTCGGAAAAACAGACGATCAAATCGACTTTTGCACTTGTATCTTACATTCAAGTTACTGTTTTGGTATGTATCCCATGTGTACTGGCAATGTTCAGGCTTGCCCAAGAACTCCCAAATATCCAAAACATTGTTAGGTAAGCCACCTATTTTAGCAACCTGATAAAGATAAGAGCAGAAAGTGATAAGAGAACAGTAAACATAATAATTATGTTGCTTTCAAGTTTGAATTAGGTTTTCCACTGATATGCTGCACAAGGCTTTCTTCCTAAAGTTGTGCACAGTGGTTTCTTCCCAAGACCTGGGGAAGATGGCCTTATGTGCAGTGTGGGATTCAAGTAATTTAACAACCGGTTCTCTGCCCTAATGATTTCTTCCAAAAACCAGTTTGCCAAACTGCTCAGAAAGTTAGCAACTGGTTCTCCCGAAGTGGTGCGAACTGGCTGAATCCCACCACTGTTTATGTGTCCAGAGCA